CGTTGTCCCTGTTGCGGTCGACATTCCCATCGCCTTCCACTGACAGGTGGACTTCTCTCATCAGAAGTTCCTGGACCAGAAGTTGACGAGATGGAGAATTGTGCAAGGACTCTCTCAAGCGGCCCATTCGATCCTCGTTCACGCATGTGGCAAGTACAGCAACTTTACGAAGAACGCGTAGGAAAGGCCATTCTTATATCTTCAGACCTACCGAGCCATAGTGGTGGTGGTGCGACAACTTGACAAAGCTGGGATTTGGGTTCGAAGGGGGGATCCAATCACAAGAGAATGGAGACCTATATTGGAGAGGCGTTTGGGTGGTTCGCCTTAGATGAGCGAATCCAGATCTTATTGATAGCGTTGGATGCGCTCCCAAGTCATGGTCACGTTCCAGAAAGCAAGCATTGCCTGTCCCCTCTGTTCACGAGCAATGAGCGTCTGTCTGAGACCCAAGCCCGTGCGCCGGGACAGACCGTCATGGAACTTTGATAGTCCACCTCCCTCGAGATATGAAGATATTGTCCACAGGTATATCAAGGTCAGAACCGCAACTGATAGAGACTTCAAGAAAGCGTGGGAGCCCCTGGCGACGAATGCCGTTCTACCGGGACCTCTGGAGAGCTCTGATAAATAAGGGGCCTCACTACAAAACGGGCTGGAGCAGCATATGGCTACTTTCAAAACCCATCCTCGTCAAACATTCAGGGTCACCGGTTGTCTTTTGCCTGAAATCCAACCTACACAAAATCTTGACGAGAGTCCTTTCATCCGTTCTAACGGGAGTCAATCAAACCATTCCACCATCCACCAGAAAGTCCTGTCCGGTCGTATAACTGCTCGCCCCGCTCATGAGGTACAGGACCATTCCCGATAATTCGTCTGGGGTGGCCAGCCGGTGCATCGCGCAGCTGTCCAGGAAGAGTTTCCTCCTGCTCGGATTCTGTTGCATGACGGACTCCAGCATGTCGGTCTGGACGGTCCTGTTCACGCAAAGAAGTTCAAGTCAGTTTGCGGTCCTTTCCCCCAAAATGTGCGGTTTCTGGCGCGGACATACCCTGGGCTGATCGAGTTGACCCGAATGCCGTACTTGGCCAACTCGTGCGCGACGTGCTTGGCGATGCCTCGGACGGCGTACTTCGACGCCGTGTAGGCCGCGATTTCTTGCGGCGCCAGCGACTTGTGGCCCGCCGTGGAGGATATGCAGACGACGCTGCCGCCGGTCTTCTGCTCGACCATCTTTGCCGTACAATGTTGCACGGTGTAAAAGACCCCATTGACCTGGGTGGGATTCGTTAGTTCTTGTGAAATGGAAATATCGGGGTAGGGGGGCTCGTCGAATACATTGACGTCCATGGTATCTGTGAAATCCTTCTCTGTGTGCTCTAGGAACGGCTTATCGCGAATGATGCCTGCCGCCGGGATACTAGTTTGCGGTCAGCCAACTTCGCGAGCTCTCCATACCCACGCCATGAGCAGGGGGCCAAGCTTGCCATCCATCAATGCTGCCAAAATCTTTGTGTATCCTGTCGACCGTGTCCTTCAAGAGTTGATAATCCACGACGTTGGCCCGGTAATATTCGTATTTCCCGCCAAAGGCGACCAGCTTGGCCATGTTCTCCGACGGCCCCTCGTTGAGGTCGATGACCGCGATGTTGGCGCCGACCTGGGCCAGCGTGTAGGCGAAGTTGAACCCCAGGCCCCGAGAGCCTCCTGTGATGACAATGTTCTTGCCCTTTAGCAGGAATTTGTTTAGGATCGAGTCCTCCGGGATCTGCGTTTGGGCCATTGTCGGGTTTGCAAACAGAATTTTTTTTTACCTCCGGTGAATGGATTTCAGAAAGGGGTTGTTTCATGCACGAATGTAACTTCCGGAAGGACCAAGCTACACTCGATCTACCTTGAGGTGAAAATAACGGATGGGAGTTATCGAAATGGGGAAACGGGCCAGGATCCTGGGGCAAGGGATTGTGCCAGTAAGGTCCCGGAGAATGGTCGCCGCCTTCTCCGCAATGATACAAAGGTTCCGAGGACGGAGGACATGGCTGGCTCTTCAATGCCTCGTTCCGTTACAAGGGCGCTCAATTTTGGCCCGTGAAACGCAAAAGTCTCCAGGTTTTCATGGGAAGTTGTTGAGGTGAGAAGCATTCTCAAGAGGCTAGCGAGGCCGCTCAGAACTAACAACGCCAGACTCGGCGGGACCCGAAGGGGAACAAAAACTTGATTGTGGTCTTACAAAGATTCTAGACTGTACATAATGTCAAACTGTGAAGATATCGGGAGGAAGTCGTCGATACACAAAGGGCTATACGCCGACAAGCTGGGAAGCCCTGTATGGTCGTTGGGGGGCTGAAAAGAAGCCCTGTCCGCTCCCTCCTCCTGTACCATGTTGAACAAGTTGGCCGGGTTCCTGGCGACCTCGTTGGCTTGCTGGAAATCCACGTACTCGCTTTCGAAATGGCACAGCCTCATGACGAGCTGGATGATGCGGCGCACTCGTCGCGCCACGATGTAGGTTTTTTCCAGTTCGCTGAGCGTGCGTACGCACGTCTTGAGGGCTGAGAATTGACAGGCCCCGTCCGCCGAGCGCCTTTCTGCAATATCGGCGATCAAGATCGTAGATGCGGTCGCGATGACGTGTAAAGCGACGCCGCTCAGGGTGGATGCGTCCCCGTACACGTTCCGGTAATCCTGAAGGGTCGTTGCAATGTTTTTGGCGTTGTCGATGCAGATTTGTCGCGAAATGTTGCATTGGGCGTCGGTTTCCGACATCTTGACGCCAAAGTTTGCTGTTGGGCGGTGCAGGTGGATCTTGCAGGAATAGTACTGCATGCTAGCATCAATTGTCAGCGATCCATCTGAATATCAGCATGATTGCCGCCTTACTGGAGCACGAGGATCGACGGATGGGCTTCCTTGCAATACCGCAACTCCGGGTCGAGGTTTTGGTACCAGTCTTGAAGCTGTTCGTCAAGAGCATGGAGAGTCTCGGTGTCGCACTGTTCTTCGTTTCTAGATCCCTCAGTACTTGCTGCTTCATACGAACTTGGGATACTCACAAGGCGTCACATATCCGGCCGACGGTCAGGAGAAGAGTGACCGAGGAGAAAGCAATCCTTTTCTCCCACGAAGCGTCATGCTGGGTTAGAGAGCTGTTTCGGAGCTCCGTATCTTCGCACTTGAGACAAGATGGACGACCGAGGTAGAGGGCCCAAAGTCTTTGAGAAGGATGTTAGATTGGCTTGGTAGCAGGATCAAGTCAGGGGTAGTTACCGATCGAAAACCAAACAGCCCCAGTAAGTGATTTGCCGTACTTTCATATCTCTCGGGGAGAAATTTGTAGACGCGAGCTTCTCTCCCGTTCTGTGAAGGCCCAGATCGATAGCTAGTCGACACGCATCCCCTAGGAGGCCAGCCGTCAATATTGGTTGTGGACATCGCGTTGCAGACTTACCAGTTAGCAGCCAGCCTTTGGTATCCTTGCTCAATGAACAGTGAATGACAGACAGGAGCAGCAGAGCTTGAATAGTTGTAATCTGGGGCCTCTTGAGCTCCTGGTCGACGAGTCTAGTGGCGGTAGCCACCAGGAAAGGTTCCTTGTCCTCCATGTCGTCGTTGGACGGGATCACCATCGCTCGCACCGATGGTCGGTCAGATATGCGTGCAGCGCAAGCATAGACGCAGTACAAGAGTGCTTTGCTGAAATACTTAGTCTGTCTCGTCTTCATGCCCTCGAGAAACTCCTCCCGATCGAACACTTGGAGGACGGTGTGCTGATACTTCCAGTAATTCTCCAGCAGGTGTGTCTGGGTCCCTGGGTCAATTGGATCATCGGGGCTGATGTCGGCGGTCACGCCCCTTTGAGACCACGGGCCGAGGAGTGAGGACGACACGCTTTCGGTGAGATGCAAGCTTGAGGTCGGCCCAAAGAATTTATATTGGCCTTCCTCGTCGCTGTTGAGCTTCCACTGCCGTCCACAAAGGCGTGAGATCAGGTTGTCTTCCTCCTGGGACGGGATTGGCACTGAAAGGGCTGAATACGTCGACGGAGTCTGCGGACTGGACACTTGATGTCGGGTGGGCGCGGTGAAGTTTTGCGTTGCCTTCGCCGATTCAAGAGCAGACTCAAGATCGGCGATCCGCTGATAAAGCTCGCGAATGTGATTTTTGGAGGAAGGGCTGGGGAGAGGGATTTAGCACACCATTCTCAAGCGCTAATAGAGTCGGTAGCTTTACCATTTCCGCTTGTCTTCGCTGGGCCAAACACATGGGATATTGAGCCTTTTGCACTTTCGGCAGCCCTCCAATTCGATCACGCACTGTTTGATACATGAGCACCATCACCAAAGGGGTTGTTTCCATGGGTCGGCAATACCTTGACCTTCTTCAGCCTGCAATGATTGCATGCAAGAGCAGTGGTGGAGTCGTGTTTCTTCGCGACGCGACCGGTGCGAGCGGAGGTGCCAGGTGTCTTCGGACTCCTTGATCCCGAGTCTTGCTGTGAGGCCAGATCGAACGTCTGAGGCGACGCTGAATCGTTTGTCATGTCCATCTTCATGGCTGGGTGTTCGGCACGCAGCGCGCTCGAGGAAGACGGAGCTGGAGAGGGCTATCACCGAGTATATTGTGCCAGGCACCACGTTGCAAACCCCGCAATATGGTGGAGAGTCTCCAGCTGTCTGGCCGAGGGCGACCCCCTCCTTCTCTCTCCAGGTTTTGACTAACTCGATCTAGTTCTGTGGGCTTCAATAGGCCAATCTAAATGCTCCAGCCGGAGGTCGTTCGCCGAGAAATTCATTAGCCTCGCGCTGGTGCAGCCTTGTGGACTCCGTTCTGCCTCGGGTAAGCGATATGGGATATTTCCTTGGTCTAACCACAGAGGACGAATTCAGGGGCACAATAATATTTCATATGGGTGGCTTTGTACAGGAGTGATAGCGTCGCAGCTGGAACTAGCGTAGGCGCAAAACGGGAGGAACTTATGGTTGTTTTCAACGTTTGATATTAAAGGTAAGACTTCCCCAGACTAACTCTTCCAAAAGCACAAACCAAAGACTTATAAGCCCATCCATCCCACTCGAGCTTCAGCAGATCGGTCATTTTCATCTGCCATCAATGTCTTATATTCTGTCAAACAGATGCTGGGATCCGGGGAAGGAAACGGACCAGAGCGCGCAAATTTGCTGCTCTCAGCCACCGTGCCTAGATGGTCTACTGATCCGTGCTTGGCATGTCTATCCAAAGAGTGTAACGAGTGAGGTCATCCGTCGTGGCGAGGCCGAGGTTTGTAAGGGCATCAGCCCACCATTTCGGGGAAAGCGCTAAGGCTTCCGAGATGTCTTTCAGGCGGCGGATCTGTGCGAGTATCTTCTTGATGTCTCCGTTCATTGGCTCCAACCCTTCAGTTAGTGGAAGCACAGCAACGACAAAAGCCTCCAATACTCGCCTACTAACAGAGAAGTCCGGACCTGTGGATTCGAGAAGTGCAAAAACCAGTTCTCGACCCCTCACAAGAGCGTCACTATGCGTAACCATGAATTCTGCAGTCAGGCAGTCTTCTGCATCATGGCCCCAGTCAAGCAACGTAGGGTTCGGGGGTTCGGTGAGGAAGTCGTCAAATCCGGGAGCGACTACGCGATGTGGTCTCAAGTGGTGGGGGAAAAAGTCGAGCCTTACCGGAGGATTGTCTTCTCTCTGTGTGCAGATTTCCATAAACAAGTGCGGTAGGTCGTGGAGGCTTCGCACTGTTGCTGTGAGGTCAGACCCGCGCCGGGCTAAAACTTTCGAGACTGAGACATTGCAGCTCAACCGAAGCTCGTCAAGTACCGGTTCAAGAAAGGCAGCTGGTGCGTGGGAGTAGATCTCCGGCGCACCTCGACGCAATCTCATGTGATTGATCAAGAAGCAGAATCCAGAGTAGCTTGCCACCTGCGGGAAATCCAACATGACATTCCGCGATGTGACGCAGCCACTTCCGAGCATTTCTCGGAAGAACAGCGGGACTAGGCCAGACAACAAATGTCCTATGGGCAAAAGAGAAGGCCCTGGGTAAGCGGTGAACTCTGGGTAGCACTCGTCAACTTTGAGTAAAGAATTGCGATCCTTCCTCCGTAGCTTGATGTATGTCTTCATGATTCGGAGTCCTTCATCCCGGAGTCTGACTGGTTCAAACGGGCCGTCGGGATAAATTTCAATATTATAAAGTCCGTCAAACAGAAAGTCTACTACGTTAGACCTGCTGAAGCATTTTGCACTTGAGCAATGCTCTGCTTTGCCATGAAATGCTGGTGGGTCGCCCTCCACGGTGGTAGCGTTGGATGAGCTTGGTTCGCCCGCCGACTGAGTGCTTCTTGGACTGATTCTTCGGGTCGGCGATGGTGATGATGACGATGATGATGGGCGAGTCACAGGGTCGATGTGCATGTCGTCGTACGAAGGAGGCTCGATTCCAGCAGAATATGCCGGAGGAGTGGGGTTCAGGGGCCCGAAGAAAGGAGGAAGATGCCCGTCGATGGGGTTGACCTCGCGAGGATGGCGCAGTTGCACCCCTCGGAATTCTGGCCGCGGCTCGTAAAGTGGTGGAGGGTTGTTGAAAAACAAAGCTTCCGCGTTACGCCTCTGGTCGGGGATCGAGTCAATGGTGCTTAACGGGCGTCCCGAGTGGTGGGGGATGTCGACGGGGGGAGGGGCAACGCCCGAGGACTGTCTGAGCGCTTGTTCAGTCAAAAATTCGTCAATGGCTGCCGCGATGACTTCCTGGCTTACCCAAAGACTCCAGCGGACCCTGACGTAGCTTTCGATGAAGCCCACGCCTGATGCGCGAAGGCTGATGATTTCGTGGTAAATCCCAGCCGGGATCACTGCTCCAGAGACATAGCCCGCGTCTTCCACTGCTGGTTCATCCATCGGAATCAGGTGCTCGCTGCCAGGCAGGCTTTCTTCGGTAACATCGAAGTCTTTTTCGAGAAGAGCTTCAACACTGTCCCTGTCGATCTCCCGATCGAACTCTTCCACGACGTGGCACGGAATGCAGTCGTACGTGTGACCGTTTTTCAGCAAGTAAATGATTCTCGCTGCCATACCAACGCTGATTATTTCATTGGTTTTGAGGCGAAGGCGTGGCCATCTGGTATCGTGGAATACTTCTTGTTCCACTCTGAAATCGTCAAAATATTGGTCGGTTGGACGAGGGCAACGGCGGACCGATGGGTGCAGTGCCGCCATTGTAGTTGAAGGTAAATCCAGATATCTGTTCTTGCGTTGTGGGTGGTGTCGGCGGAAATTAGGTGTCCTATCCTAGACATGAGGATACCTTACCTGATGTTCTTTATATAATATAACACAATTCAAACCCCGCCTTTCGACCTCGTTGGTATTTTGTTTCGAGGAATACAAAGAGATAAAGGGTGTCATTAATATCCACAAAAGGATCGAACAACAATCCACGGAAGGTTCATTGTCCCTCAGTGCTCACACCCATTGACAATTGTCAACTCCATTGATTGTGCTTCGCATCAAAGGGAGCAGCGGAGTAATCCAGGTAGCCGCACCACATGGCGCAGCTTGCCTAGATCTCATGTGACATTGTGGCGATAACCTTGGTGTAAGAAGACGGTGTTCAAGCAGGACACTGAGGAGGAACAAGGCCAAAGCGAAGAGAAAAGGTAAAGACATGCTGTTATCGGACCATCTTCGGCGACGTTCCGATAGATCTGTTTCTCTCCTCGGCCTTGAGATCCACTGTAACTGTGCAAACCCCCAACACAGCGGCGGTTCTTTTGAGTGCAACTTGAGAAAGATGCTGGCTGAACGTAAGATGGTACAAAACCCGAATAAACATGTGTCGGCAGGAACAACGGCCCACGTTTTGAGAAGACTGCGAGCCACGACTATCATTGGGCGGAGTCCGTGGCCAGCCTCGCAGTTCGTGCCGGCCATTCGACATCAGAAGAAGCCCATACTCATGTATTTCAATATAGAATCTGATTGCGAGGACGCACCGTGGAAAGGTTGCTATTCAACGGTCTGTACGCAATTCATTTTCTCCAAGAGCATTTCATTCAAAGACAAAGTATTCCAAGTGCATCAACGCATAGAAGAAGCAGGGATAGATGGCTGTCACAGCAAATGGAGCAGTCAGCAAAGCTGAACCCAAAGCTGATATCAACATCGATGGTCGGGACTTTGATGCCACAGAAGTAGCATATGTCCCGACCACGGGAGTCCGCAAACTGTTCGAAACACCCCTTGTCCTAGCTACGCCCGAGACCGTCAAGGGCTACGGGGAGATTGTCGACGTGCCCGAAAAGCATCGCATTGAGATCGTACGGTGGCCGGCTCAAGGATGGCGGCCGGTGGATGCGAACTCTGGCGACCAGGGCGGAGTGACTGAAGGCCTCTTTGAGTTCTGGTGGAAAGGGGACACGCTCTATGCGCGCAACAATGCCGTTGGCGACAGCTATCTATTTGCCTGGAGCCAGTATCCTGAAGAGGCCGCGAGCACTGGCGCGGCACGACCCCGAGAAAGAGCGATGATCTGGCGAGCGAACTACCACCCGGACGGCGGCCAGTTGTTTTTCCCCATGAACGGGCAGAGTTTCGTGGTGCCGCTCGCCCTGCCGGGCGACGATGTGACGCCAGAGAAGTTTGTCGCGTTCCGCTGTGATGGGGGCAAGGGACTATACATCCATCCAAATATTTGGCACGGCGCGGTTGTGCCTGTTGACGACCATGCGCGTTTCATTGACCGACAGGGCCGTGTACATGCGCGCGTGTCCGTGAATTTCGCGAAAGAATTTGGAGGATATCTGTCCGTGCCGCTGCGGTCTGTAGAGTAATGGCTCAGCCTCGTTCCATGTCGGGAGACTTCGACTCAAGTAAGAGCCTTGGGAAAGGTGGCGTTGAGGCAGCACGCAGTACCATGCCTTGTCTTGACCCGCTTCTCCTTCGATTAATCGCTGGGGGAGTTAATGTGAGGTTGTCATCTGTCATCTCCAGATCATTGAGACAATGCGAATTGAAAAGGTAGACAAGGATGTCCCTGGCACACTGCCATAAGGAATGGCAGCACTTTAGCGTCAATTGATGATCACTGTTTCCGGCGAAACCGCCAGATGAAACCGATTCTGACGAGGAAGCTCAGGCGTAGGTGTCAGCATTGAGAACATCAAGCCAGGGAAGCTTTGTGAATGAGAGTAAGCCGTTTGGCAAAGTCAATTTCCGCCTCGACGTCGTGGTGTTTCCGAAGCACATGCTTCATTTGATGTTCAATCGCGCTTGTGGTCCTCCGTTGTTCATCTGCGCTCATCTTCAGGTCCTTCAGGTCTTCCTTGCGTTGAGAAAGAATGAGTGCTTCATTCAGAACCATTTTTTCTTTCTGCTTTGCAGTCTCCAGTTTCTCTTCGGCCGCTTGAAGTTCTCGCCTTGCCTCAATTCGACTCGCTCGGTAATCACTTATTCTCCGGGGCTTCTTGAATGCAACACTCAGTCTCCCTGATGACTTGGGTGGCCCGGTTATCAGACGCTGGTTTTCCACCACACTATCGACGATCTCTGTGACCACTCTCCGCGTTTTTGTGCCCGTGTGATGGATGAGGACTTGGATAATCTCTTCTTCCCGTTTGCCGTCCTCCAAAAGACCTAGGATACGCCAATATGCTGGAAGCGGTACTTCATGAGTGGCAACTTGGATGGTAGGCACATCGTCAAAATTGGGCGAAGGCGCTGCGACGACCCAAAAGTCAGAGTCTGAAGACATGGAAGAGACAGCAGATTTCACAGAAGCTTCCACTTACAGCTGACAGGGGAAGGAGGCAGTTCTAAAGACTGCGAACCTCGCAGAGGATCGTGAGCAAGCATGCCGGGGGTTCATTGTCGTCGACTTCTTTGTGTGCGTCAGGAGTTCGCCATTGCTGAACGCGGCTCAAACGAGGGCTCACAAAGGACAAAGCCAGAGTGAAATTAAAGAAATTAAAGAGACACCCAGAGTCGCCATGGGTTTTAGAGTCGATCAAATCGCTTTAAAAAGTGGTTTCGAATGATCAAGATTGACCACGGGTGGTACCTCAATGGTGTGATGTGCCCGGCCAGGAATTCCGCCTTGGTCGGACATGACGCGCGGTTGAAGACCATACCTGGGTGTTTGTTGTCGACGGCGAATGTGATAATTCCCTCAGTTCAGCATCCTCCTCCGAGATCGAGAGTGAAACGTGGAGAATGGATCTGAATGATGCTATCTATATTCACGTGGAATTTGTCCCACATGCACGGAAAATCCTTGGGGGCTTCTAGTGGGCCGCTCGGGGGTAGTGAGGATCAGCTGGGTCGCGCAAACCGACCTCACTAGGCGCCACGATGGCTAGTGTACTTGTAGGCTGCCCCATGAGCGGCCAGCTTTAAGGGTGGCAAGGGTAGCGGACGCCAGCAAATCCCCCTCATCCGCCTTCCGTTTGGCTTCACATCTCGTTGCAGCTCCTTTCTCCTTGCTTGACCGTGGGCCTCCTGGCCGGACTTGCGGACTACTGAACAGCCAGCTTGCATGCCAATTTTACCCCCAATGCCCCATTCCTGGCGAAAACCGCTGAATTCAGATCCGTGACGTCCGCATAGAGTGCCGTTTGTTGGACTTGCTAGAGCGATGAAATTCCAGCTCGGGGCATTCTCCGGGTTCACAATGACTTCCAAGTGCCTGAAGGCAGCTTTTCTTTACTCAGGGGTCTCGATTGCTAAGCAGATCAATCGAGGCTGGAATGTACGAAGCATGTGTCCAGTCTGTCATGTGAGCCATTCGGATGCAACAACGCTTCGCATCTAAGTGGGTTAAAAGCCATTTTAAACAGGCGGGAGGCTTTAACATGGGCAACGAGGCTCCCGAAATGAAAACTACTCCTTCCAATCAAAGACGTACTGGACGCTAAGCATCTTCCGGTCGCAGTTGGTTCAGGTCGGGGTTTTGGAAGCTTCGCCAGAGAGCCTCTCGATGTGCGTTCTGGACAGGGTTGGGAGGGTCTAACAAGGTCGATCGACACTTTGAGGATTGTACTTGGACTAGAATTGTCGGGCAGTCTTGCAAGATGGGTTAAACTGTGAGTGGAGATTTTGATATCTGATCGCATCGGCATCAAGCCTGTCTCTGCAGTCCTCCCAAGAGCCAAATGGCTTTCGATTTTTCAATCATGCCACCTTTTTGGACGTCCTCACATCTTCACCCTATTGGCCGCATTGCCAGCCATGATAAACAAAGTGATCGTGGCCCTGAAAACAGAGATCGACGTCAGCACCCTCGGATCAATGTCTCACATGATAGATCGTTGGAGAGAAAGGATGGAGGAAAAGAAGAAGACTCACGCAACGCCTCCATAGTACCACATCCCCCTGACCTTCCCGTCGACGCCACGGATGTACGCAAGATTGAACGCCACCCGATTGAAGAGATACCACAAGCTCAGTCCATTCACCCAGGCGCCGTCAACGCCCGCGGCATTCGCAGCCACAACGGCCGCAGCGAACCAGCCCAGGTTCTCGAGTCCATTGAGAGATGCCGCCTCGGCGCGGAAGAGGCGGTCCTTGGTCTCCTGGGACAGATGCGGGTTCGCTTTAAGGGTGTCTGGGAACGTGCGCGGCGAGGCGGTGTTGAATTTATAAGACTCGGTACCGGCAGGCTGGCCGTGGGCTTTGTAGCGCACCACGGCGTAGATATGCGGCGAGAAGCTCAGGAGCCAGGCAAGGGGCACGGTGTAGTAGGATATATTCGCCTCAGGAACGAGGATGGAGAATGGAAAGCGTAGCGACGGGTTTCCTGCATGCGCCATCTTGCGGAAAACAGCAGAATTTCCGGATCCTTCAAGGGCAACGATGAAGGTGCTGGTATCGTCGACGCTCTTCGGGGTTAATGTCGATGCGAAACTGGTCCTTCTCGACGCAGTTCATAATTGTTTCCAAGAGAGACTTACATATCCTGGACCCATTTTGGAGTCGTTGCATCATACATGTCAGGCATCTATCAGGCCGCCATCAGCGCGGGAAGCGAATGCGAAGGAATAAGCAGTCGTGTCATGTGTGACATTCTCGGAGGATGGCTATGCGGATCACAATGTTGTCGTTTCACAAACAGAAAGAGTAGCAATGCGAGAAACGCGTCGGAGGTGACACAGGTTAACAATCAAATGAATATTCCGTCGTTGTCTCGAGGGAGCATCCTGACTCTTGCCCCTAATACAGTACACGGTCATTTCAGCAAATCATACAAGTCTCCTCCTTTTCTATGGTCACAAATGTAGCCCAGCCGCTTCATGGCATACATGCGGCCTATCATTGATCTCATCATTCTTCATGACTCCTCATAATATTCGCTCTGTGTGGATCCGTAGTCTCAAGAGACGAGCTCGACAGTTGCTTGCGAACCCCCAGAATGTAGCATATTACGCTGCAATACGCTGCAATACGCTGCAATACGCCGTTCTGCGCCAGGGGTTTGTCGAGCTGATTCACATCCCTCATGAACAATAAGCAATAGTGCTGTCAAAAACAAGTACACATCATTTGGGGGTATCTGTTTGCCGTGAATCGCAGATTGAAAAGATACGCGCAGAGAGGCAAAATAATAATGCCGGGGGTGATGTGACACATCAGCGATGGTTTTGAGACTGGGCCGAATCGCATCGTCCTGTACTCAGGGGCTGTTGATATCTTGGATGGCGACAACATCGGGCAACGGGGCGTATGTCATGCCAGTCGTTTTCTCCATCTTCGTTCGCTCAATCAAGGCCTGGGTCCTCCACCTGGATTCGAGCCTCGCTCTCTTCTTGGCCAGGACCATTCTCAAATCGGCCTCCTGGCTGGAGAAGTCTCGATCAATGACTGCCAATTCCTTCTTTTGTTCCCTTTCCAGAACCTCCATCTCTTTTTCCTTTTTTGTTATGAGATTCTCGACAGCTCTCTTTTGCTTACCCCGCAAAACATTGATTTTGGAGGCATGCAGGGAATCCATGATGTCTCGTTCACGGTACTGCTGGGCGAGATTGTGGTAGTCTTTATCGGTTACCTTGCGCTCTGGATAGTTCGAATCGATAGAAGCATGTCGAGAGCCTGGATCCACAGGAGTCGAGGGTGGAGTTGGATTCTGACAATAAGCTTCCATATGCCGTAAGCGTAACATAATGGCTCTCTTCTCCAGCTCATGTTCCTTTTCCATCTTCATTTCCTCCTCAAGTTGGCGCGCTTCGAGGTCTTCTACAGTTCGGTCAATCTGAATCGCATCAGCAACTGTGTTAGTAAAGTGTCAAGTTATACGAACCTTGGCTCTTTGTTCGGCGATTGCGGTTCCCTGCATCGTCTTCTTTTGTGACTTGAGCAAATCTCGTTCCGATTGTAATTGCGCCATCAAGGAAGCCTGGAACTCCAGAAAACGGCCCTTTTCGTCCAGCTGTGCCATTCGAAGGTTGAGCAGTTCCTTACACCCCATGCTCCTCTGCAGCGCCTCTATATCCACGAATTGAGGTGATTCGCAACTGGACTTTGCCATTGACAGTGGTTGTGACCATGAGCTCTGACCTGATTTGACCGACAAGGGACTTCGCATGTCCATAGACAGATCCTCACTACCATTGGTGTCGGCATCACTGCTGATACTTGTAAGAGTCGAAGAAGCTGTCAGGGCCCCCGACCGTCTCTTTCGGAAACTTGCCACTTTTTGAAACCCTCTTTTCAGTGGGGAGTATTTTTTCCTCTCGCTCGTCGAAACAGGGGAGACACCACCTGGACTGGGAGGGGCGCGGTCAGATCTCCGTGAGGACTGCGTCGTCGGTCGATGCTCACTGGAGGCACAGGAGGTCGCTGTGGTAGACTGGGATTGGATGGAACTCTGGTTCATGGAGTCGGAAGCTATTGTGACTGTCGAGACTGAAGAGGCGATCCTGTCGACGTCCGAGGTAACTTGCCGCGGTGCTATGCCCAGAGTGTGTGCCTCGAACGCAATCCGATCATCAAGCTCATCTTCAGAAGAGGTGGGAGGCATGTGAAGAACGGCAGCATTGTAGAGGGCTTCATCAAACGACGTCTTCGGAGTCGACCATGGCTGCATGTCGGAATGGTCTGGTATCCAGGTTGGTCTGCCGGGAGCTACTGAGGACTTGCCGACCAGAGACCAAGGATGATCAGCAGCCGTCATGATGGACTAGATTGAAAGGCTGAGAAAGTGGTCGCAGAGGTTATCTCATGGTTTATTGGATGGATTCGTTGCACCCAAAACACTCTCTCGTCGCGCAAGGAGACTAGCGATGGCTGGTAGCAGCGCGTGTAACTGCACCCAGAAGGAATTCAAGCACTGGCAGCGCGTTGTAGTCGAGACTTGCAGCCGAGCGGTAGGAGGAGTGGGGGAATGCAGCGAAGATCTGGTCTGGAACCCGGATGTCAGTCAAAGCTGGTACCACCTCAGGACCAAGGGGAACGGACGTGGACGTGCTGCAGCCACGAGATGAGGTGACGGGAGAGTGCTTTCTATCGCGGACGATATACAACAGGTGAAGCACAGAAGATAGGATTCAATTGAGAACGTGTGTCCACAGCGGCGAAAGGGTCTTGGGGGTGACAACTGAGCGATTGCCGTCTATGAGACTAATGTCATTGGAGAGTGAGACACAGGGTGCAACCGCGGCACTGGGTCCGATCTCTTTTTTGAAAGAGCCGCTCCCGGAGAGCCAAGGGAAGGATTCGGGCAACAAGTCCTGGGCCCCGCGACTGGTTGGGCGAAGCAAAGACCAAGAGAAGCTGGAATGAGGAGTTATGATGGAGAGAGGAGAGTCTACGAGGGCGAAGTTTGGGTCTCGAGAGCCTAGGGACAGGATCGCGATGTGGTTAGGGCATTCTCTCAACTCGGATCAGCTCCCAACGTTCTTTTTTCCCATGGCCCAGAGTGGATACAAATGCAAAGACGGTACGAGGGCATGAACCACCGACGTCAAGGGCCAGCCTGTCTGCGACACGGTGGGCGAACCACAGACCAGGCCACTCGCTGCAAATGCCAACCAGGGTTTCACGAACGGCGCCCGGTGCAGCTTACATTCTTGCTCCCCGCTCCCCTGTCAGTTTTCAGGTTGTGTGATCTTTCTTTTTCCTCCTTTTGACCTGCGACACTCGTCTAAAGGCAGAGGAAGCGGAGGAGGATCGTCGGATATCGGGCTGTAGCTGGAGACACTGACTGTTTGGCGCCCGTTTGACTTTAGGCTTCGCTTTCTCCGAACCATCCAAGAGGCGGGCCGAATCACGTCATTTGCTGGGCGATAGGGAGGGGGCCGCGATGAGCCTTGGAATGGCTCAGGCTTTGTTTGGTGAGTCTTTTGTTGTTGGAGTGGTATTGGGCGCGGAGATGGAGAGGGTTCACAAGCTCTAGGAAACGCTGGTGAGTATCACGAGCACCGAGTATGAGGCTTGCCTTCAAACATGGCGAATTTTGCGCCGAGCGAGGGATTGAATATAGGTAGCCGATAGCTTGAGACGGGCGGAAAGATCTTGCCCTAAGGGAGTCAATCAAGATGGCGCGGGCGATCGGCAGTTGAAAAGCGATCATCGGGAGCAACACAGGCGCACCAGAGGGGTCGAGATCGCGAGCCTCGGGACTTATCCAATTTTCTGTCCAAAACCAATTCAGACCTCCCCAGTTGGTATGTACTGCTGGTACGGAGTACAGAACTCGAGGTCGTCCAGCTACTGATCATCTTGCCCCATGTCTACCTGACCTCCCACTAACAGCGTCAAGCACAACCCATCCAAGGGTGATGGACGGCACACGTCACAAACTGGTCGCGTATCGAATAGCGAAAGGATCGACCTCCAAACTCTCCGCTCCCCAAAACTGGGGTTTCCAGCCGACCTATCTCATCCCAATCCATCCCATTCTTGGTCGAACTCTGACACCTTTCCAGCCATACAAATTCTCTGCTGCGATTAGGATGTGCAGCATCTAGGAAGCTCCAATCCGTTAACCGAAGACTTACGTACTAGTGTTCACCGCTACATGCCATCTTCCTTTGTCCGAATTTGTGAGTTCGCCAAATCCACCTACGCCTGACACTTGCTAGACGGGTTTCCTGGCTAGTTTGAAACAAACAGTAAAAGAGCACGGACTGCACACCACCATGCGCGACGGTATTTGCTCCCAACCGATGCATCCTCAGGAATTTGTCTTGCGTCCGCTATTCGACTTTCAAACACGCCCCAAGGTGCGTCGAGGGATGTATCGGCCCCAGATGGAAATTTGGTCAACAAAAGAGATAGGCTCAAAAAGAACTCGACGTAAGGAGGTGGATACGACGCAGAGGAGGTTGGTGGCATTTAAGCTAAGCAATCATTGGTCCTATATTCTCCGTGACCCGAAGAGAAGTTTGAATGCACATGATTGACTGGTTGCTGCATAACAGTTGCTAAAAGGTTGCCAGTGTATCCGCTGTGTCCGGGATCAACCCAGTCTCCCTCGCTTGAATTCACCCTTTCCAAATAGGGATGACCGCATCGAGCTCATCATGGCCTTATGGCCTCTCCCTTGGGCTTTAGGACGTCTGCTCTATCATGTCTGAATGCATCAGGGCCAATTCGGGAATAATCAAGCTCTCAATTTCCATGCCTTCCGTCACGGTACCTCCCTCCAAATCGTGAGGTTCCGGCCCGTGCTTTCGCTCTGCCTTGCCCACCAGTGCCTCCACTCCAGAAAAGCTTTTGGATCGCCTCGTCTTTGGGACCCGGATCCATCTCTCTCCTCCATCGCGTGTAATGAAGACGACCTCCCACTTGCGGGTGGTGAGCAGATTGCCAATCACGAGGTCATGCTGATAGCGCTCCAAAGCTTGTTCGGCCTTGGTCACCAGAAGGTCCGGGTTGGTTTCCAGCTTGAAGCTGACAATCATGCTGCCTTTGGGAGCCCAGGTATGCACCAAATTACTGAGGAATTTCGGGACCGGATCCAAATTGATGACCAACTGGCGGCTGGCGCCCCCTTCACGAGACTGGATCTTATGCTCTTCCATCCGATCCCTCGGGATGAAGAAGTCAGAGACGGCGGCAGCCAGGTAGAAAAGCGCCCGATTTCCGAGGGGACGCATAATGACGGCAAGGCTGCGAAGTTCGAACATGTATTCGGTGACTGTAGTAAAAGGCAGAAGCAACAGCAACCGATTATGCTTGGCCAGCTGATATTGCTTTAGAACTCGGCGCATCTTCTCTTGATATTCTTTTCGGACCACAACTCGTTCCCCATCTTCGGATTCCTCCATGAAATCGAGGAAACAGTTGGTGCTGTGACTGTAGTGCCTCGAATAAGGCAGGAGACTGAATTGCCGATGTAAGAAGATGACGGCATAGCCTTCCTGCAAGAAGTATTCGGCGGACGTGGCTCCTCGAGTACCGGCGGAGAAATTGTCGATGAAGCGCACTGTTTGATTCTCGAGCGGAACAGTTGTCCCTCCAGAAGTGACTAGGGCGATCCGGCGGTTCGGCGCATTTTCCAAATGATACTGAATGAACTCCCGGGCCAGCGTCTCGTGGTTGGCCAGAGACTTGGGAGCTGGATTGTTCTGGAAATAGGCGATTTCAGCTTCTTCATGAGCTGTAGTTCCATTGGGGTTGTCTGGAGGCATGGTGGCGGTTTGGTGATCTTGTCACAGCTGGCGTGATGCGGTAATTTGGTAGAGCTTGGCCGATCAAAGCAAACCGGCCGCAGGCAGAGAGGGTCGGTTTTCAAGCTGAGTTGAAACAACTCGCGTCTAGGGGTTATACCTGCTCTGTATGCCGAATGTGTCAAGGGCTGTGAAAAAGATGAATGATTAATTTTGGCGAGATAGTTTATCTTTCATGTGGCCCGAAGATTGTCGGTGACTTTGAGTATGAGAAGTGCAGCGCAAACTCCATCCTCAGTGTCGTTTATACGGGAGAATAGACATTTTCACATCAATGTCACTCGAAACAGGTGGCATTGATTGTTGCCACACCGTATGGAGTACAGGCTTCTACATGCCGCAAGATGTAAAGACTCCTACAAGATCTGAGGACATCCTCGAGTGTGTATTATCGGTATCACCTTCAAGCTGCTTTGTCCTCGCGGTGATTTCGTGCCGAGGTTCGGGGTTGCGCTGCTGGAAGCAATACGTCATAGCTCGCTTGAGGGAACTCATATCACGTGGATGTGCCGAGTGTCACGTGTCAAGGAAAGCAAGGCGAACGGCAAGGCTGATTTCTCCCCAGCAACCGATTCTCGAAGTTGCCCCTTCGTGACCTCTCGTATTCGGATCTCATTATGAACTCCACTAATCTCGATGCCCGACGTGGCCAGCCAGGCCCGAGTCATCTACGAGGTACAGAACCGTTCATCACGGGTACCCTAGCCTGTCGAAATGTTGGAATTTGTTTCGATCCCTTCCAAGAGCTAAGACGTTTCAGGGCCATTGTGCGGATTCGCGTCGATCAACCATTCATACCAGGCCCAATTAGGTTGTATGCAGCGCAAGGCACCCACGAGGCGTCTTTGTCCCTGCCGAAATGAAGGGTATTCCCGTTGTGCCTCAGTCTTGTTTCTATTGAAGTCTCCTGGCGACAGATCTCAACATACTCCTCCAAAGCTGCGTACCAACGGCGTCACTAGAGCATCTGATGGATTTTCTCCTCGCGTATTCCGCATGTGGCTATACGTGGCTACTTTAGAGTGGGCATATTCGCGGGCTGTCTTCGATTTTGCGCTCCCCTGAAGGCGGTACGCGCTCGAAGATCATACGGTCTTTTGTGGCGCCGAACTATGAACTGCTAACAGATTTCTCCTTATTTATCTCGACTTCAACTTCCCAGCATTTAAACGCTCATAATCCCGCCGTTTACCTCTTGACCACAAGCTCCTCTGATCTCTTCCTGCAACCTTCGACGTTAACAAAAACGAAAGTCTGGAGCCATGGCTTCTTCAGAGATATCGTACTGGTGGTATAAGCCAACCAAAGGTGTCTCCATTGCGTTTGCTGTTCTCTTCTTCATTTCTGGAGTCCTCCATGCGTGGCAGAACAATCTCAAATACAGAGGCTCGTGGCGCATTGGCTTTCTCTTCCCATGGGCGGCAGCACTATTTGTCGCGGGCCTCGCAACTCGAGAATATGGTGCCTATCATACCGATGATCTCGGCGTATTTGTTGCCAGTACGGTTTTGTTGGTGAGTCTTTAACGTGTTTGAGATCATCTTTCGTGTTTCAACACGCATCCCATACCAGCTTACATCAAGCTCGGCTAACAGTTCTATAGTTCATCGCTCCACCAGTCTACAATGGCGCAGACTACTTCATATTCGGGAGGCTGTTGTACTATATCCCCTATCTGTCTCCTCTTCACCCAGGCCGCGTCTGGACCACATTCGTCGCATTGGATCTTGTCGACGGAATAATTGCCGGTAATGGAGCATCCTACGCAGCGAATTCCGACAACAGTGTGTCAAAGATCAAAATGGGCATCGTTCTGGTCAAAGTGTCCCTATTCCTCCTGCTGGGCATGTAAGTTTCTGCGATCCGAAGAGAACTCGAGCTCTCCTGCACTTGAATCCTGTGCCTACGAATGGAGACTGACATCAGTTTGCAGGTTTCTCGGCTTTGTATACTTGATAGTCATCTTCCACAGACGATGTGTCGCCGCCAATGTCTTTACGCATAAAGTCAAGGTTGTCGTGTACTCGCTCTACGCCTCAGGCTTCCTAATCCTCATCCGCAACACCTTTCGCACCGCGTCGTTCTTCTATCCACCAGATTCGACTGCCAATGGAAAAGAATGGATCTTTTGGGTACTAGAGGTCGTCCCTATGCTCTTCAACACCTATCTCATGAACGTCTTTCCGCCCTTGAAATATCTCCCGCACAACCACAAGATATACCTGGCTGTGGATGGCAAAACAGAGATCGAAGGACCGGGCATGGTCGAGAATAGGCCATTCATTCTGACACTGATTGATCCGTTCGACCTCGTCGGGCTGGTAACGGGACAGGATAACAAGAATAGATTTTGGGAGCATGATGGCATTGGTGGCCCAGGAGGATCGGCACGACGTGGAATGGGAGATGACAACGAACTAGGAAGGACCATGAAGGGAGACCACAGCAAAGCACGAGTACAAGATAGAGAAGTTGCTTGAACAGCTCGCCAGAGGCGTGTCGCGATAGGGTTAGGCGCGTGATGGAAGCTTGTTTGGGTTTACAACGATGCCTTGTATTTAAATTAGAGTGAGGGTATTGCGATAGAAACGCGTTTTGGATTTGGACAACAACCACTGGTGCTCGTCTTCTCGGTACATGCCAGAAGTATCAGATATACGAGTCCCGAGTGCTCGGTTCGAAGTAACAGAGATGCCCAAGCCTCGGAAACGGCGGCCCGGGGCCAACCCTCAGGGGAGAATGCTCGTTAAAGCCTTGCAGCGAATGACCTGCGCGAGTGCCAAGCTCTTCCATCATCCTCAGCTCAGTCTCCACGCCCCTCGACACATCTTTACCAACTTCGTATGCTCAGACTTGCGTCACGGATTTCTTCGCCGGCGCTGACACTCGGTGTCGTCATGGTTCACACGGACTCGGCCAGAGTGCGCGCGATGCTGCAAAGCTTGCCCGACTGATTTATGCCTTCCCCCTGCCTCGCATTTTTTGCTCTGTGCCAAACTAATTCTCCATCACCCTGTTCGCACTCGACGATAACCTGGTGAAGCCTGCCTATAACAAGATGACCGACCGAACGCAAGGCAAAACTCACGAGGCCGTAGGCGATGTGAAATCCGTTTTGAAGGGAGTCAAGGGCCTGGGAGACACTATCCGTGGCTCGGTCAACGAGTCGATCGATACAGCCTTCAATGACCGGGAGGGAGAAGTCAAAAACAAAGCGGTCAAGGAGAAGGGAGAGGCAGACATACAGCGGGCTGATCAACGCTTCGGTACGAACTACCATTGGCAGCGCCCGTAGTGGTTATGCTGACGGGTTGGCAATCAGGAGGAACGACCACTTCAGGAACAAGACATGCAGCAGGGGGCACAACCACTGGCGCAGGTGCGCATTCTGGAGGTGTTGGGAATATGAGCAGCACTGTACCCCAAACAGGTCTTGGTGGTGAACCAACGACGACCAGGGAGAGATTCTGAGTTCATGAAGGATGGCAAAAGATGTCTTATCCATTGATTGGTCAAGCAGATGATCGAGTCGCGACGGCTGATATGGCAACTCCCAACATACAGAGACCTGGTCTGGTGAGCTTGGAGCCACGAAGCACGCCGAACTGTCCCTTTGCCTGTAACAGGAAAAAACCAAAGTGTTCAGAGAACGCAGAACCCCTTCCAACGCATTGCAACGCGGGACTTGGCGAGATGAATCTCTATCAGTGCATCCCACGTTCCTTAGTCCTCCCCCTTCGACTCGTGATTCACTTCTAGTGTTGCTGTTTTTTTTTCTAACCCAGGAGCGACGCACGCTCGATCTCTCCTTTTTCCAGCATCCACTGTCCCAGGCTTTCATGACGACGCTTCCGAGACGTCGATAACTGGCAATCACGCCTGGTCAAAAACTCTTCACCTTCCTGTCTAGTCAGCCTCGCCCTCAATCTCTTCGCTCAGCGACGTTCTGTAAGGTACATTTTCAAATTTCTCATTTTGAATGAGCACAGTTTCTTACGCAGAGCTGCAGTGATCAAGTGTCTCCGTCTGTTCGCTCTTGCCTCCTTTCCACAGCGCTTGGAGACATGGCAGGTTCTGGTGCGGAAGACGAATTTGGCTTCCGACTTCTCCAGTCACGAAACATGTCCATTTCCACTTCTGCAGAAAGCGATGACAGCAGCCAACCTGACTCGTCTCTCTCAACATTGCGACGCTTCCCTAACCCCTTCTCAGCAGCTGCTTCGGCATTTGGAGTAAGCATTCGTACGCTCAAGATGATTTTAGACTGGTGCTGATACAATCCAGGCAATATTCCAGCCCCCAGGCAGAACCTCTCCCTCCATGGACCAACACTTCCTTAGTGACGCCCCTCGCCTTGGAAGTCAACCTGTGGGTATCTGTTCTCAAGATGCCAGCTTTCCGTCCCGTTCACACGAGTTCCAAAGAGAGACTGCGTTGCTCCTCAACACAATTGAGATGGCGGATGAGCAAAGAGCAGAAAAAACCCGCGGATACTTTCAGCTGATGCAAGGTCTTCCGGAAAGTGCCTCTAATGGTCACCGTGCTGCCCAGATAGAAGAAACCAAGACGACTCCGCTGTTTTCCAATCACGTTCAGAAGGTTCTGAGGAGTCGTATCACGGGTGCCGGTGCACCCAATGACGCTCCTTTCCCTCAGTATGGCCTTCTAGGCATACGTGAGCAGACCTACAATTCCTATTTGCCAGATGCAACCGAGACTTTGTCACCTGATGACAATTTCATCTTTGCCAACATGAATGCGCCCTGGTCCTCCTTTATCTGCGGCTCACAAGGAGCTGGCAAGAGTCACTCGCTCTCTTGCCTGTTGGAGAACTCACTGTTGGCTTCATCCCCAGCAGGAGAGAATCCAAATCCTCTTGCTGGACTCGTCTTTCACTATGACAAGTTCACAAGTAGTGAGAGCACGCAGTTCTGCGAGGCGGCATATTTGTGCTCGTCGGGAATTCCTGTGCGGGTTCTTGTCTCCCCGAGCAACATCCATGCGATGCACAAGCTCTACAGAAACCTTCCCGGAATGCCTAGAGATGCTCCACGTCCGGAAGTCATCCCACTCTTTTTCCAAGAAAACCAACTCAATGTCACACGCTTGATGACGTTGATGGCTGTCGACGACAAGGTCAAGGTGCCACTGTACATGGAAGTCCTTTTCAAGGTACTCCGTGATATGACAGCTGAAAAAAAGGGCGCTGGAGGCGTGGATTACCTCGACTTTAAGGCCCGATTGTCCAGAAAGGGATTCAATTCCGCACAAAACGGACCGCTCAGACTACGTCTAGAAGTGCTCGAGTCTTTCCTTGCACACAAAGACCAGCCTGCGGAATCCGAAGCCCGCCTGAGGGACATGTTCAAGTCTGCTCAAGGGAGCCTCACCATCGTCGATTTGAGTTGCCCTTTCGTTAGCGAGAACGATGCTTGTGCGCTCTTCACGATTTGCCTCTCAATTTTCATGGAGAACCGCGCTGACTGCGGTCGTGTCATCGCGCTCGATGAAGCTCACAAGGTGGGTCATGACTCCTCTCTTTCACGTCTACTAACTATCTGTGCCCTTTATAGTTCCTGACAAGGTCGGGAGAGGCTGAAAAGCTCACGGATGAGTTGACATCGATTGTTCGTCAACAACGCCACCTCGCTTCACGCATTATTGTGTCGACACAGGAACCGACACTCGCGCCCCGACTCATTGATCTCTGCAACGTCTGCATCGTTCACCGATTCAGTTCACCTGCGTGGTTTGAAATGCTACGAGACCATCTTGCTGGTGCCAGCCGCCACAAGAGGTGCGACAATGCAGAGTTGTTCGAGACGATAGTTGGCTTAGAGACCGGAGAAGCGCTAATATTCTGTCCTGCGGCTTTGTTTGATGTATACAATGGCAATGTGCACATGTTGAAAGACGCATTCATCAGAGCCCGCATCAGAAACCGCGTGACCGCTGATGGTGGAAAGAGCATCTTAGCTTCTGACGAGATGCAGACTGATGAACGTACGGAGATCCTGACCAAGGAACTAATTCGACCGTTTGCGGAGCCGATGCCGATGGTAGCTTGGGGCAAACAGTCTGTCAACCAGCCAGCCAGGAAGTTAAGTAAAGCAGAACGTCGCGTGGTCATGGCTGGACGCGTGACGAAGAGCCAAACTGGCCTGTCTCAGTCTAACAATTTAAGAAAAGGTCTGACATATGCGCAAGCACAAGGCTGGCAGCAAGAGGGGTTACCAGTTCCAACAGCACCTGTTGGACACAACCCAGTGCAAGGACCGACTCGAGATCCACCACTACATTCTGTCCAGGGTACACTGGAGAGCCTAGGGCAAGGTCCACTGTCCGGTAGACCACTCCCTACTGATGTAGGTGACGTTTTTGCCAGTGCTCCTTCTTTTGTTCCATTGGATACAGCATTTGAGTCCAGCACGGATGCCAGTCGACATAACCTCAGGTCCCACTTATGCAACACAGCCTCAGAATTTCTCCACCGAAATCCCGCGTCGATCAAATTCGAAGATGTACGGAGTGAAGCAGCGCGGTGTGCAGGTTTGCATGAGAAGTTTTTTGCAGACACTAAATGGAAGACCTGGTCTAGAAGAGTAATCAATGAGAGGGTGGTAAGTGGGGAATTGTATCTGTCGAAGATGGCTTCCGGTCGCTGACTTGAGCTGTTAGATGGAGCATGTCCAGACACGTGGGATACCAATGCCAATACGCTACTAGACCTTTCTGTTGAGTGTCGTCGAACCCAGGTCCTCGAATCTGCTTGGCAGGATCACGGCTACTATCACGCGACCAGTCTTCGGACTCAGCACGGGTGAAGCAATGCAACCAAAAAGTACTTGTGCGTACATACACAGGGGATGGTCTATTACGAAAAGAAGATGCGGGAACAGGACTCTGGCGCGGGGGAGCAAGCGGGATCAAGGATGGACAAGACTCGATATTGGTATCTTGTCCTACATCTTCAGAGATGGGCCGTGCTGGCTATGAATAGCATTCTCATCGCTGCAATTTTGCCATTGCGGCTGGCTTCATCGATGCCTATCTCGGATACAGAAAGTACATGGTACACGACATGTACTTGCTTAGCTCATCAATAGCAACCACATAATGTCAACGAAACTTCAAGCTTGAGATGAAGACTCTGGGGCTCGGAATGTGTGAAGTTTGCTTCATGGGTAGCCACCTTGATACAGACACAAGGCTGGTTTGGTTCAGGAGAACATGCCGACGGGAAGGGACAGCGATCACGTGTGATGATCGATCCAAGATGCGTTTATCCTCGAATGATACTATCCCACGGGCAGAAGTGACTGTATGCTTCTCCCTCTCCCATTTTCTTCTGTTTTCCTTGTGGGACCGGTTTGCGTTTGCACGGTGCCCCCTTGGAGCCTTGCAGCGGTACGAGTAGGATATCAGAGCGCCTAGTCTCGTTACCCCCTTGTCGTCTCCATACCAACCGACCCCTGACAGATTGGGGGGGAATAGGGGGGCAAGAAAGTGGTAAGGGTGACACAGCAGACCACACGCCACCACACGCACCTCCACATCACATCACATCACATCAAAATATTGATATCATATCGCGCCAACGGCATCACGGTAACGACTCCGCGATAACGCCTCAACAGACCAGACCTATCCTATCGACCATTCCGACAGACGAGAACGAGACGGAATGGACGGACCGTTGACAAGCTCAACTACTACTATTACCACTCGGTACCCGGACTCGGTCCTCCATCGATTATGATTTGCATTGTTGCGCCGTGTAACCCCAGGCGCGGGATGAGATGGGATGGGATGGGATGGACATGGTCTGATCGCACCCACGGCGCAATTTAAAACAAATCAAATGGCCGGCCTGTCCGTGCGTTTCACGGAAATTTCCTCCCACAGCCCCCCCTTGTCGTTTTCATTTTGAACCAAAAAGGAAAAAAGCTTGATTACCGAGTACTGGCACTGGCACTGGCACTGGCACTGGCACTGGCTGACTGGGTGAGTGGGTGGGTAGATACCTTAGGTAACTAGGTATTCGTAGGTAGGGGCTGGGATGGGATAGGGGGTAGGCGTCGCTGGGAGTCATGCCACGAGCCAGGCTTGCAGAGGTGGCCTTGTCTGCAATCTTGTTTCCTCTGGCCGACGATCTCCATTTGGCGAACAGGACGTTGTTTGTTATTCAGGGAGCGAGGAGAGGATAGGATAGGGAAAGGTTCACTACACAAAGTGCGAATTTGGGCACAAAAGAAGTGTTTCATGGAGTTGAATGAACCACACTGTACCGAGTCCTCCACGCACTAGTACTTTTCGCTTCAATGATTACAAGGCAGAAGATCCTCAAAAACGCAAAGCGCTGCTCATTATATAGGGCACACCTCTCACAAAGTATATATCTTCTGTCGTAACCGCACCTCTTTCATTGGTATCAAAATGCAAATCCCCAATCCAGAACAATGCCGTAATTAAAAGATTATGATGCGTACAACATGGTCATACACAGGGGGTTTTAAGATGTTTTGGGGTGCAGCTTGCCCTTCTTCTTGAGCTTGCTGTACACAATCCCGTTGCCATCAGCATATTCGGCGGGCACCTTTGGCCAATCGTCCACGCCATCGAGCATAGCCACGGCCATGCCGCCGGCCACGTGTGTTTGGACGTGACAATGGAAGAGAAAGGCGCCGGGGTTCGTGACTTGATAGCGCAGCACCATCCAGGTGCTGTTGACTTCGTTGGGGGTGGTAGTGTACTAAAGCACAGACGTCAGTTGGAGCAAGCACGTTGGAGTTCGGAAAAGAACTTACCCCATCCCGAAGAGGTGGGTTTGCAAAGTTGAATGTGCCAGCCGGCAGAGCAGCGGCGGCTTCAGAGACAGTATTCCAGGTCCAGTTTCCGATTCCTTTGCCGAGAACGTAGGCCTTGTTGGAGTGCTTATGCATCGGGTGAGGTTGCGCAAGAGGACCCTGCGTTTTGATAACCAAGTCGACCCATTGACCACTGTTGGTCTTGAGGATGAGATCGCTGGATTCGACGTTGGAGGGATCTTCAAAGAGAAGGGGAGTCTGGTCTTCCAGCTCTGGGGCAAAGGCGTTGACGCCACTGAGAGTCCATTGATAAGCGCCGGCCGGTTGCCCAAGTTTCTTGATATTCATCTGGTATGTAACGTCCGCATCCGGAGCTGGTGGCGAGGGGGGATAAGGAGACGCAAGGTTGTCGTTGAAGGTCACGAGGGTGGTCAAGTTGACCCCGGCAAAGTTCATGGTAGCAAGAGCGTTGGGATCTTCGGACGCGGGTCCATATGAGCCTTTATAGTTCAGAACAGCGAAGCCGCTGATGACTTGGTTGAGACCGTTGTTGGCCACTCGGATGGAGTACTGGGCCGGAGCCTGATTGAGCTCGATGAGCACAGAGTATCGGTCTCCATTATTGACGACGACTTGATCCACGAGAGTTGGGGTCACATAGCCGCCATCCACAGCATACACCCACATCCTGTGTCCGTCGATGGTGAACTTGAGCAGCTCGTATCCGCCCGGGTTGATGAAGGTCAAGGCCGCAAAGCCCTTGGCAGGATCGACGTCAATTGTAGCCATAGGTCCAGTGGATGGAGTGCATGTGAAGTAAGCATCAGACGGAAGAGTATCAATGTGGAAGGTAAAGTTGCCCTGAGTAGCTGGGAGATTGGGAGGTAAGCAGCCTTTGTCGGTGATTTGCGAAGGGCTGACTGAAGCCAAGAGAGCCGTGACTTTGGGGTTTGTGTAGGCAGTCAACTCATCGCGGCTAAGGCAGTACTGTGAGCCCATACCATTGATGATGATCGAGTCAGAGCAAGCAAAATCAATGTTGGCATTCACTTCCTGCTCGTGGAGTTCCTGGGAGGTGTATCTGTTGTAATCGGAGATGAAGATCGGCTGCAGCTCATCGTCCGCCGCTGACATTAGCTTGATGTAGGCGGGATCGTTGTTGATCAGGGCGAATGGCTTATCATCTTCAGATGCTGGAGAAATAATGATGGCACCATACAGCCCATCCATCATCTGCGAGCGAGAGTGTGAGTGATAGAAGTATACTCCTGGTGCATCGGCGGTCCACTTGTACAAGAACGATGTGCCTGGTTCGATTGCAAGCTGTGACAGACCTGGGACGCCATCTGACCATGGAGTGCCTTGCTGAACAATGCCGTGGAAATGGATCGTAGTTGGGTCGGGTAGTTCATTGTGAACCAGGAATTCCACGGATTGGCCGACCTTCATCTTCAACGGGGGTCCTGGGAAGGTGCCATTTGTAAGAACCATCTTCTTGGGTGTCCCTCCAATGGGTGAATAGTCTTCCCACGTGAGGGTGACTTCGAAATAGACGGTGTCGGACCGCGCATTAAGTGACCTCGATGTCGAAGGGGCAGCGGTACTGAGAAAAGCGAGCGACAGGAAGGAGAGCACGGCTACTAACCGTGGAAAAGCCATTGTGGCAACGAAAGGCAATGGAAGCAAAGGAAGCAAAGGAAACGATTGAATAGACAATGAGGGAAAGTCCCTTGTAGAGGAACGGGCTTTAGAATGGAGTGGACAACAACAACACAATGGGAAACATTTGGACGAAAGAGCGAGGTTGGGAAGAGTATAATATAAAGCATGGATCGATTGAGTTCACCTTCTTAGCCCAGTCCGTGGATGGCCGCAGCTCCCTAGATGGATCACAGGCTCGTGATAGGAAGCCGGGGGATTAACGACACCATGAAGGGCTGGAAGCAGTGACCAGCCTCGATGGTGAAGGCCTGTTGTCTCTTCATCCATTAGCGTCTTAGCAGTGGCATTGATTCTGGGGCTGACCAGGGTACACAGGTTACCTGCAGGGCATTGGCACACCACCTCAGCCTGCCTTACCGATTTTCGGCATCGCGTGGCTTGCTAGCATGTCAGTTGAAACGAGCGCCCCAGATCTAGACAAGCCGCGAACGATACCGCCTCTGCAGCCAGTTGAGGCTGCCACCTGTCGATTTGCGCCCGAATGTGGCGGCCCGGAGCAGTCAGCACTGTGACTCGAGCGCGAGGCTCGGCGTAATAACCTGGATGGATTTTTGAGTGATAGGACGAGTCACTTTGAAGAACAGAGCACATCATCGTTTGATGATTAGGGACAAACTGTCAATGCGCGACAGCTGACTCGGGGTGCAGCAGCAGCCAAGAAAGCAGCTGAAGGTTGGCAGGTTGGATGGAAGTGCGCAGGAGCGGAGGGTGGAGGCTAGTTGAGGCTGAGGGTTCCTCCCAAGCACCGCTAGGCATGGAACGAACCAAAGGTCTGGATGAACGCCATGATAACTGGCCAGGCCATCTCACGCAGGGCCTCGCCAAGAACCGCCCGCCACTCTTGGAATCCGGGCCCTCATGTCCGCGGCGATGGCTGGGACTCATGTCACTCATCATGCTGAGATTCAGAGTTCAGTCTTCATTTCTCACGAGGCGACGACGTCGGCCGGGTTGAGTCTTGGCTCTACTAAGGTGAGCTGGGCGGAGCGGTGGTTCCTCGAGACAGTGGGAGTTCAATCAGCGGCAGGCACTTGACAGCTGACCACGTCCCACCTCTTGTCGCAGTCTTTGTATACGAGTCTCACACCTGATCTTGCTCCTGAGTGGTGGTATTTTGCTAGGTAGATTGCCCCAAGTGGTCTTGGATCTCGGCAGTCGACAAGCCCAACGTCGGTGGCACCCAGATCCGCCTGGGTCGAGGCAAGCTTGGAAATCAGATTGGGAACGGTCGAGATGTGACGGCGCGAGCCCGAGTACCGAGACTGTTTCGATAGCTCTGGATTCAACTCTCGTTTCGGTTGCTGATCCTCTCATAGATGGACATATGACAACATGGCAGAAGGCAAAAAGGTGGGATGATGCGAAAGGCCGCGGGCGCAGAGAGGAAAGTGAGGGTGGAATGAGGGTGGAGTTTTCTGCTTGTCCCTTTTTGCCAAGCCATTGGCGCGAGATTTGACTTCTCTTGTCGCGCCTGTGAATAGCAACAGGCAAATTCCTCCTCGACACCTCCCAATGGCCGCGGCCGCCCTGCCACCCTTCTCGCCAACAAGTCCTGCTCCAATGCAGGTACATACTTAGTACGAGGACACAGCCTGCGATGCTTCTAATTCCGTCCCCCTCCGCCGAGCGAGTCCGGTTCCGGAACAAGCAGCAAGCCTATCGACGGTCCAGATAGCCAGATCTACGATTATCTCCAAGTACGCTGGACAGTGCCTTCGGGGTAAAATATGTGGAGTGTCTGTCCACAATGTCTCTTTGTGGGCTTCAAATCCTCCTTCTACGCTCTTTCAGCTCACCACCCACAGTCCTACGGACTTCAGTTCCGCAGGCGACGGCAAAATAGCCACGCTGCATCAACTGCGGCCGGAAGCGGATGGAGGTCTGACTTTATGTCCTTGGCGAGGTTCTGTTTATACGAAGTTTCGAACAGTCACGGGCGAATCAGTTGCTGATACCAAGACCGAACGAGATTCCAAGTCTTTCTGCGGTGACATTGGACTTGGTGGGAGCCAATATGCCTCTGCATACCAGCAACCCGAGCCCCAGACTCAGACAAGCTGCTCGGACGCGCCAAGAGGCTCTAGATGGTCATTAATAGCATCAACAGCCGAGCTGACTTGTTGCGATTGCAGCATGACTTTGCAGCTCTGTCTTCAGCAAGGCCTACGGTCTTTGAATCAGGTTCTGGAAACAGACTTATCGATGTCACGAGTCACGAGGCCTATTGATTGTGCGTGATGGCCGACAAAGTGGCTGGCAAGGATTGGCGGTCTTCGCCAGGATGCGGAAGCTGTGGAAGCTGTGGAAGCTGCTTCTCTCCAGCCTTCTCTCCGCCATCCTACATCATCGTCACGGCATAATGTGGAATTTTATATTCCCGTGCGGCCATGATGACCATGCTCAGGGATCGTCTGGATCCGCCAAACTAGCCCAAAGTCACTGAGAACCTTATACTTTGTCCTGTTCGAAGCGGTGAGCTTTCAGTTCCTACGCCGCCGAGACCCATGTCCAGTGTTGGCTTGTCTATGGCTCAATTATCAGTCATGTGCATTTCCTGCAACAGACACAGCCAGCCAAACTGCGACTGGCTTGCCAATGCTTTTCACTACCCACTTCCTACTCAAAGTACTTCCGCACTAAGAAACGCCTTTGAGTTCGAATTGCACACAGCCATCGCTTTGGAGGTAGCTCGAAACGTACATCTTGAAAACAGAGAACAGACAAACCGCCAGCCTGACCTCAAAGTTGTGTCGGCAAAAGTCATGGTCTCGTAATGAACGATGCTAGCTCCATTCTGTCTTGGGAATTTTGAGTTTCTTGGAGCTGTCAAATAGGGTGAAAGATACTATTGAGCTGCAGAGCATTGATCCTGTGGACAAGCTAGTTGCGTTGTTCCCACTACTGGTAAGTCCGAGAAGGCAGCAGTCATGCATGAAGGGATTCCTCTCTGTTTGGTACATGACGAGTCGCGAGTGCCTGGCTGACCCAACTCACCAACGATTGGCGAGCTCTTACTGAAGATTCCTAAAACGCGGTGCTCGGACCATTTGGTTGACGTCCGACAATCCGTCTTCCTCGATTCTGAGCCGAGACGACTCACGCGTGTCACGATACTCCGTTGACGGCCAACATCCCGAACGCGTGGTAAGGGCGCTTTGTGGCTACTTGGACGAAGAGCCGCCGTGCTGCGATCGCCCCGATTCCATACAAGTTGAGGGATGGTGACATGTTGAGAATGAGGGCGACCACTCCAACTCTTCTGCACAAGGAGCAGGGAAAACGTGCTTGCCTGGGTCGATGACAATTTTGGAAGACGTGGACGTCTCGATAGCAAAAGACCTCAGTTTGGAACCACAAGCCCAATCAATATAAGTGGTTCACATTGATGTTATCAACTTTTGTTCTCACTTCGGAAACCCCCTGAAAGACCCGCCCATGTTCAAGTAGCCTCGTCGCCTCACCCATGCATTTTGGAAGAATCGTACAACACGGCCAACCCATCCAAACCCCCACGAGCGCCGTCAAAATTGGTCTCGTGCCCGACCTATTTGAGTTCCACCTTATCGTCGTCGCCCACGACGATCTCGACCGACCGACCCCCCTCATCGAGACTCCTGCGTCCGGCTTCCAGGATGGCCGTGGTGAGGACGGTGTTCCGCAGCGTGGGCAAGCCTCTCCTGTCCAGCTGGGCGAGGGAGACTCTGCCCTCGTTGACGGCGGTGACGGCGTCGATGAACTTTTCGAAGCTCACGTAGCCGTAGCCGCCCTGGCCGTTGAAGTGGCCCTCCTCGTCGGGCGCGTACCGCATGTAGAAGGGGTTGTACCACTTGAGGGCGCTGCCGGAGCGGTCGGCCTCGTCGACCACGTCGTACCCGCGCTTCGCCTGGTTGACGTGGATCTCGCCGCGGGAGGCGACGTAGTGGAAGTGCTGCTGCGAGTGGACGCCGGCGTTCATGGGCGCGGTCCAGCTCGCCGTGTAGATGCCCGTGGCCCGCTTGCCGTCGCCGCCGCCGCCGCCGCCGGGACGCGCCCAGTCGACCAGCAGCGTGATGGTGTCCTCGGTGCCCGGGCCGCAGCCCACGCCCTCCGCGATGCCGAGACTGGCGCTGGCGCGCACCGTCGAGGGCCGCCACCCGGCGTCGCGCACCATCCACTCGCAGATGTCCACGTGGTGCGAGTTGAGGTAGTACGAGATGTCCGACTCGCGGCCGGCCCAGGCCTTGAACGTCTCGAGCTGCGACTTGGGCTGCGACATGTAGCTGTAGAAGTAGTTGAAGTCGCCCAGGGTCCGGGCCCGGAACTGGGCGTCCGCGTACGCCGGGTCGAACCGCTTGTGGTGCTCGACGTACACAAACACCCCGTGTTTCTCGGCCAGCGCCAGCAGGTCCAGGTGGTGCGACAGCAGCTTGGTCGCCGGCTTGGTGATCAGGACGTGGTGCCCGCGCTCGATCGCGTACTTGGCAATCTCGTGGTGCGTCGAGTCCGGCGTGAAAACGGTCACGGCGGAACCCGCGGGCAGGGCGTCGATGGCCGTCTTGAAGGCGTTGGGGTCCGATTGGTCGTCGGCGGGGAACGACGTGAACGAGACGTCGAGCCCGTTGTACGCTTCGGCGATGTTCTTCTGGAGATGCGCGCGGATGGCTGGGAACTTCTTGCCGGAGACGCCGACCATGGAGAGGTCGGCGACCTTCCCACGACGCCGGAGGTCGAAGACTGGAAGAAAATACATCCTCATGGTCAGATATGGAATCCACGATTCATTCAGCTGGGTGTTGGGGTATAGTCTCGTCTCCTTGTCCACGCCGCATTCATTTTGCGAGCACAGAGAGAGTTGCATCCTATCCGATCCCTCTCCCTTTCCAAGCCTACCCGAGCTCGGGCATGCATACACAACACAGATCCGACACACTGATGTGATGGATGTGATGGATGGGGATGGGTGACCACTTACGCGTCAGTCCAACAACGCCCACTTTCTTGTCTGAGGTGGACGCCGCCCCCGAGACGAAGCCGGTCGTATACTCGCCCGTGCCGACCATCAACACTGCCGGCGGCGCCATCCTGCTAGCTTGTCGCCGCTTGAGACTTTGAGAACGACGAGAAAGAGAGTCTTGGTCCAGTCCACCAGGCCGTACTCTCCAGGGATTTTAAAGCTGCTTTAATGAGCACAGGCGGGAAACCCTTCAGTTTCCTCTGGCCTTCTCGAGCGTCGTCTTCGATTCCACCCACGATGACTGACGATGATGTAGGCGACGAACTTCGAGAAAAACTCGCAACAACGACAAAAAACTGACTCACTTGTAAATCACTTTAACCCGTCCCATGATATGCTGCGGGAAAGAACGCCGTGACGCTGTTGGGCGACTCCAATTGCCCATGTAACGTGTCTGCCCAACGGCTAATTTACCTGTCGACTCAACTCATTTTATCCATCCACTCCACACGAACGTGGGGAGAGAAGAGAGAGCGAGGGAGAAAGTGCCAGGCGCACGGCCGTCATTGATTCGCCCTCGAATTGCCGTTCTCGACTGCGACTGCGGGCAAGCGGCTTTTGGCTGTCTTGGCCCGCGAAACGGCAATTGACGCCGGAATTTGCGCCGATTGAGTATATTGCCAACAGTTTCCCCATGGGCCATGGCCAGCCATTAGACGTCTTTACCCCAAAAGCACGTGAAAGGAAAGTTTCGAGTTTCACAGGAGAGGAGAGAGAAGGGAAGTCTGGCGATTATCTTGGATCGCATGATCTGGAGAAACGATGGAAACTAATTGCCTTGATGGTATCTAGATCCCGAAAGAGTCTGACTACGCTGTCTTATGCAAAGGCGATGTCCAGCTAGTCCACCTTCCCAGTTCAGACTCTCTTACTCCCCCACCGCGGCTTTGATGATGGTCGATATCAGCAGACTGGCCTCCTCTGCTTCCTGCAATCTATAATATACCGCGTCGGAGGCATCGGTGGCCGAGGTACGAAGAGGGCAGGTGGATGCATCGCACGACCAAGGACAACCCTCCATCAACGAGCCGTTTCTGTGAGGAAACCGTCCATACCGAAAGAGTAGCATACTGACCGAGCTACCTAGAAGAGAAGAATGGCCCGCAGGTACTTACGGGGTACCTCGTATATGCAGCATTTCAAGCATGGCGGCAAGTAGCCGCGATGCTCGCCCGGGCCAGCCTTGCTGCCACGCGCACTCCGCGGTCGTAGAGTATATGTTCCCCAGAATCCCATCAGTCAGTCTATGTGTTCGGCCCCCTGATCATGTGGCCAGGGAGGTAGCAGTGCATTAGCGTCGAACTCATCCTCCTCCGCAATGAACTCTGCGAGACATGCCAATGTTGATGTGGCTTCCCAGTGGCCCTTGCGACTATGCTGCCATTAGAATTGGAAAATGCGAACTGCCAATCAAGGGACCGATTATATCTCACCAAAGCATCCTGCCGGGTTCGGAAGACAGGTTGAAGCCAAACGTCTGCTTGTGTGGTTCCTGAGTATGGCGAGCCGCCATCACCTCGGCTGATGCCCACGGATCTCGCGACCCTTCCCAGCCGCGTCGTCGGGCGATTTCCAGGAGAATGTTGTGCTGAAACCGGGGCGAGTACAGGTAAGCAGACATGGCCTGGTGGAGCTCGTCGTAAGTAGTAAGACCCAAATCCTTCGACGTGTCCACTGCGGCATTAAGTAACCAATCCTCCAGTTCGTCGTCCTCCGAGGCTGCGAGGATGCAGGTAACAATGACCCATAGCTTCATCTGGTTATGGGCTTGACTGCCCCAGGAGCCGCCATTACTGTCCAGAATCTTCCAGACTCTCGACGCGTTGACTTTACCAGAACGCCAGCTCATCTGCGTGGAGACGAAGCTCATGACAATGATGAGAGAGAGTCTGACGCATTCCTCCCGCGCCCGCGAAGGTGACTTGTTCTCGCTTTCAAAATTGGGAATAGTGACGGAGAGTAATAAGTCATGTAGCATTGCTTGCCCCTTGCTACAGATCCACTCTGAGTCTTCCACTGTCCGGATCCGGGTTTGCAGAGCATGGCGGCCAACATCAATCCACGGTATCAGACTGCAGAGGATTAGGTTCATCTCGAACCGGAAGATATCATTTTGATTTGGGTCCAGGAATCCACGTCCCAAGCAGCATTGCGGGACATTGGCACTCAGCGATTGTGAAATATGCTGGCGCCTTTGGGAACCCAGCGGAGTGGCATCCCAGTCGCGCACGAGCAGTGGTTTTCTCCCCATCTCAACAGCCAAGAAAATGTCGTTATATACAATGGTCTCTTTGACAAAGGCATCGAGCGGCAGCCTTGGATCTAGCGAATTGATGAGGTTACCTGCTGCCCGTAGATGTGTACGAGCAGATTCATGATCGTCGAGGCACCATTCACACGCGCCGAGATAGAAGATGTCGAGGATGACTTGTTTGTCGAGAATCAAGTCGGGAAATAGCTGCAGATGGCGGCGGATGTGCGGTATGGCCCTCGTCATTAGATTTCGCGCAGTGTGATGGTGACTGATGGTCTTCTTGGACACCTCTTCCATGCGAGCAGCAGTTGCGGTCAGTAGTGAGAGCATATGCATTTTGTCAGAGAGGCAGCCTTGCACGACCTCTTTGATGGCTGGGACACTCTCTAGGTGGCTCGTGTCCGACATATCCGTTCGAGCGCGATCCGTAGTCCGTGGTGTCGAGAACGAGATGAAGTATTGCAAGATAGACTGTACCTCCGCGTCCAACCTGATCGAGGATGCATTGAATGGATCGACACAATCACCAGGTCGAAGGTTAGCCCGGGGGACCTCTACAGGTGTCGAGCTGGAGCTCTGTGGTTTTGATACGACATTTGGAATAGCACCAGGTCTTGCTGAATCTGCTTCTCTGCTGCTCGGGTGCAATGTCTGAGGCAGAATGCCGTCGGATCCGGTCCTACCCACGATCGGTCTTGCATTGGGAGAATCACTCAGCCCTTCTCGTTGTGATCTGTGCAAACGATTCTGTCTCCTCCATTGCTGCACATGTCTCCCGATGGCAGAAGATCGGTCCTCTTTGCTATTAGACAGGCTTGCGTCCAACCCCGACTTGTTCACGAACAAGAATTTGCTCGATTGTCCTCTTTCAGTCATTTCCTCCTTCTCAGCGACGATATTTCCTTCCCAAAATATCGGGTTTCACTGCTGGGACTGTCGGACTGTCCACACCTCGTTGGTGCCATGCTACTGGAGTTCCTTCGTAGATATCTGTTCCGCTGGAAGTCAGGTTTTAGTAGAGCGGACTTCTGACAATTATATCTCCAGGATTGGAGACCTGCATCGTCACGCCAGGAGCAGGGAAGAGACAAGTGCCGCAGCCTTGGACACTAAATGCTGTAAAATGCTTACGGACAGATTGAGCGCAATTGCCAACCTCCGAAGCCAGAACACTTCGCATGGTTAACAGACTTGCTGGGCAGGAACTGTTCGGTCCCTATTAATCTCGCTAATCCTCATACTCTGAGCTGGGAAGATCTGCAGAATGACGTATTGCCGGCATGAGGGGTCGCCAGGGGTGATGCCTCCAGCTCGGGAGATGTCGTGCATTTCCCAGAAATTCGATCAGGCCAGTTTCATCAGTGCCGACATTGGTTTTTGTGAGATCTCAACAGGGGATTATCTCGCAGCATTCAACAGTTCTGTTCTGGGAGAACGAACGTTAATGGAAGGTCAAGGGTCCCAAATGCGGCAAACCCCCATGGGTGATCTTCAGGCACCAGTGGCACCGAATTACTTGCGGGTGCTCCGCAATATCCTTATCCTCAGAACTGTTTAACTCGTGTTTGGGCGCCCTTCCCGGCTAGGGGCCGTGCTGAGTCTGGTGCCTGGACCCGTTCTTCTTTGGGTCTTATTGCAGTTAATACGGTGAACTCTCTGAGAAACGTGGAGCTCGTCCTTGAGGATGACCACCGTCAGCGGTCGGTGCTTGAAATACCATACGGGCAGCTGGTTGAGTGGGCTGCGGCGTATATCAGCTCGATGTCACACCCACTATCTTATCATGTTATACGCGTGGGATTCTTGACCCGCCTTGATCGAGCTTGGCAAGGCTTCATTTATTTCACCATGTCGCTAAGAGCAAAGGGGGCAGTAATCCCGGCTTACCTCAAAATATGCTTAGACATTGCAAAGCAAAGCTTGAGCGCTTTTCGGCACATTGCCCGAGTCGGAGAAAGATCTCGATCCAAGAAGGATCCTTTTTGATACCGACCGATATGCCTGTGAACCATCCAACCGAATAGAATCGTCAAGAAGGGGCGTTGTCGGTAGGTATTCGCGTCGACGTCAAAAAAAGAAATCCAGCAGGTCCGCTGCTGCCTCGCAGTGGAGGGGATTTATTTCAGGAATGCTCGGTCGGGAAGGCCCTAATCTTGTCGACCATTACGTAAAGGAGTTGGGTCTGGCTAGGACGGCGGCTAGGGACTCCTCAGCCTTGCATTTGCCATTCGGCTTGCATAAGCTTGAGTCCAAAGGTATCATAATGCATGTCGGGCCAACAGGAGTTCAGCGCGGTACCCATAGCGGTAGCCCCCAAGCATAGTAAAGGGAGAGGCCTCGGTTATTTGACTGTCAGTCCTTCTCAATGGCAACTGCTCGATTCGCCCGTAAGATGCATGACTGGCGTGTGGCTTATAGTCGGCCTTCCGGCAGATGGAGAATAGAGCGCGTCTATAAGGGAGGAATAGCGGATTGAATCAGTGGCCGCAGCCAATGGTAGGTGTAGACTCAATGCGCCCTGCTGACCACTGGTATGGGAAGAACGTTGTAGGTGGGCCTCTGGACCTCAATATCAATTTGCTGTGGACTTTCAGGGTTCCGACTTTGCATTCTGCCGCTTCTAGGAGAATGCTCTCTGCACTTCTGAGAGAATTACATCATGTCCTTTCCCTCTTGCAGTCCAGAGATGTGTTCCTTTTAGACTTGAGTGGTAGCTTCGCAGTCTCCAATTAGATCGGGAGACCTCTTTCTCCCCCCCGATTTTTCTGGCAGAAAGGGTATCAGGCACGAAGATGGCGATCGGCAGACCTCGCATACCTGGCACCGACGCAGAGAGGGCAGAGGCACGGAGGAACAAAGTCCGTGCGTAAGTGTTTCGTAGGCGTTTCTGGTGTTGTGAGTACACACTTATACTGACGGTGCATTGTGTCAAGCAATGTCCAAGCCTTTAGGAGGCGCCAGAAAGAAAAGCAACTCGCAGAGCAGACGATCCGGACGCAGGCCAGTGAAGGTGTGCTTCCAACACGTCAGACCCTCGCACGCCAGCAGCCCACAATCGCCATACTCCCTCAAAGTTGTCCACGAGCATTCGAACCTTCTCCGTTATCTCCGGATGATCCTGAATTCTGGCTATGGGCTATACCCTCAGAAATGGGTGCAAGGCTCGTGGGCTCGACATACCACGTTGCATTCGTGCAGGCTCTCAAGAACAAATTCGTGAGACCTCAAACAGTGCGCGAACGAACCAAGAACAAGGCTGAACAACAACTGTCAATATGTTGTTCGACGTGGATCACAACAGCAAGCCTCGAAATCGACAAACCTGAAACCAAAGTCTTGATGGAGGCTCTATTGGCTGCCTCGCTGGCCAAAGTTGGAAAAGACCGCAATGAACCAGAGATGGTCCTTCAAGGAGCCTATATGCAAACCCGTGCATTGCAGAGATTGCGGTACTCGCTGAAAAGGTACCAAGACGGCGACAGAACTATTTCCCCGACAATGTTGTCCTCGATGGCGCTGATCTGTGCCATGTCGGAGCTGATAACCAACAAGTCTTGGGACAACTTCAATTGTCACTTGTTGGGGGTGGGGGCTCTCATTTTCCATGGCGGTGCCGAAGTAAGTTTCATCCATTGGTTTCGTCGATGGCTCTTCGATGTCTCCGGCACGGGAGTTCAATCTTCGCAATCTGAAGCTTTGTCCTCTGTGAAAATATCGCCAACATGCTAACCATTTTTCTTCCTGGTCGATAGGGTCTGAATCAGCAGTCGTCTCAAGAACACTTCTACGGCTACCGCGCAATCCAAACACCTTTCTTGTTCATGAGTCGGCAGAAATCGTTCCTGTCCGAGTCACAATGGATCAACTTCCCATGGAAAGGAGAGGTGGAGCTGGCTCAAAGCCCCCTGCACTCGATGCTCGATATTGCCCTCAAGGCGTTACCAGAGATTGTCAAGCAGGAAACACCGAAAGCTTGGAGTCTTCCTTCTCTCAAGGAGAGATATGAAAAGGCGTGCGCGATTGCGACGGAATTGGATGATTGGGAGCGTCAGCTGCGATCACAACACCGTGGTCCTCTACACAGCGAAGTCATTGCCAGCTGGGGAGGTGTGTACGAGCGTCGCCTCGACTTCCACAATACCGAGATTGCCATTGCATTCGCGACATACACGGCCGTCAGGATACATGTTGCAACGCTTGTTGCCGACACCTCAAAAGAGATCATCTCCCGCATGCCCACGACTGACATAGACAGAAGTGCAGCTATGCTTGAGGCATTGCGGTGGGCACGGCTTGCCTGCGAGAGCCTCGAGTACTTCCACACTAGCGAACCCAAAGTTACTGGACGCATCATAACGCTGTGGCCACTTGAAGCCGCGTGGGAGCTCTTTGCGCAGCTGGAAGTGGAAGGTTCTATGGATGTCTCACAAGAGATCGCGTGGTGTCGCTCTGCAGCTGAACGGTACGCAAAACTGGGAATCCCTCCGTTCCAATGGAGGTGAGACCCAGCTAGGGCATGGGGGACAGAGGATGAGATGAGGAACGGTGTCTCCCGAACCTGTTTCCAGAGCTGGTGCCACACCGGTTTCCCCTTTGTTGGCCAACCTTGCCGAGGAAGCGACCGAAGCTGAAACTCCATTCGAGGCAAATCAAGCCCCAGAGCGGCACTGAAGTGATCCAGAGCATCGTAGAGTATCGGAAGCGGAGACCAAGATCTGCCATGATCGAAGCAGACCCGGAGGAACTTCCTTGACAGGTAAACCTGTTCTGAGGCTGCTGAGACCTTTGGGACGTCAAGACCGGGTCGACCGCCACATGTCGAGCACAGCCACGGAGGTGGCGAGTGCCTTGGCACCACGGGAGTGGATCACGTGACCGAAGTGACCAAATCCCTGTGGCTGGTGACCAGGCGGTTGGGGACGTGGCAGGCATTTGCAGCTCATCACATCGCCTGCTGCCTGCTGCCTGCGTTTCCAGCCATCTGAGAAATTCAATTATGGGCCATCCTCAGGGTGCCACGAAAGGGCTGTCTTTCGTGAGCGAATGTGAGCCACTGGTGGCTGCATCCACTGCCATCCCATGCGACCCCCAAGGCCCTCTTCGCCGATCTCCGCAAGACTCCCACCGACCAGTGCGCATCCTCCAATATTGTGGTGGTCCCGGGGCAATAAATGACGGAAGTCAAGAAGAACAAGACCAAAGCCAAGGAGCCCAGAGGAGGAGTTGGACGTTTGACATTCCTTGCCGCCAGAAAAATTGCTGGGCAGGACTTGGTACTGGCTTGGAATTCGCAGTGTCCTTTGCTGCTGCAGGTGGAAGAGCAGGACCGACGGCGTACCAGATCGCCAGAAAGACGGATATATTAGCAGCACTTGGAGAAGACAGGATTCTAGCTTTATACACAGGCACTGCGCACATGTTTGGCTCTACGTTTGAGGAATAGTGCCTAATGCAGGATTGGACCAACAGGCTGATGGCGATCCATCCTCGTATCGGATGCCTTCTCAGGGGGCCACCAGGTGAACCTCGCAAGGTGATGAGAATGCGGACCTCGACTGAACAACATGGATGGGATTTCCAACAACCCACGCTGGTGTTGATTGTCTTGAGCTCTGCTGCTCGGGGCGCCTCCTCAAACACCAATCGCATGTGTCACACTTTGTCAAGTGGCCCAAATCGCGATGTTTGGCTCTGCCCAGAATGTGCCTATCTGCACTGCCTCGTTCTGGGCAACATCAAGACACTCCATCCACCACAATCTCGTCCAATGCTGGAAGTGCCGAGCAGCTGCAAACCATGGCACCCTCTTCAAGGCAGAGTTTTCCTCTGCTCTTATTTGTGATTTGTGAAGTCGCCTCATCATGACCCCGTTGGTGCCTTACATCCTGTACGACACCTCATAAGCCACGTTTCTCCCATTAATACAAGGCTGAGTGCGTGTGTCCGACTTGTTGCCTGCCTGCCACCGAGTCTACGCCAACCGACCTCAGATCTGAGCGGTTCAGCTCAGCCATCGTCGCAATGAAGGGGCCAAATTCCCCTCCGTCCTCACCTCCAAGGATCACAGTTGACACATCGGTAAAAGATCTCATTAAATATCTGCGATTGTGTTTTGTTTCAGAATCTGACCTTTTGGCCTCAGAATCTAGCAGGACAGCCTCGGGCGGAATCATCGACGACTTGGGTAACATCACCAAGTCACCAAAGGGGACCTAGCATGTCCACGCCTCCCCAAACCGCCATAGACGACAGCTCGTACTTGTCTCCCACTTCGCCTGAGCGCAGAGCGCAATATGATGGATCAACTCTCAATTCCAGGTCCGGCTCTGTCGCTTCGGGAGCTACAACGACACGATTCCGATCGAATTCGGGCATATCAGCAGCATCCAATACTACATTCTACTCCAAATCTAGCCTCGAGTTTGACCCCCCAGAAGAAGCCTTACGAGCTGACAAGGGAGACGAGAAGGACTTCAGCGTCCCAAATAATCCCTTTGCCTTCTCCCCGGGTCAACTGAACAAGCTCCTCAATCCAAAATCATTATCCGCCTACAAAGCACTAGGAGGTCTGAAAGGTCTCGAAAGGGGACTGCGGACCAGTATCTCAGCTGGGTTGTCAGTGGACGAAACCCGCCTCGAGGGACAAGTCTCTTACGAAGAGGCAGTTGCTGCTGGATCCGGCAAAGAAGGACTTTCAGATGTCAGCCTAAGCCGCTCAGATTCACGTGGAAGTGTGAGCCTGCGCGAAGTCAAGGGCCAATTTGAAGACCGCCTCCGCGTCTATCGAGACAATCGACTCCCTGAGCGAAAGCCAGACAGTATCCTTGTACTCATCTGGCGAGCATATAACGATAAAATCCTCATCCTGCTCACCATCGCCGCTGTGATCTCTCTAGCCTTAGGGATTTACGAGACTGTGGATGGAGGCTCCGGAGTCGACTGGGTCGAAGGGGTTGCCATTTGTGTTGCAATCCTTATTGTAGTTATTGTTGGTGCCGCCAATGACTGGCAAAAGGAGCGGCAGTTCGTCAAACTGAACAAACGGGTACGTCAATTCCTATGGTTGGCAGTGTCCGAGCCTTTTTCTAACCCTCGCAAACAGAAAGACGATCGAGAAGTCAAAGTCATTCGCTCAGGCAAGTCTATTCAAATTTCAGTGCACGACATCACAGTTGGCGACGTCCTTCATCTCGAGCCTGGCGACGCCGTTCCGGCGGACGGTATCTTCATCTCTGGACATGGCGTCAAATGCGACGAATCGTCAGCAACTGGTGAGTCGGATCAGATGAAAAAGACTCCAGGCGAGGAAGTGTGGCAACGTATTCAGGATGGAACTGCGACCAACAAACTCGATCCTTTCATCATCAGTGGCTCCAAAGTTCTAGAGGGCGTCGGCACCTATCTCGTCACCAGCGTCGGTGTGAACAGCTCCTACGGAAAAATCTTAATGAGCTTGCAGACCGACAATGAGCCGACCCCTCTGCAGGTGAAACTGGGCAGACTGGCAAATTGGATCGGAGGCCTTGGATCTACAGCCGCAGGACTCCTTTTCATCGTCCTTCTGATCAAATTTCTGACTCACCTGTCTGGGGACACACGACCAGGGGCCGAGAAGGCCCAGGAGTTCTTGGACATCCTCATCGTCGCAATTACAGTCATTGTTGTTGCCGTCCCGGAAGGACTGCCCTTGGCAGTGACGCTGGCTCTGGCCTTCGCCACTACTAGAATGTTGAAGGAGAACAATCTCGTTCGAGTTCTTCGTGCCTGTGAGACCATGGGCAACGCCACAACCATCTGTTCGGACAAGACCGGCACCTTGACTCAAAATAAGATGACTGTGGTTGCCGGCACGATCGGAACGAAGGGGAAGTTTGCCTCGTCACGCTCGGCGGAGACAAGTGAAGCTGCCTCGTTTACCACGATGTTCAGCAACCTGAACTCTGATGTTAAGGAATTGCTCAGGCTCTCTATCACTCTTAACAGTACGGCTTTCGAAGGTGAAGAGAAGGGCTTACCCACTTTCATTGGTTCCAAGACCGAGGTTGCCTTACTCACTCTTGCAAAGGAGAATCTGGGTCTTGACAATCTAGCTGCTGAACGATCGAACTATAAGATCAAGCAATTGATCCCATTCGACTCGGCTCGCAAGTGTATGGGTATAGTCATCAAACACAACGGGGTCTACCGGCTTCTCGTCAAGGGAGCCGCGGAGATCATGCTTGCCAAATCGGTCAAGACCATTTCCAGTGTCTACGAGAAGCAGTGCGCAGTTACGGATTTGACTGCCGAGGAAAGGGAAACGATGTCCGCCATCATCGACGAATACGCACGACACTCACTCCGCACCATTGGTATGCTGTACAAGGACTTCCCACAATGGCCACCTGCTGGTGCGAGGACCCTTGAAGAAGATGCAAAGATGGCCGACTTTGACGATATCTTCCATGAAATGACATGGATTGGCGTCGTCGGGATCCATGATCCTCTCCGAGATGGCGTGGTTGAAGCCGTGGCACAGTGCCAGCATTCGGGTGTGGTGGTCCGCATGGTCACTGGCGACAATGTCACCACTGCGCGTGCGATTGCTACTGACTGCGGCATCCTACGCAAGGACGAAGACGGGATTGTGATGGAAGGCCCTAAGTTCCGCCAGCTCTCCAATGAGGAAATGGACAGGATTCTGCCACGTCTTCGTGTCTTGGCTCGTTCGTCGCCTGAAGACAAGCGCATCCTTGTCGGTCGGCTCAAGCATTTGGGCGAGACAGTCGCAGTAACTGGAGACGGCACCAACGATGGACCCGCCCTGAAGATGGCCGATGTTGGCTTCAGCATGGGCATTGCCGGTACGGAAGTCGCAAAAGAAGCCTCCTCCATCATCCTGCTCGATGACAACTTCTCTTCCACAATCACTGCCCTCATGTGGGGGCGAGCTGTCAACGACGCGGTGAAAAAGTTCTTGCAGTTTCAGATCACCGTCAACATCACTGCCGTGATACTCACTTTCGTGTCTGCTGTCTCCAACGACTCGAACCACTCCGTTCTCACCGCCGTTCAGCTCCTCTGGGTGAACCTCATCATGGACACTCTTGCTGCTCTGGCGCTCGCGACCGATCCGCCTACCAAGAAGATATTGGATCGCCCCCCACAGCCAAAATCAGAGGCTCTGATTACGATCAACATGTGGAAAATGATTGTTGGCCAAGCAATCTATCAACTGATCGTCACATTCGTGCTCTACTTTGCCGGCATGTCTATTTTGAGCTACGAGCCGAGTCAGCGGAAAGAACTGGATACCATCGTTTTCAATACGTTTGTCTGGATGCAAATCTTCAACGAACTGAACAACCGCCGCTTGGACAATAAGTTCAACATCTTTGAGAATGTTCATCGCAACTTCTGGTTTATTGGCATCAACTGCATCATGGTCGCAGGGCAGATCATGATCATCTTCATTGGCGGAGCTGCCTTTAGCATTACTGCCCTCGACGGTCCTCAATGGGCGATTTCGCTCCTGGTTGCTCTGCCTTGTTTGCTCTGGGGTGTCCTGGTTCGATGCTTCCCTGACGCTTGGTTCGCAGTCGTCTTCAACGGAGCGGTCAACGGCATAACTTTCGTTCTCCGTCCGATCTGGAAGGGTCTTCATATCATTTTTCATCCGCTTGCACAGATCTGTCGCGCCATCGCACGGTTCACCAGGCGTGCTATACGCAAGGTCACCCACCGGAATGCTTCTGAGCAGGAAGACGAGCCAGCGGCGGTTGACGAGGAGCGTCCCTCGACCGTGGCCATGGAGAAGCGACCTGGTGCCGCCCACGCGTCGAGCGACTCAACCTCAACGGCAGCCACCAGGAGGCTCAGTGATATTGATACGCCTTCACCATCCGACCGGATCAGTGGCGCGACAGAAATGAAAGATATCCCTGTGCCCTCTGTGTCGATTACTGGGCCCAGCTGAGCGATATATCTCCCCAACAGTTCTTGCGCCTGTCGACTGTACATACGCCCACATCTCGGGTTTTCATTTGTTGTCTATATATCTATCTGGAAGAGTCGGCGTTTGGTTTGGGAAACCATGTGCGATATACGAAAAGTAGCGCCGTGAGACGGTGCCGGTAGGGGTATGCATGCGCGGGTCAAGGCTTTTTCCACGATCTGACGACCTCGGAGTTCTGGATGGCGTTTGTCGGGCAGGCTTTCTGGTTGGACTAGCCTCTGCAGCTGGTCGCTTGGACTGGATTTGGAATGGGATTTGGATTCCGGATTTTCGGGGGTCACAAGTGTGTGTGACTCTGGGAAGGCAAAATTGTTTCCTCGTTGGAGATCCCGTCGTTGTCAAAACTGAAATGTGTATCGGCTACATGCGAAGCTGAGGATAGGCAAGTATTGTGGCGGGTTAACTAAGAGAAGAAAAAGAATTTCAATGTATATGCCCATACTAATTCAGCTTTCCCTGGCTGATGCTGTCTTATACCACCCTTTTCATCCCCAAGAATCTATCTCCCAGAACTCGGAGGTTGGTGCAACGAGCACGAGGTATCAGAGCACGGAGGCGCCGTAAAGGGGGATGACAAAGCTGAAGTCCCCGTGCTTCAGATATTATCAACGCGTCTTGTACTCGTTTCGCGCTCACTCCTACTCACCCATACGTTCTGTCTCTGTCTCTGTCTCTGTGTGTATGTGTCTATACCCCCATCCATTCCCCATGCATACGTGCGCGCTCGAGCAAATAACGCCCCCAAACAACGTGTTTTTCTCTTTTCCTCCCGTTCTCAACAAACCACCGCGAGATCCCACCCCGGGGCACCGCACACCGTCAGGGATGATCACGACGACCCTCAATGCAGAACATGTTCGCCAGCGCCGGTGTTTCGAAGACGCAAGGCACCGGGTGTGAAAATGGGGGAGATTGCGAATACCCCGCCGCAACCCGTTGTTGTGCACTTGTATTCGATACTCTGAGTATACTCCACACGTTTATGATCCATAGCTGATCTGCGTCTGCTTGCAAATGTGTTGTGTGGAAATGAAATGCTGGTTGGGGAAAAGGATCCTCACGTTCCATGTCCCGTTCGGGACGCGGAATGAGGAGGACTTGATTTCCAGGGCTTGCAGATCCCCATCAAACGAGCAATCAAAACACACTTGTCCACATGGGGAATATATGTGGTATGTATCCACAACGCCAACGGTTTGCTTTTAAACTTAGTTGTAGACTGCATTGGTAGTTCCTAGTATCACGCAAAAAACGTATGGTCTGGTCCCCATCCCATCCGTGAAGGGACAACTTGCCACAGCGCTTTTCATATCGATCCACAAACCGCCTTTTGCACAGACTGTGAATACACAGAAGAACACGTGTACGGGCCGTAGGCGACATCAAGACGACAAGCTGCTCCCCCGTGGGTGTCTGTTCGATTTCGGCCTGTTCGAGGAGGCCCAAAGCGAAGCTCGCCGTGATCTTTTCCACCAGGAGGAAGAAGGCCCTGTGCAGCGTTCCTGTGATGCCCGGCAGTTCGCGTCGGTTTCTGCCATCACTCCTATACTTTCCATCCACAGCCCAAAGAACCGGCATCTTCTGGAGACCTTTCCAGACGACATCCTCTCGTGCCCTGCTAATCCTAATGGACCTGGAGCCTGAGGAGGTACCTTCTGAAGAGGAGCCAACTGTGTCACTGGATTTGTCCCGGCGTCTCCTGCGCAATCATCAGTGGACATCTCAGCCTTGCCTATGTTGAACTTCTTGACTTTGGGGCGGTGTCCTCCCTACGCAAGACTGTGCTGTTCAGCAGGAGAACTCTGCACACATCCTGATATGGCCATACTGACCACTGCCGGCCGATATCGACGTCTGAGGGGTTCTTGCCCGACGACGAGCTGGTGACCGCTCCTGCGCAACACCTGAGGAGCCTTCCTTCTCTGAAAGGACTGGGTGCAGCGCCTTCCTATGTCGAAATGCTGCTGGGGGTATATTTTTCGCTCGCCCGTTCTGCTCGCGTCCTTTTCCTCTCTCTCTCCAGTAGCGATAGAATTTCATATTTCATATCAAATATTAAATATGGCATCTATCGTGAATTTCATCAACAATTTTTGGGAATTTATAAATACCAAAACATTTTATTCATTCTTTCAGACAATTTTGGTGCCCACCGCGATGGGTCTCGGCTGGGGGATTAGCCTGTGGTACGTCAACCACATCTCCCCTAATATGCAAATGCTCATGGTATACACAGGCAGGACAATGCCACCAAAATCCGTCTTGCCCAGATAGAGCGGGACCGTGACGTGGCAATTGCCCGTCTGGAGCGCAACGGTACGTTGTTCCATTCTGTCTGCCAGGCATTTGTCCCTGGCGATCCCCAGCACCGCGTCGCCATTCGTCACGTTTGTCACCCGCGAGCCACTGAGCTCCTTCGTTGCCCGGCCTCTCATTCGTGCTGGCGTTCTTCAAGCCTCTACTGACATGTGCGCAGTCCAGACGGAGTCGGTCCCCGCTCTCGGCAGGCGGATGGAGGTGGCATTGGAGGATTGCCCAGGCTAACCGCCTCAGCCCCCATCGCGGTGGAGCCTGGAAGCACCGGGTGGGCTTGTAAGTACTCGCGTGCTCTTGATCTGGGAGCAGAACTGATCCATTGGCAGGGGGCAATTCCTGGGGGGTATACTCCATGGACCTTTCATTCGGCCACGACGATGCGGTTCTCCCTTCTACGACTGCGGCTCCTGGAAGCAAGAGCAAAGACAACACAAGAGCAATAACAGTCACCGCTGGCCACAAGACATGAAACAATCAGCATTGCACAGCCAGGGCCCGCGAGCCCAGATACAAGACAAGCCGCCGAAAGGCCTCGATGTTCTGCCATCATTCAATGCTTCAACTATCTTTCTCAAGCCCCCTTTCTCCTGGTGAATTGGGTTCGGCAATCAGAGGTGAGACAAGTGATGACTACTTGGAGTACACAGCTAATGACAAATAGCAAGCAACTTGTTCGTCGCCTTCACCGCAGCGGGATGCAACTTTCCCACATGTCTCAGCATACATCGTCCATATCAACTGCACAACTGCCATGAACGAGTCGTCGTTTCTCCCACGCTGTTTATGGACAGCCAAATCACTGGCGCGCCGCAGTCCGTCTTCTCCTCGACTCTTGCACGATTTCCTCCATAAGATCAAAAAGCTCGCCATCAGCCATTGCCTGCACTCTTTCCCGCTGTGAGCTTCTCGCACCCTGTCCGAAGCCTTCATAGGCTCTCATACCAAAAGTCCAAGCTGTCGTCGAGGAACTCGAGAATGTACTCGTCGGTGGAATCGCACTGCCTCCACTACTTCCACATCTCCGACACATTCCTGCCAGATTATTGCCGAAGTCTAGACTCGGCATCAAGGGACATTGCCCAGGAACTTGTGGCGCAAAATGGGATCTGGAACGTCGCTCTCCCTCGAAGTCTTTACCCTCCTGCATTCCTTCCGCCCACGCACCCAATGCTGCGATGCCGAAGACTCCCAAGAAGGTCATTCCGCCCAATCCGCCGATAAACAAGAGGCTTTCGCCAGCGAAGGATAGTCCTGAGGAGCTTGACATTGTGGGGAATCTTGGTTCCTTGACGCAGAGTGAAACCTTCTGACAGAAAGGAGGTTGCTAAAGTGATGCGGCTTGGATGCAAGGATGTCGTCCGATCAATGCTGTGGCAAAGGATTGTTGGTCGAGTAGTGTGGTGGAAATTGTTCGCCGAGTCAGCAGCTGGAGCGGTGGCGTCTGTCGTCGTTGGGTCAAGATCACTTTGAGGAAGAGGAAGACGAGCATGTCAGAAGACAGTCTTCAAATAAATACTCTGGTGGATGTGGGATCACAAGAGGACCTTTCCCGTGTTGGAATTTGGACACCAATCAATACCTTTAACCAAATTCTTCCTCAACTTTGTTCATCACGGCCTATGGTTCTCGAAGAACATTTATTCCCAACATTGTCTTCTCGCACCCGGTGTGGCTAAGCCCCTCGCGAAGGACGAGGACATGTAGAAATACAACATCACGACAAAGTCCTCCCTCCTGCACCGAGTACGTAGAGTAGCGAGAACAGCTCAGCGTGGACAACCAGTCCGTCTGTTTACTTCATACATGGTCGCAGGCCTACGTGTACCGAGAGTGCAGCACATCCCTTCTGTGCTTTTCGAACCCCCCCAGCGGCCCCCATCTTTTCCTCGACTACCGACCTCCTCCTTTGCGACTACTACCACTACTGCTCGTCAGACCGTTTCGCCAGGCCAGTCCCCGGTAGATATGTAGGTGGCTAGGCATGGCACGGGAAACTTTCCCTTTGTTTCTCCGCCCCGTGGCCTGTACATGATTATTAGTAGATAACGAGTACGCCGAGCCAGGTTGGCGTCTTGGGGTGGGAGGGGGTGGGGGGTGAGTTGAGTTGAAGTTGAAGTTGAAGTTGCACAAGGGAGAGATGGATGTATTTGATCAAACACTCACCCACTCTCTTGCTCACTTACTCAGGCGACGTCGGTCGCTTCAATAGCAGCAACAGCGGCAGCAGCAGAAGAGGGGTTGTGTGATAGAACGATAAAGTCTGTCTTGTCTGGCTATCTGCCCCCAGTGTACACCATGGACCTCGTACTCGGCGGTTTCTCGTGCGCTTTCGCGGGGGTTGTTGTATGGAGTAATATAATTAATGATCTAAGCCCCCCCCCCCCCCCCTTCTCCCCAGCCCGAAACAAGAGAGACACAGCCCTCCTGCTCCGTACTCGGTACTTGATGCTTGGTACTTGGTACTCGGAGCTCATACTTTCCTCGCCCCATGCTTGCGTGCTTCTCCACGTCTGTCTGGGCTGATGCTATTCTGGGGCCGGGGGTCTTTCCGCTCGCTCTCTTGAGACGTGCTTTACATGCTACGTTCGCTACACGTTCAAGGAGAGACCAAAGTCAAAGCAAACAATTCATGCATCTCGGCGTCTTTGAATTTGCAAGGTTTCTTCTTTTCGGCCTGATTTCAAAACTACCAAGGAAAAACAATGGGAGTTTTCCAATCCTGCACTCGTCTTTCATCCTCGACATGCTATCCGTTTCCAATCAATACCCTCCTAAACTGATAAACCAACCACTTTTTCAAACACAGGGCACCATGATCAGGTCGAAGATGCGATAAAGTTGACATATGAATGTATATGTATATCCCCCACGGCTCGCGCTCTTGCGCGTCACATAGTTCTCCTTTCATGTCCGCAAAACGCCAGTCCCGCTCATTCCATGATGACATAGTAAAAAAAACTCCCTCGGATAGATGACATAGATACAAAGATGGTCAGGGGGTGTTGGTGATTAGAAATTATGTTTTCGCGGACATGGTTCTGTCGTTTCATTGCGTGTACCCTGGAGGCTTACCAGGACCTCCTGGACCGCCTGGACCGCCTGGACCACCCGGTCCCTTGACACCAGGACCTCCGGGACCGCCCGGTCCTCCAGGGCCCTTGCCGCCGGGACCACCTGGACCTCCAGGCCCTCCCGGACCGCCGGGGCCCTTTCCTCCTGGTCCGCCAGGACCACCCTTGCCCGGAGGAGGTCCCTTCATGGCGAGACTGCTTCTCTTCCTCAGCTTTTCACCAAAGAGCCACAGGATGATCGGGACAGGGATGCCGATACCAATGGCGGCCAGTGCCAGCACCGTGTTACCCCAGCCAAAATGTAGGGCTCTGTACATTGCAGGTGCAAATAGAGGGAAACCGAAACCGGCAAGTGATCGCAGAATCGTGACAGCAGCCACAGCCGAGGCAGCAAACCTCGCGTAGGTGTCGACGAGATAGGTGGTGACGCATTGGAAGGCGGCAATGGTTCCAATACCAAAGATGAAGGAGCCGATGTTGGGCACAATCCAATGTGTCTTGGCCTGCGCGGACCATCCGTACACCAGGAGGCCAACGGGTACGAAGAAGGAGAAGGGAATGACAACCGGCATGCGATATTCCGGCTTGCCTTGTCCCCGGGGATCTCTGGCCTTGAGCTTGCGGTAGATCTTGTCGCCCGACTTGCCACAGAGGGGGGCTCCGACGAAGAAACCCAAACCCAGAGAGATGTAGTTCAGGCCAGCAATACCCACGCTTTCGTGGTAAATATTACCGTACAGATCGGGGAACGTGGAAAGCGCAAGGTAGAGGATGCCGTAGGAGAAGGCCATGTACAAAGCCAACACTTGCACGATGGGTTGGCTGAACAACATGCCGAAGGATCGAGCCATTGTCTTGACGATCTTCTTCCATACCGGCTGGTCAACTTCACCCTCACCATCGGCATGCCACCGTTTGTCGCCCGTCTGTTTGCGGATCATCTTGGCCTTCTTGTGCAAGATATAGGGGGTGTAGGTCTCGCTGAGTTTCCAGAAGCCGGCAACGAGAATGAAGCAGTTGACAATCGAAGTGGCGTAGAACATCCACCTCCAGTCGGACTTTTCGGCCACCCAGGCACCCACAATAGGACCAACAGCAGGGCCAAGCAGAGGGCCCATGGCGTAGATACCCATGGCCTTGCCACGTTCTTCGGGTTTGAACAAGTCACCCAGGACACCACCACCAATAGCAAGGGGTGCGGAACCTCCGAGACCGGACAAGAATCGGAAGGCCATCAGTTGCTCCTTGGTTTGAGCGAAGCCACAGGCAGTGTTGAAAGCCAAGAACACCACGTTGGAGGATTGGAGGATGATCACACGGCCGTACAGCTCAGAGAGCGGACCGAGAATCATAGGACCGATCGCATATGCCAAGACGAAGATGGAGAGGACGATCTGGGATTCTATCTGGTTGGTGATGTGGAATTCTCTGGCGATCTGTTGAAGGGCAGGGGCGACCATGGACGACGCTAGGGGTGAGAGGAATGTAAAGGAGGCGGTAAGCATTGTTATGGCCCACTTCTTATTCGAAGGCCAGTTCTTGGGGTTCAGTTGGTCATCGGGCCCATTGAATTTGACCTGGAGTAACAGGTATTAGCAGCCGTTTCGTGTGGACAAAGTAATAGAACTACTTACCAGGAATGGGTCGTCGTTTGGAGGACCACCTGGACCGCCAGGACCGCCAGGGCCACGTGGTCCAGGACCACCGCCCGGTTTCTCCTTGGGCAAGAAAGGAGTGGGAGTGGCAGGACCATTTTGAGCTTCGATGTCGAATTTGGCAGGGTCTTTCCTGTCCATCATGCCGTGGCCATGATCTTCGTCACACGTGCACCATGACTCGTGGGAATGTTTACTGTGTTCTCGGTCCATTGGGGGGGTCATTTGCTGGGAAAGTGGTCTCTTTTCATCTCGGGGGTAGGAGTTGTGTAGCGTGTTCATGGCCAGGGTCTCCTCCGATTGCGTCGGGTATCGAGGAACCGATTGGTCGTAGAGAGAATCATTGTTGTTCAGGTAGCCTTCGGCCAGTAGTCTCTGGTTTGCTACAAAGTCTTGGTCTCGGTTGAGGTAGTGGTCGTCGCTCACTATTCTCGAGTCGCGGGTGCGGAAGGACGGGGCATAGGAAGCCAGGGAATCTCTGTTTTGGGCGGATCGCATCGATCCCTGATCATCATAGCGGCCAAGGTGATAGTCTGGGTGGTCGTCGTAGAGGACAGCGAAGGTAATCTCACTGCTGGCGCGGTCAGAGCCAGGTGAGGGCTCGGCAGGTAGAGAGCGGTGCCTATATGGCTCGGTCGAGTTTAAACGTCGTAGCGAAGGAAATCGTGAGTTCAACGCGGGTTGTGATAGGGGTCGTAGGAGCTGGTTGTTGGTGCCATCTTCCTCCATGTCGTCGGCGAACGCAGCTGTGGCAGGATTTGTACTGTCGTTGGAGGTCGGGAGGAAGGCGACAGTATGTCGAGGAGGTTGCTGCTGTTGTTGCGGGTGTTGGGCTAGAGATGAACCGGGACGCGATTGGGAGTCGTAGCCTCTGGCGACTTCCCAGCTGTCCCACGAATTTGGAGCCGCCAGCGTGAAAGGGGGGGGTCTCGGTATGTAGAACGATGAACGAGTGTGGTTTGTCCAGGAATTATTACAACAAAAACAAACAAATTCGAAACGGTGGACAAAGCGTCGAGGACAGGGAAGGTAAGGGGGGGGAGGAGAGGAGAAGGACGAGGGAGTAAAGTGAGTGAGCTGGCTGAGCGAGTGTAAAAAGCGAGTGGTGAAGTAGTAGGAGGTCGGTAAGAAGGGAGGGAACCACGGACAAGAATAAGATCCGCTGGCCTGTCGGGCGAGATGACGAGGGATGGAGGAATAAAGGGATCTAGGGGAATTTTGAGGTGGAGGGCGCGGGAGGGGGGGAGGAAGAGAGAAAAGCGAGGGTGAGCTGGGTGTTGCGAAACTGAGAAGGAGAGACAAGAAAAGCGGGCTGCGGTGCAGGACGGCCTGGTAAGTAGGTGGTTGAAAGCTGCTACGGGCCTGTGGGCTGTGGGCTAGCTAGGGACACTAGGTGCGAAAAGGGCCCTTTCTAGGCTGGTGCTATACGGCGGCGGGCCTTGGATGACCTGGGTTCCTGGGATAGTCGCGGGTTAGTACCATCCGGGAATAGAGGCCTGGATGGAGACGGCATTGGGAATTGGGGGGAGGGATTTGGGAACCCATCATTTCAAGCACCCAGCCAGAACACCCAGACAGCCTTGGTTTCTCTTTCAGGCCCCAACCCCAGCCTGAAAAAAGAGGCTTTGTCGCTCCAATAATATCAGCTCCTTGCCGCCCTTATCCCACTTGTCAGTCGGCGCTCGGATCATGGACCTTGCGAGACGAGGCCACTCCGATGTTCGAGTAACGCCCGTCGCCACCGTTGGTGGTGACGATGATGATGATGGTGTTGATGATTCTCCGGACGGAGACTGTAAGACTTGGCTTCGCTGGCCGGACGAAGGATGTGGCTGTTGATCTGGCTGAGAAGGGGAGCAGGAATACGGACGGAGACGACCCAAAGCGAAAGAGAGATTGCGAGATTGGAAGCCCATCTGGACTGCGATTGGCTTTCCCCTCTGGCCAAGCTGCAAGTGATGATGATTGTCCATCACACGAGGCAGAAACATCATCATCATCATCATCATCGTTGTCGCTGTTATAGATGGCACGGCATGTGGCCTTCCTACCGTCTATGGAGCAACATGCTAGCCGTGCCGCAATAACATGTACCAGGGTACCTATCTACGGGTATGTTGGTACATGCTAGGTAGCCTAAATTATGCTGAATACCAGGGCACAGGATGTTTTGGGCGGGAGAGTTGCATGGTTTCCCCATCCATGACGGCCACATATCATGCAAGACGAGTACGAGTTCATTGGAGCCGTAACTTTAATGCCTTGTTCGACCCGGACTGTTGTTTTACCGTACGTATACCAAAATACGAGAAGGGCTTGCGGCTAGGTTCCAAGCAGAAAAATGGCACAACTTGACCACCATCGCACGCCATCAGCAATCCCTCCAGCCCGCACAGTGATAAAGGGGGAGGAGGAGCCGCCCAGACGCGCGAAAGTGAACTGAAATCTTACTGCAGAAAAGTCAAGCAAACAGCATTCTCTCCAAGAGAGCGTGAAAAGCAGCTGAATGGGAACAGAAGAGGCGGGGGGGGGGGGGGGGGGGGGCAAGGGAGCCTGAGCCCACGCCCAAGCGACAGCCTTGGTGGAGATTGTTAGGCGCATCGGTTTGTTGGTGGGCACTGGGCACAGGACACAGGACACAGGACACACCGGCCAGGGAGCTCCCAGGGCGCCAAGGGCTCGCAGGGCCACAGGAGCAGCCCAGGGCGCACAGCTCGGGCACCGCTCAGGCCCTCCAGATTTGCGAAGAGAATTGCAGGCCCTGTTGGCCCCCAGCCCGACCATGGTCCACGGGCCCAGTGCAGCAGGTGCCAGTAGTGGGCTGTTGCTAAAATTGAGTCCGTAGCGCATCGTGCTAGTGGATCCCGTGGCCTGCTGGCCTGCGCCGCAATCTTGATCCCTGGGCCTCTTGGCCTCCCCCCCCTGGTCAAATGGCCCTGGATCTGCCCCTGTTTGGGCCTCCTCTCCACGGACTTTGTCGTCCGACACACCGAGCTAGCGGCGCCTTGTTGTGGCTCGCGGCCTGTCGCTTGCCTGTTCCTGGCATGGTGGTGGACTCAGCCAGCCAATCCGCGGGCCCCTTAATCTATTGCCCGAAGAGGCCGAAGTTGTATTGGTCGTCCGCGACATCGAGAAAACGTCATATATTTCAAGACGACTTTCAAAAGACCGCGTCAGTTGGTCCAGGATGAGGAGGAAACCCGTGGACTGTGACTGTTCACCATGCTTGTCTCTACCTCGAGGCAACTGAGTGCTTCTTGTCTCCTCCACCGTGAATCCAGGGGATACGGGGCAGAGAGCACACATGGCTGCGGCTCAACAACAAAGATGGAGGCAAAACGGCTTCAGCAGGACCCAGACTCGCCAACTAATCTCTTCTTTTCGCTTGTAATCTCTCAGCGGCACCTTGGCGCTCCTGTCACTCACCACACACCCACCATTTCCTGCTCCTTTGGGACTGGGAGGCGCTATTGCGGTCGTGTTTGAGGAGCCATTTCCACCTCTTTGGGGTGAAAACAACCCATAGCTGAAGCTTCGAGAACGATGAACCACCACGCCATTTCCCCTTCTCCTCGTTCGGGTTTGCTTGTCCCATATGGCCCATTCTCTCTCTGGCTTGTGCTCGCTAAATATTGGTATAATTGGTCTCGGATCCTACGCACTAAAGTCTCCTTCGACCAGCAAACGGCCTCGTAGTTCAACCCACCTAACGTGCCAGTTGCGAATCCACTAGCCCTACGACTACAGTACCGAGTCCTCGTTCATTGTTATCGCCCGTTATCAGTTTATCGGAGCCATTGCTTTACACGGCAGATGGTGTCGAGTCCTCGACCGATGGAAAATCCTCCTTCTCTCCACTTGGGCCAAACAACCGACCAGGGCTTCGTCAGTCCAATGCAGAGATTCGTCAGCAGATGTTGGTGACTTCGCTTGAAATGGGTTTGGTCTACGAGGTTTATTCTCCATTGGGCTGATCTGTGTCTTTGTGTGCCTCGTGTTCATGCGTCATGTCCTTTCCTACCTGAGGTAGAGCAATATTTGGACAGTCTGTGTTGAAGGCCAGCTGCTCGGCTCGAGGGTTCAGGCTTCGGTCGTATCCGATCTTGAAAACACCGTTACGTCGCCGAAAACTTGCCTCGACCTTCTGAACATAAACCAAAAGTAGCGTATCCCTTCTGCGGGCCGAGTCCTCGTGCACGGGGGCACGAGGCCCACGAATGTCTTGGTGGCTTTCGAGGGTGACACCACCTGGCGAGAGGAAAAAAAAAAACGTGGGAGCCCCTTTAAGCAGCCGGGTGGGCGGAGACATCAACCTCGGTGGATGTTTAAGGCTGGAACAGGAGTGTGAGGCTAACGAAGACCCTTGGGTAGATTTCCTTATATTAGCAGCTCCCCGCAATGCTCTCTGACAACTACTCCCAGATGACGGGCCCGGTGAACTTGACACAGAGATGGAACGACCAGCCGAGCCGTTGTCGGCACGACGGTGTTGGCGCGATCAACCACCACAACGGCGTCTGAAGGCATCGACCGTTGGCAAGGACAAGGTATCACCGTGTGCTTGGTGAAAGGATTGCTGCTTAGAAGCGCAGGTAGCTGAATCAGTCTAGTCCGTTGATTGCCTATAAAAAGACATCGGCCAGGCTCAAAAAGGATGGCGGAGCATGTCGGGATCGGGGAACACACCTTTTAAATAATGATGCGCTCTTGATGTCTTCTGCGCCAATCCTTGGGCTGCTGTCGGAGTCTGGTGAGCCGCATGAACCGTTGATGTGACAGGCTGGCCTGATAGGCGAGCTCCCTCGTTGATGCCTAAGGCCGCTGGAATCCCCGGACGGATGAGCCAGCTCAGCAAGCTAGGACATGCATATAAGCCCTGGCGTGCCACTGGTGATTCATAGGGCTGTACACTCCGTCCTTGAACTGTGCAAACCCCTCAAGAATCTTCAGCTAGCTCACTTCATTTGTCATTGCTTGCAGGGGCGGCAGATCGTGTATGCTTGAATCTGCAAGTCATATGCATTCAACCTCTCACTTTCGAGCTTGGCATTCCGAGGCCTAGCAATGCATGTCCGTTGCCAGATCAGGATTCACATGACCAGCTTTGGCTTCTGCCTTGCTCATGTCTTAGGTATGTAGAGGAGAATGGGGATCGAGACCCTTTGAACTAAACTTGTCCTGAACACTGGTACGCTCTTGACAATGGCACGAGAGGCCTGGGTCGAGATTTACACATGTCCCAATCAGTCGCAATGGACAGGTCTACCAGTGGCCATGGGTGCTGGCAAGCTATCTGGTGCCGTTTTGCCGTTATCAGAGGGGTCACTCAGCTTCGGCAGACCGTGCAGCACTTTGCTGTCTCGGGTAGGTAGGGTACTTCATGTGACCTCGTTTCGATATCCCATCTCGTTCACAGGTATGAGTGTTGTCAAGGCAGGTTAGGGGCGCTGCAAGTTCGCATTGGGGATCAACAATGTGCTGCATCTGCATGTGAAGAGTTCCGGTGGATTCTTTGTAAACCATTATTCCCCCCAGCCTTCCATCAAAGTTTGAGTTTAATGCGGATTTTGAAAACCTCGATGCAGGGGAGTAAAACAATCGAAATCGATAATAGCTTTGAAGGAATGCAGACAATGCGCTGTTGTCAAAGCTCTGCATTGTTCCAGATTCCTCAAACTTGAGTATCCATAGTGGCTGAACTCCACAGTCCATGAAGGAAGCAGTTCGACGACCACATGGCAATTCGCTAATCTCTCAGGCTTGGAAGTATTCGAAGTGGCTTTGGCAGGCGCAGGATCACATTCCAAGCTGTTCTCCCAGGGCTGGATGCTTTGAGAAGCCATATCGACAGTGTTGGAGGGGATTGCCGGTAAGGTCTTCCCACGGTTCCGCCGACAACCCCCCGCAATCCACCAGCATGTCTTATCGAAGCTCCCAGCCACCTGATATTTGAGTCTCCGCTCAGACACAGAAGCTTCGTCATGCTTGAGTTTTCCAGCCATTTGTTTTCTCAGTTTGCAACAAGCGCAAAGCCTAGCATCAGAGAGTCTGCATTAGGCTCCTGCTATTGAAGCAAAAAGCTGTCTGCTCGCATGACCTCGATTTGAGACAAGGAGTTCCCGAATACCCCGTAAGCGCTCCGCATTGTGACATGGATCAACTCCATTTCGAGCTCTCTTTGCGTCTCGCAAGCTCATGCCAGCCATGGGCCGCTAAAGAGGCAAGAAATCTGTCCACTTCTCGGCAACATGGGTGGGCTTGAAGGAGTTTCTTCTGCAGTGTTCCTCCTGCAAGCCCCAGATGTACTCGTCATCTGCTTGCTGTCGATGCGCGGCGACGCCAGCGTGAGATCAACCTTGCCCATGTCAATGATTCCCATTTTGTCACCGACAGACATGTGGAAGAACCCCACAGATGGTTCATGAACCTGGCAGCCCATCCAGAATAGCGGAGGAAGTCATCCTGCACGCACCATTGCGATTCACCGTCGAGATGAGAAAGGCCGGCGTGCGTACCACCAGCATGACTCCCTGTGGGCGTAGGGCGGCCTTAGTGTGGCCGTAGAATATTCCCGTGTCCATCTGTATCCCTGTTTGCTCTCCAAACGCCCTCTTCGACTTCCCCAGTGTCCGCGAACCACTCCCTCTTCCAGATCTCTGCTCGAGCCTTGACTCTCTCCAGGATCTCTTCGGCGCCTTTCCAGCCACTTGCACGATGCCCGCTGCTCACGCTAACGGCAATGCTCTCCTCTTCTACCTTGACTTCGCCCAGTCGGTGGACGATTACCACCTTCTCTAGCCCATGCTTCTTCTGCACGTCCTCAGCAATAGCGTGGAGAGACTTGAGGGCGAGCGAAGGGTAGGCAGAATATGAAAGCCGGGAGACAGGGCGATGGTCGAAGTTGTTGCGGGTGGTGCCTAGAAACAGAACGTTGGCGCCGGCTGTGGGGGAGCGGGTGAATCGCAAGTACGCTGGGATATCGAGAGGGCCGTAGACAAGGGAGATGTAGATGGTTTCAGAGGACAGGGTTTGAGGAAAGTTGGAAGGGTCGAGGACAGAGGTTGTTGCAGTCATGGGAGGTGATGTTGCCTTCGAGGACGCATCAGCCCCGTTGGTCAGGAGCGCTGAGGTGTCTGTGGGCATGGCTCTCGTCCGTGATCGAAAGAGGTCGTGGTAAAAGCGGACAGCAACTGCTCTCTCGCAACAGGCATCAATCTTCAATGATAGCTGGTCTTCACAGAGCCACTGTCGTCGAAATCATGGCGACGTGTTGTGTTGACTTTTCAAACATCCAGAGTCACATACGGCGAAAGGTTCTGGCTGATAACCGGCACGATAGGAGCGGCGTCTGGATTGGCGTTGAAGTTGTTCCTGAATGCGCTGATACGTCATACTTGGTCAAATGTTTCCATCGTCTCCCTCACCACATTCGAATCACCACATAGTCTTTCTTGAGCGCACTCCCTTATACATTTCGCACGTCTGTGCCGAGTGCTCAGTATATAACCAGAATCAGCAGAATGATATGCACACAAGGACAGTTCCATCAACGCCTCCCTGCCTCTCCCGTTCCGTTTCTTGCCAGCGAATGGCTGACGTTAGACCGCCCAACCACGCTCGCCCGTCAATGTGAGGCGACTGGGCGACGTCTTTTCATTCGCTACCGAAGAATGCAACATCGCCTCCCGCCAAAACTCTCCGCACACAAGGGCCAGAAAAATCCAATGCCAAAAATCCCGAATCTTGCAAAAAACAACGGCATCAGCCCTCTTCAATGGAGCCACGTCTATGTCTCACCGCCTGCCATTTAGTCCCTTCCTTTCCACTCATACGGATGAAATTGAGGTGTTTGTGTGTCTAAAACCCCGCCTGCATATGGATTGACCTGATTAAGAAATCATACTTGCCTAATGAAGAACTTCATGAACCAGGAACAAGAATGAAGTGGCTGGTAAGCCATGGGATTGGACGCTGGGTATATGCAAGATGAGAGACGGCGTGATCTTGACTCTGTGCCCCCGTCAGGGTCAGGTAGTGTACACGGGACCAACATACAGTTCACCTGTAGAATCTTGCTCAATTGATTTTGTTCGATTGCTCTTTCATTGTTGTGATACATCTCTTTTCTTCCCCTCGTGAGTATTGAGGTACAGTATTTCAGAAGTGGAGTTTTGTTTACACCATTACCTTCTCCCGTCGCCATGCTGTACATAAAGCAACATTTGAATGCAGCCAACTCTCTCTTCATTACTTGCCACTAGGCTCCACCTCTTTTTTGTGAAGGTATGGTAGCGGCGTCGTATCAATCGGCTTCCTCTCCCTCTTCCAATCCTTGATGTGCTGGAGTACAATGGCCGCCGCACTCTCTGGCGTATCTTGCCTCCCAATACATTCGACAAAGTCACCTTCAGGATCCATCACGTAAAAGTATATGCTGTGGTCCACCAAGTAATCTTCTTCGCCTGGCGTCAACTCGGGGGGCGTCGAGAAGTATACCCGATACTGTTTGCACACGTCTTTTGTCTGTTGCCAAGTGCCAACCAATCCAAGGATGGCGGGATGGAATTCGGCCAAGTATGCTTTGAGGACATCGGGAGTATCGCGGTTGGGATCGCAGGAGATGAAAACCGGCCGTACCGTGTTGGGGGCTCTCTCTTGGATGATGTCGAGGGCCTCGCCCATCTTGTCGAGCTCGTCGGGGCAGATGTCAGGACAATGGCTGAAGCCGAAATAGATCTACCAGCAAAGCGTAGGCGTCAGTTTGTGGGGGGAACAGCTCCTCTCAACCTAGGGCCGGACATACGAGTGAATATTTGCCCAACAAATCCTGGTCCGTGAAATCATTGCCGTCGACATCCTTCAATGCGAACGGCCCGCCAACCTTCGGTTTCCCGTACCCTTTGCTCATCTCCACGACCCTCTTGCGCTCCAACCGCTTCTTCTCAAATTGGAAATAAAATATCATGCCTGCGCCGACGCCGACGAAGAGCGCCGCTGATCTGAATGAGAATGGCTGCGCATGCAAAACGTCAGAGGAAGGCACGTACCCCGGATAAAGATACGTACGCCTGTGCGATGGTACAGTCTGTCTCCCGCTCTGAGTCTCGGGCTGGATGACGAGAACGGCCGCGTCTGTAGACATTGGGATGACAGGGCATGTCGTCGTGGCTGCGGCGACGGAGCGCAAGATGGTTTGGTTCGGGGTTGCGTCGTCCGCCAGTGAATCGATCTGCAGCTACTGGATGCCGGCGAAGCAACCAGCCGCTGCACGGCTCGTTGGAAGGGAGGCATACGTCCAGGCATTTGATTTACAGCTTGATAGCAAGATGCACGGACTGTATTGTTGATGGGTGGAATGACTGAGCAACTTTCCGTAGCGGCATGAGGCTCAGCGCGGAACCCGAAACGGTGGACTGAGAGAGTCGGAAGCGTACTCCGCAGACGCAGCCTTCTCCCTTTATTGAGCACGGCAGCTTTCGAGCTCTTCCATTTCGAATGACTGCTACAAGCTCAGGGCGACAGAGTGATATAGTCGTGATATATTACAAACCCGAGCATCAGTTCAAGCTTCAAAGTCAACATCGGGCGTGTCGCCATGAGATAAGTCCAGGACAAAACGACCTTTCTTCTCACTTTCTCCCGCTTCCTACCTCTGCATCCCACTCGGGCCCAATCACCTTCAATCGCACGAGAATCCGGCTTTATTCTCAGGTCTTGACACTGGGGGGCAGTTATTCTCCCTCACTGCCTGGACTAGTTCGACGCTCAATCTCAGCCTGTCACTTCAGAGCAATCGCTTGAGAGTTCCTTGCAAGGGTTGATCTGGCATTCTTTCATCCCACTTCGTTCTGCTCCTGTTGCTGATTGTTTAGTGATTGTACTCATTCCTGCAACATTATTTTGTGCCTGGGAGCAAGAGGCTATGATGTTAGAGCCACTTCTGGGGCTCACAATCCTGTCCCAAGACGTTGGCGCTTTTCTTTCCTCTACCATGAGGGAGCAAGGTCCGAATTTTAACGTCAATCATGGTCGCATTTCAGATCGAAAGGATCTAGCTTACTCCTCAATCTTATTCGGTTCACAGACACAACGAATGATGGATGCAGACTCATTAGACCCATATCCTAGCATACACGGACTTCCCTCCACGAGCAATTTCATCACGATCCGCCCTCAGTACCAGCATGCCATGAGTCTAGCTCTGTACGGTTGGTTTTCCTTCTCGGACCACGACATCTGGCACGAGGGGATGCTTGTTTTCATCTTGTCCCGCCACAGGTGGCGGCACATACTCCTTTCTCCCGGCCTTGTGGACACGACCATTGATCATAATGACGTTCAACTTGCTGTGATCCTGGAGGATGTCAATGTTGTCAATCGGGTTGCCGTCAACGAGGATGCAGTCTGCATAATTGCCTTCCTTGATCTGACCCATCTCATCGGCTCGCAGCATGACTTTGGCGACGCCGTATGTGGCAGCGATAATGGACTCGTGGGCCGTGAAGCCCATCAAGTTCTTGAAGTGGGCCAAATCACGAGCATAGGTTCCATGAGGAGTCCATGCGAATCCATAGTCACTAATGAGTAACAGCTTAGCCGTCGTCCGAATGGATGATAGATTGAAGCAATCACAGGAGCATACTTACCCGCCAGGAAGAACTACAATGCCTCTCCGATGCATCTCACGAAGACCTCGCAGAGCGATCTCAAGTTCCTGATGGTTGACTCCGAGTCAGCATACTTGACTCATGGCTGCCAGCAATCTGGGGAAAACGATCTCTCTGCTATCGCGGACTTGCCTTTTTATACCCAACTTGCTCTGCCTTCTCGTGGGAATAACCGAAAGCTGCAGCGTCGTTCAAGGTTGCAACGAGCCAGTTGATAGCTGGAGCCACCACATGCTTGGTCCTCGCAGCTTCCAACATGTCCATGCCTTCCTCATCGATATACGACCCATGATAAATGACGTCCACTCCATGCTAGAACGCTGTTGTGAGCCAACGTCTCGACCGTCTCGAATGGGGGCAGGATGGGAAAGTGTAACTTACTTTGACGCACATCTTCACAGAATCTCTGGCTCTTGCGTGTGCACAGATGGATTTACCTGCCTTGTGTGCTTCATCCACGCAGACAGCCGTCTCTTCGTCTGTGAAATAGCAGTCTTGAGCTGATCGAACCTCACAGATCTATATTTCAGGTCAGCGACAGCGAGCACAGAGTGGCTCGAACCTTGGGAACTTACCTCTTCTCCAGACATAACTAATTTGATGTTGTCAACCCCGATGCCAACGTGATGCCGAATGACTTCTCTCATCTCCTCAGGGGTGTCTGCAAATGCAGTGATTGCTGCTTCCAAGTCACCATCCCGCTTGGCCATTTCCTTTCCGTTGGCGAGGGACCGTGGTCCTGGAATGTCACCTGCATAGATAGCGTCCCGAATAGCGACGTCGAGACGCTCCTTGGCAGATGCAGCACCATAGCACCTAGTCAAAAGAAGGTCAGTGATTCCCTCGACATTTGCAGAAAGATATAGGTCAGAAGTCTCACATGGTGTAGCCGGAATCCAGGTAGCATTTCGCACTTCGGGCGGTCAAAAGCGTGTGCTCTTCAACATTCAAACCGCCCAGGGAAGCGAGATCGCCACCGTTCCAGGAGAAGTGGGTGTGCGAGTCACCCAGACCCGGCATCAAGGTCCTTCCCTTTCCCTGAAACACTCGAGTATCGGGATCTTGCAGCAACTGATCCTTGTTGGCGACATTGCCGACTGCCTTGATCCGTTCCCCTGGTGTGGGAAGTCAGCGACACGAACACAGGGCGGAATAGAACAAGGCCAGGCCCCATTCCATTGGAGTCTCTCGCCAGCGACGGATCTCCTTTCTCACCTTGTATAAACACGTCGCCACGGTAGGGTGGCTTCCCTGTGCATTCCAAGATGTTGACGTCCAGGAAAAGGACCTTGGAGTTCGGGTCTGTGCCCAGGATCTCGTACTTGGGAGGCTTGACACTCTCGTTGAATTTGATGGCATCGATATACGCGACATTGCGCGGGGGACCTTCGTAAGGCTCGGGTTGGTAGGCCGGGGACGTCCACGGAACGTCTTCCTCGATCCTTGCAGGAGCCATATCGGCAGTTTAAAGGCGGTGATTGAACAGGTATTTGAAGAAGTTACCTGGCGTCCAGTCTCTTTACGGTGAGCTCACAGATGAATCTCCCAGGGGGCCTTTTGAGATGTTGGCATTGATCGAGAAATAGTCGGACGAAAGGGGAGAGGAACCTATCTGGCCACCTCGCACCTGCATGGTGGCATCTCGCCGGGTCTTAGTATTCGCAGGTATCGAGGGTCTTTTGCGCCAACGGGAAACGCAGACTTGACTCCCGTCTCAACAGGTAATGCCGCGACGGTTGTCAGACTCACAACCCGTACGTGCCGGATCCTTCTTCATGCACCCCGCAAGTTAGTCCCCGCGTTATCCAGCCATAGGCATCCACGTAAAGTGAACAGCTCAGTGTTGCAGAAAGAGGGGTTACAATCCCGCAGGCGTGATTCGACATGCTCAGCCGGGGGCCCTTGCTCGTACAAGGTCCCTATCGCACCATCCTACCACAAAGGATCATCCGTGGCGACGAGGATGACTCGGGAATGGACGGGGATTGACGGCCTCTCTCCGAGACGGGGGTACTTGAAGGTACCTAGGAACTCGATCTCACGCCCGTCGCTCAATAGGGAACGAACGCATTGGCACATGCTACCGTGAGGGGTAAAACGGTCGCAATCCGATATCGAGTATCTTGTTCCGTTGTTTGGTGTCTTTTTCAGACGAGCAGCCATGGTGTGGATACAAGCGTCGCGAAGGGGTCGATTTGGACCGACGAGCCCTCTCAAGCAAGACGCCGGCGAGGCTGCCCATGTGGAAGACGTGGCCCTGAAGGCCGAGAACGATAGAACAACCCCGGCCTCGACGAGCACGGAATCCGACAGACAATTCCCCTTCGCCCCGGAGTCACTATCGGACGACGCACTCCCTTTCATCCCCAAGGAACTGGTGCTCGAACGCGGCCAACGCGTGAAATCACAAGATCAAAGGGCCGCGGACGACGGAAAGCCGGCGGGGATGCGCGACGACCACGAACACTGGATCGTCATTGACAACGTCGTCTTCGACTGCAGCGACTTCATCTCCGAGCATCCCGGCGGCCAGCAGGTCATCCTCAGCTTCGTGGGCGAGGACTGTTCGTGGCAGTTTTGGCGGTTGCACGGCAAGAACATCATGGAGCAATATGGCCGCGCCCTCCGGATCGGGAGGACCGAGGGCATCAAGAACCGATTTGTCGAACCCGTCAGATACGTCGGCTTGTCGAAACTCGGGGACGACGGGTGGTAACAAGAGGAGTTTGGGGCGACGCGAAGAATGATTCAATATATCCAGGGAATAGAGAGCGAGACTGGGCCCATTTACATGTACATACGTATATATTTTCTGTTTGGTGTCCAGGGTACCTCTAAACTCCTAATATCTTTCTGCACAAAGCCTAGGATCTGTTTCTTCGGAGCGCTGTTCTTGCAAGCATATCATCCGGTACGGTAGTTAGACCTACCCTCCCTCCCTCCGTTCCCACGAGCAACATTTCCAGGCCTCCCGTCTCATTTCTTCTCCTTGTACATGGGGAAAGTCGGGATGTTGAAAGGTGTAACCCCTCCAGCGTAGAGGCCGGCAACCCCAGCCCAGTCTGCGTCGGAGGAGGACCAGTCAGCACAAACCGCATATATGGCAGGATCAAATGGTGTCAAGAAACTCACAGGTCATGAATGCCACAACAAAGCCGACCGAGTTCCCGGCGATGAGCAGCGAGGAGCGGTTGAACATGTAGCCGCAGGCCAGCAGCAGCAGGTCGAGGTCCAGGAAGGCGAGGTCGAGAAACAGAACCCATGACGCACGGCAAGCGGCACCGCTGGATTGGATGACAGTGAAGGTCAGCATGCGCGAAAAGAACGGGTGTTACAAGGGGGGTCCAAAGAGGCCGATTTAAGGGGGTTCTTTTCGATACGGGGACGTGCTTTTCCCAATGTGTGTGAGAGAGAGACTTACGTGTATATCACGGTGAGGATGAACCACGCCCACAGAAACATCGCGACCGCCTGGTTGAACTCCGGGCTGACCTGGCCTGTTGTCTTGTCCGTGTACGCGGCAATGATGCCGCTGCCGGGGAGATAGATCATCGCGTAGGACAAGTTGAAGGCGCCATAGGATGAGAAGACGGTCGCTCCGAACTAATAAGCCAACCCCGTTAGCTGCCAACGCAAAAGACATACCGCCGTGGTAGATTCCTTACCGTGTTCCCTGAGATGAACTCCATTATGCCCGATATATACTGGCATACCCCCCCGAAGAAGATGATCATGCCGACCAGGACATTGGGAGTGTAGATGTTTCGAACATGGACGCCGTAGGCAGATATCAGGAATATCCCTGCACCATCCAAGTCAGCGACAGTGACACCTCATATGGTCCGGGCAGCATACCCGTAGCGAAAGAGAGCAGTCCCAAGGGCGCCGGGTTGGCAAACGACCGGTGCACCACGGGGAGAGATGGTTGAGTGCGGTCGTCTTCATGGCCGCCCTTGGTGCGCACTCGCTCTATGCGCGACTCCTCGTCGTGAGCGGCAACAGACTTTTCGAGCTGGTCTGCCGAGTCGTATGAAGCCATGATGCTGGTAGAGCTGCGCAGTTCAATGAAGACAGCTTCTAGGGAAAGAGGCGAGACGTCCAGGTGACTCGAAATGTCCTTGTTCAAATTTTCGCCCAAAGGAGAACGATGCTCTCTCAAGAGGTTTCGCTGCTGGGGACTTTAATGAGAGTGTCCCGACCTTCTTCATCCTCCTTGTAGGGCATTCGCGACATGACGGTGAGGCGGCATCGCTCCGAGCGTCGATGGTCCCGGCATCATACCGGGCGTTTGATCGGCAGTGTCAATTCGACCAAGACTCCCGCTATGGAACAGAAACAAGAGCGGCAGCGAGGTAGTGGTGCTTGGTGTCGACGGAACAATTGATCGTGGAGATCATCCCCAGAGCCTGGCCAAATCGCGGGGTGGAAAACAGGGCCATGGCTCGCTTGTAAGCCACTCTCTGCCTGGGAACCACGGCACCAACGGTGACAGACTTCCTTGGCTCCCCATGGGCGAAACTATGACGGGACCTTCCTAATATCGTTGGGCAGAGTGAAGAGCATAGTGTGGGTGGTTGAGGGAGGAGGAGGGAGAAGAGGGGCGGAGAAAGACGGTCGAAGGCGGCGGCGTGTTGCTCCATGATGTGCGTTGATGCCATTGATGCCCATTCTATCATCCCTCCATCCAACGGATGATCCAATGATCCAATGATCCAAGAATACCCGTTGATGTCCCTTCTGGTGCCTCTGCTCTTCGTGGCTCGTCGGCCTCTCACGCGTCGCCGGCAATCACCCCGGCGTGCATGTCCGGTGGGAACTGGCGAAACTTCTTTCCCATTCACTTCGACATCGCATCGAGGCGGATCTCCTGCTGCCCCGTGTCATAGGTGTGGCCGCAAAGCACGGGATCTGACTCCAAACGACGATGGAAATTGTCCTCCTGCTTCCAATTCTTCTATAACCCCCCCGGGCAGAGGAAAAGACACCTCTTTGCAGACAGATAAGTGAAGTTTTCTTATCCCGGGATTGAAAACATGTCGACCTCAGCGACGGGCAGCGGGGCGTCTGCCGGCAAGAGCTTGACCAACTATGCCTCATATCTACCAGAGGGAAGCAAGCAACCGCGCATTGGGCACCTTGATCTGGCGTCCAACACCATCACGCCCTTGTCCTACACCTCTGGCACGCCGGTAAGGAGTCTGTACGAAGTGATTGAAGCGGGCGAGAATGCCATTGTCCAAGCCGGAGAACCGTTCCCACGAAGCAAGGCGAGATTGTTACCCCCGATCTACGGCCGGGATATTCTTGCTGTCGGGAAGAACTATGCGGTAGGGGACTCAGCCGCGGCATGTTTGTTGCTCATCGCTGATGTTCTGCAGGCTCACGCCAAAGAATTCAATGCTTCAGGGTACGGTCCGTCGTGAACGGCGGGATATTGGACGAACGTGCTGACCTGTTGGGTTCTACAGCTATGACAGCTCTGACAAGGTCGACATGCCCACCCACCCGGTCATCTTCACCAAGCGGTGGACTTCTGCTATTGCGGATGGGGACGAGATCTATCCTCATCCAGGATTCACCGAGTCGGTCGACTATGAAGGAGAGATCGGCGTCATTGTAGGCAAGCCTGGGTTCAAGATTGACGCCAAAGATGCCCTCGACCATGTCTGGGGCTTTACCATCATCAACGATGTGACTGCACGCGAACGGCAGCGGGACCACAAGCAGTTCTACATTGGCAAATCGTGAGTCGCCCATCCCATTGCAACGACATTGCCTTTTTCTGAAGGACTCGTCGCCACGCTATTCGAATCCTCGTGATGTCAACTAACGCTAATTTTCAGGCCTGATACATTCGCGCCAATGGGCCCGATAGCCGTCCCAAAGGAGCATCTTCCAAAGGTGCTCACCGTTGAGACCGTTGTGAATGGAGAAAAGCGACAAGAAGGTACAACTGACGACTTGATCTTCAGCATACCGACTTTAATCGAGACTTTATCTGCGGCCCAGACATTGCAACCTGGAGATGTGCTGGCCACCGGAACTCCCGCCGGCGTTGGCTTTGGGTTTGATCCCAAGGTTTGGCTGCATCCTGGCGATGAGGTCAAGATCTCCGTGACCGGCCTCGGAACATTGACGAACAAGATTGCAAGTCCCGAGTCGCGAGCTACCATCCTCAACCATATTGTCTCGTCCGCGGTGCCCGTCACAAATGACAAGGCGGTCGAAGGCCGTGGACTTACCTCTGTTGGCTCGAAGCAGCTGTTCTACCAGCAGAAAGGCGGTGACGGCACCGGGCGGCCAATCTATTTCATCCATGGTCTGGGCGGCACTTCAGACTATTTCGGACCCGTGATGACAAGGCTGGGGAACGCTTGGACATATCATCTGGCTGATCTCGAGGGCCATGGACTATCGCCCTCATCCGCGACGAGCAAGCTGAGCATCGCTTCTTTTGCTTCTGACGCATATCAACTTTGCTCTCAGGCTGGAATCAATGCCGAGTCAGGACTGACCGTGGTTGCACATTCGATGGGCTGTCTGGTAGCGATGAAACTGGCGCTGGATCACCCGGAGCTGGTCAAGACACTCGTATTACAAGGGCCTGGGCCTTCACCGCTCCCAGAAGCCGCCAGCAAAGCCACATATGCCAGGGCCGCCCTTGTTCGTGAAAAGGGCATGCTTGGAGTAGTGGATGCTGTGGTCGGCGCAGGGACCTCTGATTACAGCAAGGCACATAATCCTCTGGCAATTGCCGCCGCTCGAATTTCGCTACTGGGACAAGACCCCGAAGGATATGCAAAGGCATGCATAGCCCTTGCCGACTCGCACGCGGACACCTTGGACATCTCGGCCCTCAAAGCAAGAGTGCTGATCATCACAGGAGACGAAGACAAGGTCTCGCCACCGGAGATGTGCAGGAAGATGAAGGAAAAGATCCCCAACTGTGAGGATGTCGTTGTGTTGCCGCAGGTCGCGCATTGGCACCTGTTTGAAGCTACCGAGAGTGTCTGCTCGGCTGTCACCGACTTCCTGGGTAAGCAGTAACCACAGCCGCCCCCTTTTCGGATCGATTGCGCCAGGGGTGTCGAAGCTAGAAGGTGGTAAGGTGGCTGGTGGAAGTTGCAACACGCCCACAGACACATAATTACATCCCTGCGACCGTCTTTCGGGCGAGTGCGAGTGGCTTAGATGAAATAGACCTAGATAGATCGAGTCCTTTTCCATTGAGATTGTCGGGCCATGCTGCAGACCCTTGCTAGAGGTTCTTTGTGCTCAACGGTGGTGACAGCAATCTTCAAGAGAAGGTAGCCATAAGCACGGCTGTGGCTGAATCTAGTTGTTGGGACGCCCGTAGTAACTTCCGTAAACGACCCGGGGCTTTGCGGGGGAGCGGCAGATGTGGTGTAGTTAGGGGCCCCTAGAGCCTGCTAGGCGGTCAGGGATGCCTGGGTGCAGCGGGGTTGATCCCGAATAATTCCTCAAGGTGCCCTGGAGGCTGCCACCCGAGGGACTCAGCAACCCCATTTACGCCTAGTGATGGTCACTAGGCCTGGTGCAGCCCCCATGTTGCACCTAAACGGCCGGTGCCCGGCCCCGGATTTCATTTCTCGATGCTTAACTTTGACCAAGCATCCACCCAGCACCTCATCCTGCCTCATCTTCCTTCCATCTTCAACTTCGTCTCTCCGCTCATCCCGCCTCTCAACGTCTTCTCTTTCACATCTCCTTCTCATCACAATCACGCCCTGCTGCATCTGCCGTTCGCAATTCCATTCCGCGCCGGCATTGTGGCCCCCTTTGGCCATCAAACAGGTATCGCAGTCTTGTCCCTGCACCTAAAGCGCGCCGAGACCTCTCCCCGTGTCACATGGCGCCTCAAGTCGACAAACGGCAACCTCGGGTGCCTCTGAGCTGCGAAAACTGTCGAAAACGAAAGATCAAATGTTCGGGCGAAAGGCCCTTTTGCGACACCTGCGCCCGTCGTGGCTTCAGCCATACCTGCTTCTACCTGCGCCAAAACGTGCAGGCGCCCGCGGGGTCCAGCTCCGACGAGGTGCTCCAAAGGGTGAGACGAGTCGAAACTCTCCTTGAGCGACAAGTCTACCTCCTTGAGCAGCGACTTGAGCCCTCGCCAAAGTCTCAGTCGTCCAATCCAGATAATCTGTCCCAGCATCAACCGTCGTCGGCCAATTCGTCGCCCTGGACGGAGGTCGAGCAGAATCCTCCGGAAACTGCACCTTCAACTATTGTCGGTACGGTCGTGGTATCCCAAGAAGGTCATGAACGATTCATCCCAGGACTCGCCTCTTCCGATGCAGACGCCGTCAATGAGCTGATCCAATCTATTTCCGCCCCTCCCATGTCTACGAGCTTCCCGTTCTCAGCCGAGGCTACCACTACACGAAGAGCGCTTTTGGACGCCCTGCCTCCAGGGCGACAGTGCGACGAATTGAAGAGGCTATTCTTCGATGTTTTCTCCCCGGTAAGTCTCCGTCCCTCACGCTTCTCAGCATCTCTTTAGTCGTCCCTTCCAGCCCCCAAGGGCGGGTCTGTCAAGATCTGAGGAGGAATCCTCTCCTACTTCCCGGATGTGCACCTTGCAAGTTGCTGTTGGCAATAGAGAGCGAAGAGTGTTCTTACCCTTATCCCCAAGTTGGTAGGTACGGACAGATGTGGTCCCATTTCAATTGTACGAGAGGAGAAGAAACCTCGCCTTTCAATCTCCCCTGATTGCTCCTTCGCGCCGTCAACACACCAGAACCGCCCTTTCGAACGAAGCTGACTCAGTTTGCACAGCTTTTTCACATACTACATGACCCAACATTCCATGCCGAGTATGCCGATTTTCGCCAGAAAAGAGGAGAGGTGTCCCTCTCGTTTCTCGCGCTGTTGTTCGTGATTCTTTCCATTTCTGTTACCGCGCTAGACTCGGATCATCCACTCCTGACGGATCTCGGGGTGGAAACGACTGCTTCAGCAAATATTAAAAGCCTGGCGACAAAATATCGAACAGCCGCAATGGGATGCCTTTCGGCAGACCAGTTCCTATGGCGCCACAACCTGCACACTGTCCAAGCCTTGGTCCTTCTGATATACGCACTTTCACATGCACATGGTCCTGCATGGGCTTTGTTGGGGACCACCTTCAACATCTGCATATCGATCGGTTGCCATATTGACCCGTCTCAACTAAGTTTGGATCCAGTGAGAGGTGAACAGAGACGCCGCTGTTGGGCCGGCCTCATGTTATTGTATACTATTCAAAGCACTTGTTTGGGAAACCTTGCTCCAATGACGGTCACGGCTACAGTCAGACTTCCTGCCGATGTGGATGATGAGCGCATCTCCATGCACGAGACCCCGGCCTTCCATGCGGACGACTCTCGCCCAAGGCCTCTTAGCAAAATGTCCTACATCTTGTTCAAGTTCAAGCTGTATCGATTGGCATCTGATATCGCAAATTTCGCCAGGGAACATGGGAGCTTGAATGGCCTAATCGAGCTCGATGGACAGATCTCCCAGGAGGAGCACGATCACGACGTACGATTCACAGACCTCCAGCGGCTTCCCGTTTACCACCTGGCTCATCTATACATCATCAAAAACTATACAAGTCACCTGCGGCTCATTCTTCATCGGCGGTATCTTCCACCGCATTCTGCAGCTCCGGACAGCACATTGTACGAGTTTCCTGAACAGGTGCTCCAGAGCCGGCAGTATTGTAAGATGTCGGCAATGAAGATTCTCAGCAACCACGAGGACCTCTGTTGCGAGGAGCGGCTGAAGCCTTATCGCTGGTTCGTGTATGGGCTAGGCGGCTACCAGACGTTTTTGGCTGCGTCGACACTTGTGGTCCTCCTTGGTTCGGAGGACGAATCGGTCGCCTCGGACCGCGCGGATGTAATCTACGCTCTATTAAAATGTCAGGCACGATTCGAGCAGCTGTCTGCACGAAGCGACATCTCCGCCAAAGCTGCACGGATCCTGCGCCGCACGCTTGGGTCACCTGTGAGCAGCAACGGTGGCGGCGTCGGAGGCACCGCTCCTCCTCCGCCTCAAGAACCCCCTGGGCTATACCGCCAATCCTCGAGCACAAGTGACGAGTCCAAGATGTGCAGCACGAGCCAAAGACATCAAATGGCCGCTACTTCTCCAGGCAGCCATGGCCAGCCTCCATCGATGCCGCCCGGCCGCAGGTACGGCCAAGCCGGGTTCGCTGGTGCCTTGCCTAACGCCAACGAGGTCGCGGAACCGCCGCCGCCGCAGCACCCTCAGCACCCGCAGCCTCCTCCCCATTCCTTCTTCCCCTGCCCGCAGCCCCTCTACGAGCTGATGAGCCTCCCGGCGGAGCAATGGCTGGGGGGCCCCTCGGCGCTGGCCTGGGACTGGAATGGGTGGGTCGACGTGCCGGAGCCCCAGATCACCGGGCCCGACATGTTCATGGACGCTTCTGGCGTGGTGATGTGATGTGATACCATGCTATACCATGTGATGCAATGTGATGACCACGATACGACGACGACGACGGGAAGTGCGCCGCCCATCAAATCCGAGGGTGCGAATAGACATTTGATATATATCATCTTCCCGCTGGCCTGTTTCTTGTAGCATTAGTTCTGAATTGAAATCTTGAAAAGAGACCGAAGAGAGGCTTGCCATTTGACGCCGCCTAGGGACTCTCCTATTCCCTGTTTTCGCCCTAGTTTGATCGCCCTGTGCTGTTCCGCTCGATGAACTTTATATCCCGTTCGTTGTTTACGACTTTGCAAAGCGAGTACAGGGGAAAAACAATATGTCTCTGGAGACGGGATCATTTACTCTGTTGAGGCCCACCACAACTGGGCAATAGCTTTACTGCAGAGGTGTGGAAACATTGATACGTTGTTCAATGGTAGATCGATAGTCCATGCTACCGGCCGGGATAATAACCATCCCGGACGCTACGCCGTCGTATACTTCGTAGAGACCCAAACCACTCAACGGCACCAACCAGTACCGGTACACGATATGCAACTTATCGTTTTGACCTTGACAAGTATCATCCCAGAGCCTTCTCCAGCCTGTTCCTGACGGCCAGCCACCAGCTCGCCTGCTGCTGGGCCTCGCTCCGTTGTTTGATGGCCCGGATGGTCTCAATGGGCCGCTGCGACTTGACCTGCGCCTCGGGGAAGAAGTTGCCGTGTAGGCCGTAGGGGACTCTCTGCGTCAGATGCACGCGGGCGACGACCGTCTTCATGTCTCGGGCGTCGATGACCCACAGCTCGCTTTTGGCGTCGGGGCGACATTCCCCGGAGGAGTCTAATTGGGATTCGTCAAAGACGTAGGTCAGCAGCCAGCCGTCGTCTTCGCGAGTGCCTCTTTCGCGTGGCACAAAGTGCGGCTCCTGGGCGAACCAGCCTTGCGGAAGGCGAAAGATTGAGAGGGGATCATCCTCCTCCTGAGAATGAAGGATCTCATCGACAGACCTCGTGTCCACGCAGTCAAGAGCATGCTGAGCGAGGGAATAGGTCTTGCCTCGCTTGATGAGCGTCTCGGCATCCGCCTTGACCAAGCAATCGATCTTGACGGCACGACCGAGGGCGGCTCCGAAGGTACCTCTAGAAGTGGAACAACCAAAGACATATCTCGCCTGCCCCATTGTTCTGTCTTTCCTGACGTTGGGAAATTCGAAGGGAATGGCACTTAATCCGAACTCGTGAGTTATGTGCCCCGGCTGGGCCAATGAGAACTGATAATAGTAGAGCCGACACTGTTCTTCTTCGCTATCCGACTCAGGGGACGTTCGTTGCGGAGCAGGAATGTCACCTGCGGAAAAAACAAGCGAGGCAGAAGTCAGTCGACAGGCGAGCATATTGACTGCAATCGTCCTCGTTTCCCCGGTGAATTTGTCAACCACCTGATCGTCCCACGTATTAGCAGTATGGAAAATGCAGCATGGTTTTGTCTGGAACCAGGCAATCTGCTGTGGAAAGTATCGAGGAAAGACGCCAAATCGAGATTGCGAGGTTGAATCATAGGAAATGACAGGCTTATTCTTTGTCAAGTTCACCGGGTCCAGCGACAGAGGCAAGTCCAAGATGACAGTGTGGTGGGAGGACACACCAAAATCATGCATCATCTTCGCCGATGTAACGCCCGGAACAGGGGCGTTTAGCAGCCTTATTGGTCGTTCGAGCGGTGAAGAAGGGACGGCGGGCGAGAAGGTCGCAGGTATAATCGAATAATGTACATATGGAGGGACAAAAGTCGAGTGGAATAGGACCAGCTCTCCCGTCTTCGGATCGACACGAGGGTGGGCCGTCGTCCATTCTTTCATGAACCGCAATACACCACCTCCTCCAAATCCTGGAGATCCCTCGCCTGTCGGCTCTCCTTCTGCTCTCTTCCCGTTGAACCAGCCAACAGTCTCGAGACCCGGAAGAGCGACTCTCATCGGAGGTCCGGATTCGCAGGTTGCAAGAGCACGCCCATCGTGGAACAAGACACCCGTGTTGGCCACGCTAATTTTCTTGATGGCTTGCGCTGAGCCAGGAAGTCGGGATAACAAAACCAAAAATATGCTGCGGAAAACAATGGCTATGAGTTTGTACAATGAGGTTAAGGGGTTGACCAGTGTTGCTATGCTGGGGAGGATCGGAACGCGGAGGTGTCTTGAAGATATCGTGGACAGGTAGATATCGGTTAAGATGTATTGATTGACGAATTCTGGTTGGACACCATTGGAAGTTCGTGTAAACGCGACACCACTGAGCATGCCATCACCGTCAAACCAATGTGCATCTCGGCCCAAGTCTTGATTTGCTACAGGGTTCCCGCCATTTCGAACGTATTCACCGCCAGCCAGCTCTTTTGGTATATCCCCAGAGTACACGCATGGTACGAGAGTTTGGACCTTCTGCAAGGGAGCAAAATTGCCGCCAAGGTACGGATGTGAATGGCTTTTCGTGCGATTTCGAAGGGACTTTGCTCTCGAGGGCGGACAGGATGTGGGCGTTCTCGAGGTATCTGATGCACCCACAGGGAAAGGCGACTTGGTCATGGTCGAGGAAACGACATGAAAGAGCCGACCAGTGGTGGAATTCCTCGACACTGCCCGATCCGGGATCGTTGGGTGATGTGTTGGTTGCTGCTAAACATTTACGAGAAGACCTGTATCAGATCGTGAATGCATTCGAAGGTCACGCCAGGTCGACGTCACAGTCTAGACCGGACATGTTGGAGTTGAACGGGGTCCGAGGGGTCCGAAGGATCAAGCTCAACAGGCATCGGATCACGCAACGGGAGAGGAGAAAGGCCTGGTTCACATGTCAGTGCCAAAGGGAAAACTCACACCATTACTTCCCTGGAGGTGAGGAGGTCGGCTAGCGGCGGTCAATAGCTGAGGTTCACATGATGGAGGTACAGGAGAGTGAGCAGCCTTGATCTCAGGGCAAGCAGCCCATCTAAAAAAAATTCTAACCCTACGAAAGGAAAGGAGGGGAAGCCCGGCGAAGACAAATGAAGTTACCTACTTGGGTACAGGGTAAGGTGAAAAGCAACTGACAGCTTCACTGGCGAAGGATGAAGCTGCAGCTCGGCACCGCGGAGGAAATCATGGCGTCATCGAGCTTCTGCCAATTGACCTAGTACGACGCTAATTGATGATAGCTACGCTAGCATGAGTAAATTTGGACAGCACTTGTAAAGGGAAGGTAGGCCGACAAGCCACTCCTCTCTGGCTGCTTTTGGTAGAACGTGCATGCCGTGGCCCGTCAGCCTCGTGTCAGGCCCGCATGTGTGGCTTGACCCCCACGACCTCGAGCGCCTCTCATCGTCGCCTTCATCCCCAACTTGGAATTGTGCGCGTCATGATATCCCAGAAATTCCACGGCTTCCCTTCAGAACACTGCACAAGTGCGCTCAGCCATGTCTGCATGCTTTGGGGCTATCTATTTACTTTTCATCAATGTCCCAACCGTTCCTCCGCTCCTCGCGTTGATATCGCACGGCTGATTGGTATATCATGGCGCTTGCCGTTGCCATAAGCTTTGACTGAGACAGGAACTTTTGATCTTCCCTCGTCAGCTCAGAACATCTTCAATTAATCATCGGAACTCTGTCCTGATGTACGACTATGCACTGGTGTACGTACCTGTTACCTCTGGGCCCCCTTGCCCCTCCAAGTTCTGATATGTGTTGTGTCCGCAATAGTCACGTCGTTTACACCATCCCTCTCGCGATAGCCTTGTCTATTATCCTGGGACCTCTGTTGACGCGACGGGATATTTACAAGATATGCTTCCTTCAACTTGTCGCTGTCACATATACAATTCCCTGGTGAGTGCAAGCTCGACATCTATTCTTGCGAAATGCTGACGGCTCAAGGGATTCGTACCTTATCAGAACCAGGATCTGGAGTATGCCAGTTTATTCCCTTCTTGGTACTGGGTCTCGCACATGGTACTAACTTTTGCCAAGCATACCCCCAAGATGTCATTATAGGACCAACTCTGTTTGATATTCCTGCCGAAGAGGTCTTCTTCTTTAGCATTCAGACTTACATTGTAAGCGCTTGCCTCTGGTTTGTGTACAGTCACAATTGCTAATCCTGAACCAGACCACTTGCCTCCAGATCCTTCTCAGCAAGCCAGTGCTCACTGCAATTCACCTGCATAATGAAGCCGACCTACTGGACCCCACTAGCAAGTCTCTGCCAATCTGGAAGCGAGCAGGGCAGCTCGTTTTCGGGTTGGGCTCGGTAATTCCGATCCTTCTGCGAGAAAGCAATAACGAAGGCCATTACATGCGACTCATTTTGATATGGGCATGCCCAGTAATGTTGATGCTCTGGTCATTCGCTTACCAATTACTTCTCACGTTGCCATGGACAACGACCTGGTTACCTATCGCTGCACCGACATTATATCTGTGGATCGTTGATACTTTGGCCCTACGAAGGGGCACCTGGAGCATCGAGTCAGGCACAAAGCTCGGGATTCAAGTTTGGCCCCATCTGGAACTGGAAGAGGCCGTCTTCTTCCTTCTGACAAACGCCCTTGTGGTATGGGGTGCGACTGCCTTCGACAATGCCGTGGCTATTCTCGACTCCTTCCCTAGTCGTTTCCCTATGGTCCCCGGCATTCCACCTCCGACGACGATGTTCAAAGCTCTATTTCTGGCCACATCCAAATATGAAACCAGGCGTCTCCAGGGCTTACGGAATGCACTGATGGTCCTTGCTAAGAAAAGCAGATCATTCTACCTAGCATCGGGTGTCTTTGCGGGTCGTCTGAGGATTGACTTAATACTTCTCTATGCGTTTTGCAGAGTGGCTGACGATTTGATTGACGATGCGCCTTCTGCAGCTGAGGCAAGTAAATGGGTGCAACATTTCACCAATTTCCTCGATATTGCGTATTCACCGAAAAGGGATGAGAAGCGGTTGCAGCAGGCTCTGGACCCATTCCCGCCCGAGGCACAGTCTATCCTACTATTCCTCCCGACGGACAAGTTACCTTCGGGGCCACTCTATTCGCTCCTTGACGGGTTCCGGATCGACCAGAAATTTTTCGACGCCGAATCTAGAGAGCACCCCCCAATCAAAACTTTTGCCGACCTAGAGCGATATGCAAGTTGTGTTGCAGGCACGGTTGGTGAACTCTGTTTAAATCTTGTCTATTATCATGACCCCGATCAAGGAGCTTCCACAGAGACCAAACGAAGGTGTCTTGCTGCTGGTGCGAAAATGGGCCGTGCACTGCAATACGTCAACATTGTCCGAGATGTCAAGACAGACGCCGATGCTGGACGATGCTACATTCCTAGCGAATGGCTCGAGAAATCGACGCAACGTTCAGCCGAAACTCGAGCCGAGCAAATTCCGCATCCCCGGAAGAGGATATTGGATCTTGCATTCGCCATCTATGCCAACAACAGAGATGCAATCGAAGCGCTGCCCTACTACGCGCGAGGTGGCATCCGTGTCGCCGTCGAGAGTTACATGGAAATTGGCAGGGTGATGCGTGAGCGCATGCGACAAGGCAGGCCTTTGGAATTTGCTGGCGGCGGTAAGAAGGGTCGTTCTAGCGTACCCAAGTCGAGGAGGATATGGGTTGGATGGAAGACAATGATGGGAAGGCGGGGCGCTGTGTGATAGCGGAGGTTTATCGCTCTCACCGTTCATGTTCATAGCTCGGTGTTAGACGAGAGACTCATTGAGGTCTATTTGAGAGGATGCATTGAAGGTCGAGGTTGCTGCGAACTAGCGTGCGGGGACGACGCTCCTCGAGCTCAGATCCGCATCCTGCAGCTTGGGTTTGAAACTCCCTGCGTTAATCTTTGCCAATTTTTTTGTTACCACGACCGTGAACTGTTTACCATTTGGACGCGATCACAATCCAAATGGATCTGATTGTCACGCTCAGTATGGGCTGTGTACCGATTGAGCCCGCCAGTAGTGGCATGCTGATGTCTTGGTAGCCAAAGTCATGCTGTCATTGACTCTGCGCCCCTGCGCCAACATAGCATGGACCATGTCCCTAACTGGTCCCTACCTGCTTCTCAACCTCTGAATCTCCGTCGATCTTGAGGATAGGTTCCGAGATATGAACAAGCCAAAAAGCGCTGTCATCATAGGTAAGATTGTGTGACTGGGTCTATGCTGGCCTTCATCAGTACTGATTCCGAGACAATAGGCGCGGGGGCCGGAGGCATTGCCAGCGCTGCCAGGCTTGCCAAAGCCGGTTTCCGAGTAACTGTACTTGAGAAAAACGACCATACTGGTGGACGCTGCAGCTTGATATACGACGACGGCTACCGGTTCGATCAAGGCCCTTCTCTCCTCCTGCTGCCCGACCTGTTCGAGGAAACCTTTCGCGATCTGGATACGTCTCTCGAGGCCGAAGGGGTCGAGTTGCTCAAATGCGAGCCCAACTACAATGTCTGGTTCGGCGACGGGGAGTGCATCGAGCTGTCCACGGATGTTGCCAGGATGAAGAAGACGATCGAGCGTTGGGAAGGGAAAGAAGGTTTCGAGAGATACCTCGCTTGGATGAAGGAGGCCCACGTCCACTACGAGGCTAGTGTCGTTCATGTGCTGAGGAAGAACTTTTCCACAATCTGGGCGATGGCTCGTCCGAGCTTCTTGCCCTACCTCCTGGCCTTGCACCCTTTCGAGAGCATCTGGAATCGGGCAGCGCGATATTTCCTGACGGAGCGACTGAGGAGAGCATTCACTTTTGGAAGCATGTATATGGGCATGAGTCCCTTTGAAGCTCCTGGCACCTACAGCCTGCTCCAGTATACTGAGCTGGCGGAAGGCATATGGTCAGTCTCGAGTCATAGAACCATTTTGGTGAGTTGGTCTCTAACGAGCGCCCAGGTATCCAAGAGGCGGGTTTCATCAAGTCTTGGACGCTTTGGTCAGAGTTGGGCAGCGTCTCGGAGTCGAGTACAGACTGTCGACACCAGTCGCTCGGGTGAACATCGATGGATATTCCCAACGCGCGACGGGCGTCACGCTGGCTTCTGGAGAAGTTGTGACCGCCGATATCGTCTTGGTCAATGCCGATCTCGTCTACGCCTACAACGAGTTGCTACCCCCTTCTCATCAAGCAACAACATTGTCGAAGAAACCGGCTTCATGTTCCAGTATCTCATTCTACTGTAAGTCCGCCGCTACAGAGTCCTTGCATATCCCAAGCTAAGCCGTTCAGGGTCAATGGACAAGGTGGTCCCTGAACTCCACACGCACAACGTCTTCTTGGCAGATGACTACCAAGACAGCTTCGACGACATCTTCAAGCGACAGCAGATTCCCAAAGAACCCTCATTCTACGTCAATGTGCCCTCGCGCGTCGACCCCAGCGCCGCTCCCAAGGATCGAGACAGCGTGGTGGTGCTCGTCCCATGTGGTCATCTACTGGAGGGAGAGGCTGGCGGGGGACTCAACCCGCACAGCGCACAAGATTGGCAGGCCATGGTTACGAGAGCTCGGCATGCAGTGTTCGAAACGATCCGCCTCCGGACAGGTGCCGATCTTCAATCCCACGTGGCTCACGAGATAATCAATACGCCGAGCACGTGGAAGGACAGGTTCAATCTTGACCGGGGAGCCATTCTTGGATTGAGCCACTCGTTCTTCAATGTGCTCAGCTTCAGGCCAGGAACGAAGCACACGGCAATAGGGGGGGTGTACTTTGTTGGAGCCAGCACCCACCCGGGAACAGGAGTGCCGATTGTGCTGGCTGGGAGCAAGATCACAACCGAACAAATACTCGATGACCTTGGTATGATCAAGCCATGGTCTCCAGGCACTCACAGGACGAGGGTGGTAAGCGATCTGGACAAGTGGGGAAAGCGACCTCTGGATCTGGTGCACACCCTCATTGCCATGTTCTTTGCGTTGTTGGTGGTGCTTATGCTTGCAGCTAGATGATGCGATATAGAACTGGGTCGGCCATAGACAGCGAGGACATGTATGACACGTTGTTTTCCATTTCCTCGACAGGAAACAGGACATGAACCGATTCCCCAGTCCAAGTCCTTGGTATCTACCTACATGCTCCATGCTTGTAAAGCTCTCTCCGCCTGCAGCCTCGTGCCGTTGTGGCGCCTCGACTGCCCAGCCACGGGACGCAAAACAGCAAGAGCATACTAACCACTAACTGCATGTGGTAAGCCGACCGCATTGGACATCCCGGCGAGCCGGATCATGCTCCGGGATGATTTAGTCAGCACAGCCATGACCTCATCTTGTGACAAGCAGCACCAGCGCCAAGGGCGTCGATCATCAGGGAACCACCGGGAAACTCCGGCGAATCACATGCGTCATGGCGGCTCCTAACCTCCCAAACGTTTTTGCGGTAGAGCCTTGCTCCCAGCAGTTCCGACACAAATGCCTCTGACTAAACCTCTGCAGGATGACTTGGTGTTGCGCTGGCCTTTCTCGTCTGAGGTAGTGAGATGGCCTTGATGAGGGCCCCTGGGCCGTTTTCGCTGACATCTTACGATCGCCCACCAATGCCGGATAAGCCTAACGCCAGCTGTCTTCGCAATTTTCTCCGGTTCGCCACAGGAATGGAAGTCCGACCTCCTGATTGAGCCCAGTCCATCCCTCAACCAGGTCAAGGCGGTCTGCACTAGACATCAGCCTGCATTTGCTGTCAATAAGTCGAAGCCGACGACATCCGAGCGCGAAATGGTTTGTCGGAACCATCGAATGACAGTCACGGTAGCCTCAACAAATCTCAGACCACCACGAATGCAGCCGGGGCGTTTGGACTAACCAGCCCTGAACGCTGCGTCCAGTGATCGTTCAATGCGAAGTTTCCGATGCCAACAGCAAGGCGAGCTAATGCGTGGGTGGCTTGGTGACGGTCACCTGTTTGGGGAGATGAAAACAAAGAACCAACTGGGGTCGAGCCAGAGCCTTGCAGCTCCATGGGCAGATGACCCTCCCCAGATGAGAAAATCTTGCAGGGCAGCTTACATTCTGCCAGAAGATTCCCCTGACGCCCGGCTGCTGCGGCAGCGTCAAGACATGGAGAACTCTCGAGGAATCGCCGGGAATGCTTGTTTTCAATGCAGCATACCGTTTTCTGTTGACTGATCGAAGCGAATCGACGTCACGTTGCTGCCATCCGTGAGAGTCCGTATCTCAAAGGGCACGAGACGCTCATCTATTAAACCCCCCCCTTCGCTCCGGAACACCATAGCCATTCTCACTTCCATCAGCACAATCGCGACCTAGGAGGCCAACAGTCCTTTTTGCAAATCCAGTCCCATCACTTTTCATCGACCCCGCGACAAAACCACCCGCACCAACCACTTTTCTCAAGATGGGCAACGACGTCTTCCGACACAATGGTTTCACCAACACGGTGACGACCAACAACCACATCACTGCCGCTGGCAGCGATTGGTACTGGACCGTCTGTTCGGTCATGACCGTTTCGACTCTCGCCCTCATGGCCCTGTCCTTCTTCAAGCAGCGATCCCAGCGTCTGCTCTACTACATCGCTGCAGGCCTTACTCTGATCCCGGCCATCTCGTACTTCTGCATGGGTTCCAACCTGGGTTGGACCGCCATCTTGGTTGAATGGGTCCGCAGCGACGCCAACGTTCACGGCGACATGCGCCAGATCTTCTACGTCCGATACATCGATTATTTCATCACCGTGCCTCTCTTGTTTACTCTCTTGTTGTTGAGCTGCGGTCTCCCCACCTCAACTCTCCTGTACACCCTGCTCATGGGCGAGGTTTGGGTCATTATGGCTCTTGTCGGTGCCCTTGTCCACAGCGAATACAAGTGGGGTATGTACTTCCTTCAAAACGTGACATGGTTTGGTAGTTGTTGCATGGTCGCTAATTCTGGATACCAACAGGTTTCTTCACCTTCGGAACCGTTGCACTCTTGTTCGTCGGCTTCGCCATCATCTATGAGGGACGCGCCTATGCCCGTACTCTTGGACAAGATATCCTCCGCGTCTACACCGTCTGCTCTGCCTGGGTTGTCTCCCTGTGGATCGTCTACCCCATCATCTGGGGTGTCTCCGAGGGTGGTAACGTCATCCCTCCGGACTCCGAGGCCGTCGCCTATGGTATCTTGGATATCCTGATCAAACGTAAGTCAAATCACTTCTAAGCAATTCTTCACACATGCTGACGATGGTTGGCCAATAGCCGTCACTGCTGCCTTCCTCATCTGGGGCATGCGCAATGTCGAGATGGAGCGCCTGGGCATCCACATCCGCGATGTCAACGCCGCCCCAGGCACTGCTCCTCAAACCGAGAAGGCTGCTGAGGCTGCTGCCGCCGGCGAGGGTGTCACTGCCCCCGCTCCTGCCGACACCACCGCCACCAGCGCTGTGTAAACGGCTGGCCATGTCGCAGCATTGTCAAGGCCATAGGATCCGATCCGCCCCGTGCTCTGGACTAGCCCAATTTTCGATAAATTCGACGGACACCGAATCCTCTTCGCCCTGAAATGCTACGAGGGGTTTTTCTTCAGTCCCCCCCCTCATTGTCAAGCCGGAGGTCTCTTACTCTTTTGCCGGACCTCACCCAACTCGATACCCAACCTTTTTTTCTTACCAACCCACCCACCCAAAATCAACATATCCGACAATGCGACAGGTCGCTCGTTATAAAGATGACTACAGGGGGATTTTCACGAAACGATTAATTACTTAACTAATTCACGGAGTCGTGCAGAATAGGAGAGGGGGAAGGAAGTGTCTGATTAATCACGTCGCGACGATACCCAAAGATACCATGTATAAGCATCTCGCCATTGGGGTAACTTGGTACTTGACCTAATAATACCGATACCAATATATAGATCTCATGTAATGTCAATGCTACTCCATACTTCTGACGAGTCTGACTGAGCTTATGGTGCTGGGTTCCTAATCTTGCTTGTGCTGGGGGATGCAAGTCCTCGGGCTGGGCTCGCTGGGTAGACCAAGAACTCGATGATATCTCGTGATCACTTGCCTGTTCGTTCGAGAGCCCGTGACCGGGCGCCCGCTCGACTTTCCCTTTTCGTTCCGCCCGAGTTCGCAAATTCCCTCAAAATCCCCAAGGGAGGGCCGATTAATGGTACCGACCAACCACCTCTTTTCCCAACATCAGCTTTACGAGTGGTCGGTCCTCGGTACAGACCACCACGGCAGTATGATTCGCCAAGCGCAATCCACTGCCTCGTACTCGTTGTTCACTCAAGATTGCGCGAAATAGGGGAATGGGCTCCGAGCTGGAGGGGGGAGCGAGGAAAAAAAGGGAGGCCAGCAGCACGACTGCTTTTTTCCCCAGGAAAAGGATTTCCCAGCCACCACAGATTTCACACCAGGGCTTTTTTTTGGGCTCCAGTCTTCACTTCTATTCGGTTCTACGAGTATTACTCCCCTATCGTCGTGTGTGGATTCCTTTTGGCTTGGGAGGCTTGAGCCCGAGGTGTCGCAGAGTGGACACAAACGTGAGCCAGACCCCCTTTTCTCGCTTCGAAAGCTGCTTTGCCCTTTCCAGACTTAGCACGAGTGCGCTTCGGAGATTTTTCTCTCGCGGCTTTTTATGAGGTGCAGTAGTGTGGGAGGAGCATTCGTAAAAGGGGATTTCTTTCGACCCTTGTGGTTGCTCGAGGGGAAGTTGTGCCGGCAAACCTTCATTGTTCTTTGACATCCTGGTAATCATACCATCGAAAAGGTGCGTTTCATAAGAGTACGTAAAGGGAATGGAGAGGCCCGGCAGCTCTGTTCTCCGGTTTGGGGAGCGTACGAGGTATCCTTCAGCCAAACCCGGGGCCAAAGCGATGAGAATGAAAATGAGGATGGATGTCCTCGTGCCTTTGCTGGGGGATTCCTTATCGAGAGTGATGGCCTCGGCTTCTTCCCCAGAAGGAAGCGCGCGAAAGAGGTGCATCTCGCTTTTGGTCGATAGTTCGTCGCCGAGATAACGCAAGCGAGCAAGACAACAGACCGTCTTTTGGACCATCTGTCGACGATTTGGTCAAGCCTGCAGCGTACGAGTAGCTCATCCTGCCGTTGGCCATGCTACCGCACAGGTCGAGATTGCCAAAAAGACCGTTTTCGATGAAAATCTTCCCCAGAGCAGACGAAATTGGCTACCACCTTGTTTTGCAGATCACCTTCGAGTCTCTCCGCCCAATGAGGCATCAATTCATTCTCGTATGGAGTGATCAGAACCCCGATTCAGTCATGAAAGTGCACCAGATCCAAACCAACTGTGTTAGGCTGAGTGTGAGCTGCCCTTCTTTTTGCTAAAGACAGACAATCTTTGAGCGGACACTTGCCGTGGCCCGTGGACGAAGGAACAAGCCGAGAGAAGCCAAGTTCTCTCCGCGTTCTCGAGAACGGTAAGGGCAGAGCCGATCATGTCGGTCTCGCACCGTTGAGACTGGCCCAAGTTGCACAGAAATCAAACTCGTTCTCGTAGCGATGGCAGTAGCGACCATCAACCCCACCCTCTTGACAGGAAAGCCTCTGTCTGGGTATGGGTGTATCTACCGAGTACCTCGTACTCTGTACAATTTCCATCTTGGAAGCCCACCAGAGGCGAAGTTGGCAGCTTTCTTCTGCTTGGAGAAGCAAAATCAAACCTGGGCCTGGTCAGGGCGACACACAGTTGCCGTCTTGACCAAACCCACGGCCTCGCGCACACCGCAAATCTCGAACTGCTCTGACCACGACCAACCATCAATCGTCATCGGCAGTTGTCCGGAGGGTTGCAGATGAGGTCGTGTAATCTGCGCGGCGGCGAGAGGTCCTGATAGCCTGCTGAGAAGACAGCTCCTGGCAACACCAGCGGTAGGTCAAACACAGGTAACGCACGCTGGCCGGCTCCAGGTGAAATTGCACAGTTCCCGCCGGCGGCTACAAATGAGGTCAAGGGCGAGTCGACCAGAAGGAACCGCTTCAGATTCGGTGCAGGGCCGATCCGACAGTAGCCCAAGTCGCAGCCAGTGAGAAGCCTCCGAGAGCTCGAGACCGCCCCGATAACGTTGATGTCAGGGGCTAAGGAAAAGGACAAGTAGACGAATGGGCAAGGGAGCGCACGGTGGAGGTCGAGGTCGCTGTTTCATCACCTTCTCGCAGATGGAGTTTCCAGTGGAAGGTTGGCGCAGACAAGCAGCAGATGGGCGCAGATGGGCCGCTTAAAATGAATCTAACCTGACGCTGGTGCCACCCTTAGGCGGTCCTTTAGGGGCTCTTAGCGGGGGTGTCGGGAAATTTGGGCATGGCTGGCATTGGCTGGCAGTTGCTGGCAGCGGAGGACAGGCCCGCAGTCGCCCAGGCACAGGCCCAGGAACCCGCCAGGCTCATCCAGGCACAACCACTCAGGGGCCGCAGTTTCATCTGCTGTCCCTCCACCTCACTATCCTCTTATCCACCGCTTCTCCACGATCGTCGAACCCTCATCCCAACTCAAATCAGCCAGACAACCACTCAACGCCTGCCGCCCTGTCTGTGTTGACACCAGCGCTTTACTCTAATCCGGTTCACCACCGCACGCAATTTACCCGACCTCTACGACGATGCTACCGCTGCCAGGCCAGCGCTCCACCATGCCCTTGCCCAGCCCGTCAGATATGCTTTTGGCCGCCACATATACTCGTGCGCCTCCCTGCCCATCTCCATGTGTTGAACCTCTCCTTCCACCGTCGCAGAGTCCCAGGATAGCATATTGCTGTCGTCCGAGTCGCTGAGCTCCCTCTCAGTTCCTATCACGCTCATTCCCCTTCATTCGAGCAGCGCTCGCTCATCTCGCCTTGCGCGACACCTCTCCAGGACTATAACAGCACATTGACCGACCACGGCAGGTCACCAAACACTCATTTGAGATTTATACGATACTCGAGACGTCGCAGCGACTATCGGAGAGCGCCCAGGCGCATTCAAAGAACCAAACTGCGGCTCCACGCACACACACAAGACTTGATACGATACCATCGTCCAAGACAATCCGAACCAAGATGCGCTTCAGCTCGGCCATCGCAGCAGTTGCGCTGTTGCTAGCACCAGCAGCTCTTGCTGATATGCCTCCCGGAGACTGGTCGGGAGAGACCACCATCACAATCACATCCTCTTTCTCCACCACCCTTACCATTACCAAGTATCTCACATATGTGAATGCTTCTACCACCAGTTCCGGCTACCATGTCACGCCTACAGGCTGGAACGTCACTTCTACTGCGCCCACGGCTGCAAGCACTATCAACAAGCCAACGTTGACGGCTCCCGCTACTGCTACCCTCGGCATTTCACCGCCTATCGCTTCTGCAACTGGCGCGGCGAGCGCTCATGAAATCAACTTGGCCGTGGCCGCTCTGGCGGGTGCCGCTGCCGTCTTCTTGGGCTCGTTATAACCACAGCCCTTTGACATTGAATCGACATGCCGAGCATGATGCGGCATCCAGTCGATATTGTTTCCTTTCCTTCCTCATGTTTTGACTGAGTCAATGTTTCACGTTGCGAGCACCAGTATGCTCGTTTACACTTGTCTGGATAACAACAACTTTCATCTCTGAGAGAGTTTTTGAGGCACATTGCGGAGGGGTGATTGTCGGAATCTTTGATTGTACCGCAGCCGGTACTTTCACGAACTACACTACGCGTCAAAGTTGCAAATTGGGAGAATTACGCTATCCACGCCCGGAGCGCAGATGAGTCGGAGCACCATCCGCCATTGTACAGGACGGTGGTATCAAGCATGAGTGTTTGGGCAACGACGGCTCTTGCTGTTCGCACACCAGGTGGATGAAGACCGGAAGGAAAATGGTTCTTGGGATAGGGGTCGCGATAGGGGTGGTACAGGGGGGGAGCGCGATGGGGGGGTGGGGGGGGGGAAGAAGTCTACGATGATGATGGATATGATGTCCCACAACCTTTTGAAAGCATGCGAAGAGCGTCGCGGTCTCCTTTTACGAAAATGGTGGTGAATTCGTCTGGGAAGCTTTTTCGGCCCACCCACTCACTCCGTCTGTACAGATAGCCAGTTAGCGCAGCCTTGTAATTGAACCGAGAAATGTTATGAAAAAAAAATGATAGGTTTGTCTTAGTGCCTCGTGGCATTGGATTTGGGCACAGATAAGGCCGCGGTTGTCTTGCCTGTGTTCCGAGAATACTCTTGTCTTCTCTCTGTTACCGCATATGGAATCGGTGGTGATGGTTGCTAAAGGGGGGGAAGGGGGGAGGGGACTGGGCACGAGGAGGCCTCCTGTCGCTCAACCTGCCGGCTAAGTCGATCCCCGTGATCGACGGCGCAGAGATGGGCATCATGTCTCGCGCGGAACTCTTGTCACGCAAGCCACCATAGCAATAGCACAGTACAAGTACGGAGTGAAGACACGAGGTACTCGTAGGTACATAGACGCCTGGGCCACCGCGAGACAGAGGCGCGGATCTTGCCAATAGTAATAATACGCATTGACGCGTAAGAGGACGGAGTAGGGGGGAGGGAGGGAGGGCGGAGCACAGGCCATTGGTTTGTTATTGCTGTTTGTCTGTCTATCTGTCTGTTTGTTTGTGTGTCGATGTGTCTGGTCTGTTATTGACCTTGTTGACGTCCCTGGCTGGATTGACTATGCGGTGGTCAAGATCGAGCAAGTGTGGCGCGATGGAGTGGTGGAGAAACATCTTTGGCGTAGGGAGGAGGAGGAGAAGGTGGTGGGTTGTGGGCGCGGCGCTGGAGAATCATGGCGGTCGTGGCGGTGGATTGGCGCTTTGGTGGATGGCCGTGGCTGTGGCTGTGGCTGTGGCTGGTTCTGGGGGGGAAGGGGGCGCCACCACCGCCTAAGACCAAGATCTACTAAGTAGACGGGTGGGCGAGTTTTCTCGACGCGTTTCGCTATCCATCCTGTTGGGCACCTCGATGGCCGCATTCCCTTACTGTCTCTCTCATCGAATTCCAGCTCTGCCTTTCCCCATCTTGGTCTCGCAAGCTATGGCGCTGAATTCCACTTTCAATTTACAAACAAGACCCTCCGACTCACCTTAGCACTCATAACGTCGTGGATTCCCCGCGACTTCAACGTGCAAAAGGATCTGTTCCCCCATACTTGTCACCATTCAACATTCTGAACCCGTCCTTTGCCTTGCTCCTTATACCGTCGTACGAGTGAGACGCCCCACAGACGGCTTTTCCTGTCCAGTCATCTGCCACCATGTTGCCATTTGCGATCGTGGCATTTTGGCCCACCTCGATCTCCATTCTCTTATAATGGTGCCCAGAAGCCCTTGATATTTCCGGGTGTAGTACATTATCCAGTCCTTCACAAGTACTTGCGAGGAGCATGGCTTCCTGAGGTCCTTTCACGACCGCAGCTTCTTCATTTGCAAGTGCCCTCCGTGCCTGGGTGCAGGGAACAGGGTCTCGAGGTGGTCGAGAAATTCCGAGACATCATCGATGAGCTTCTTCAATACGGCCATTTTCCACGTGCTTGCGTGTATTGGCACCGAGACAGTTGTGCCGCTGCTGCTTCAATACAGACCCGATGCAAGGACAAAAGCTTGTGGAGACATGAACTTGCTGCCATGGGCAAAGATCCAAGGACATGGATATGGTGATGGATTTACTGAGCCTGGAACGCGCATGTTTCGATATCAAGGGCAGAGATGGGCGGGATCTCCTGAGTTGGGCGACGGCGAGGCAACATGGAGATATCATCAGGCGGTTATTGGAGATGGGCGCTCAGAAGGACGTTCAAGTGAGCGAGATCCTGTAGACCAATGTGTATTTCTAGGCTTATGACTCGCCTTGTACGGCGTTGGCGAACGTAACAATACGTCGCAGCGGTTGTTTGTGGTTGGCAGGAGCAGTCAGCTCGTGACGTCTCTGGATCAATCCGCTCAAGGAATCACAAGATACATTCGGAAATCACAATTCTGTTCAGTGGAAGCACTCGATCTGTACATGCTCGAGTACAACTGATCGAGGAAGTTCTGTTTGGACCCATTTTGATATCACGTGCGCTCATTCGGACCGTCGCACGTTTTCCCAGTTTGGCGCTTCTGGCCTGCAAGACAACCCCAGGGTGGGCCTTCCTTGGCAGGTGGGGGAATCATCTGCGTCTAGAGATGCATCCGAGGCCTCATCAGCCATCAGAGTCACTTCGCACACCCACAACTCCTGTGCGAGCTCTGAGGATTTTACTTCGATTAGATCGCAGACACTGGGACCTGCATCACCCCTGAGATGTTGGGCTTTGAGCTGCGTCGAGAAGCCTAGAGTCCCGAAAGTGCACCCAAGCCCATCTTCGGCAATAGCCTGCCACCTTGCCACCAGTGCTGCTACCTATATCACCATGACTGAGCTTGCAAGGACAGCCTGCTGCCGTTGTCGAGAACAAAAGGTATTTGCAATGTCCGGCCACAAGTCTATACCATAACCCCCCGCTGCCGAGATCGTTGCCTTGCAGCTGACGCCTGCTGTCTCAAGTTGCGATGCTCTCGAGAACTACCCACATGTGCCCGATGTCTCAGGCTCAGCGCCGTCTGCGAATTTCCTGCGCCTCCAGACCGCAAAGTTCTCGCCGCCTTCCGCGCGCAACCCAAGAAGCGCAAGCTGGAGCACAACGCCAGTGACCGCTCTCCGAGAAACAATCCCTCAGCCGTCCCCAAACCCAGCTTCTCCAGCCCGGCGTCCCAGCCAGCGAACCACAATTCCGCTCCTTCTGCAGAACTGCGCTCTGACTCCCTTCTTCCTCTCTCCAGGTCACAGGAGAAGTTCTTGCAAGACGTCTACTTCACCTGCATGTTCAACTCGACCCTGGTATTCCATAAGCCGACGTTTTCGCGGGCTTGGGAGGAAGGACGGCTAGCACGACATGTCCTCCTCGCAGTCTATGCAACGGCTACAATGTAAGGTCCCGTCCGTGCTCGTCTGCTTCTACAACCTGACGGCTTGCAGCTTCTTGCCGTTCGACTCACCTCTTGCACGACAGAATGCATCTCTTCTCCAGTCACTAGGTGACCTGAGAGCCCTTGGAAGACAATGGGCTATACGTGCTGGCAAAGAAGTTCTCCAGGACATTGATCAGCCCACTTTCGAGAGCGTCCAAACCTGTGAGATGCTCACATTGTATTGGTTCTCGGCTGGTGAATCCCAGAGGAATACCATGTTCTCTGGTATGTATTTCCTGCGGTGCTTCTCTGCCAACACTCTCTGATACGGACCATCAGGCATTGCATACAAAGCAGCTTGCACGCTGGGCTTGGACTCATCAGAGCCATCGACCGCAACTGAGGACAGCCCCGCATCTGGAATAAGTCCAACTTGGCTTGAGGCAGAGGCAGTGCGACGTTGCTTCTGGGCCGTCTGGTTTACGCAGTGCATCAATTCTGATCACTCCGTTGTTGGCACCACCTACAACGATCGGGTCATGAACTTGTCTCTTCCAATAGCCGAGAGCTCCTTTAACGAAGGTGTCCAGCAGCCTCTAGAAAACCTTTCCAGCATTCTACAACAACACGCAACATTTGCGACCCAGAAAGATGCTGCTCCTAGCATTATGGCTGAACTCATGACTTTAATCTTTTATTGGTACGTGTTTTAGACCTTTCTATACCAGTTCCTAAAAGAAGGGCAGGGTCAGGATTCGCAATCTTGTCCGAGTCACGGATCGCATCTCTGGCAGAGACTGGCTGGCAGAGCTTTTTGAGCTGGAAGGCCGGCTGTCCACATGGTATTCGCAACTTCCCGATTCTTTGAAATATTCCAAACGAAATTTGTATGAACAATTAGTGGTCCTTCAGCAGCCCGTGTACACCTTTGTGCATGCGCTGTACCACCAGTGTCGTCTTGTCCTTCATTCATCCTTGGTCCCCAAATTCAGTGGAATTCGTCTCGACAGGGCAATTCCGTCAGAGGCAACAGCCCTCAGTGCTCGAATTGCCTTGAAGAGCGCTCAGCGCATCTCCGAGCTGGGTGCAGATGTGGGTTGCCCTTAAAAGACCAAAATCTGCAATTTAGAATCCCCTCCATCCCGTATTCTGGTGCTGATGATGACACAGATCCTAGCTCTTGATTGGGACCCTGCCCAAATAGCATCATTCGTCGGATATTGTATGTATGTCTCCGCGTCGATCCACATCGCCTTTCTCTGCTCCAGAGATGCGACCCTCGCAGTCCCCGCCAGAGCCAATTTGATGGCCAGCCTGAAGCTGCTCAAGTCGATGAAGATGTATTGGACGAATTTGCAGAGACTGGTGAGTACAACGCAATATAGGTCAGCCTTAGGCTAACAAAGCCTGCAAGTGGGTCCGAATCAATATGCTCTACGGAGCCCAGATGTCGAGACGGTTGGCTTCGGCAAGAGAAGGGATGGCGGGTTCCACGGAGCCGCAAGCGAACTTCAGCGAACTTGATGAAGTCGCCGGTGAACCACGAGACGTCGGACAATTGGCCGAGCCACTTGCCGACTCTGTCCTGGATTATACCCTGAGGCGGTTGAGACCGGACAGAGCCGTCCTTTCTCCGGCTGCTCAAGCGCTTGAAAGACAGCCATGTCCAGACGATTTATCTCAATTGATGGACGAAGACTCAAGCTCATCACTAAACCCATCATCCCAGTCAGCAAGGCCAGAGGGTCCGATACCTTCGATGGGGCTGGACCAATCTAATTATCTTGTCTCTACAGCTCCACAGATGGTCGGAGGTTGGGATCGCATGCGGACGCCGACTATGCAGTCTCTGAACAATGACGGGCTAGACTGGTGGGAGGTGAGTCTGGACAACATCCAACAGCCGATACTGCCGTATGAAGAGCTCTTCAATCTGGATTTCAACTTATCATAGCGTCAATGCCTGCGTGGAGCCGACGGAAGGCTCAGGTCGGGTTCCACCGTACTTGGGCAGCCATCGGTCCGAAGAACACCCAGTGCGTCGGTGAGTCTTATGGGTTCATGTCCCATCTCCAGCGAGAAAGGGCCTATGATCTCAATCATATATATTATCTGGTTCCAGCAATCGGCTCTACGATCTCATCAACCACATCGACACACCGTTGGTCTCATTAAAGTTATATACCTAGTCATTTCGCAGACTCTACACGACGCTGCTCTGAAACCATGGCCGATAAAAACACTAATAGAAAGCCTCAGCGCTTCATTACCGGTCACAACGTTGATGGCAAGGGTATTATCGAAGTTGTTGACGAAGGATCATGGCGGAAAATCGACAACGACATTGTGAGATACAACGAAATGTGGTCGACAAGCACCTTTCCGATCGATATCCAGAACGACGACAATTTGAAGAAAGAGAAGACTGTCATGTCTCTGTCTTTACCCAACGGCACAGTATTGAGGATGGTCGACCGGTCCCCAGGCTCCTCCTCGGCCATGCACCGCACCCAGAGCCTTGATTATGGTGTGGTCATCGAAGGCGAGATGGAGCTGATCATGGATTCTGGGCAGATTGTCACATTGAAAAGAGGGGATGTCTGCATTCAGCGAGGGACTTTGCATCAATGGCGAAACCCTGGAAGTACCTGGAACAGGATGCTCTTTGTCTTGATCGATGCTTTACCGCTGGAGGTGGGTGGGATAGTTCACAGAGGCGAGACAGGCTACGAGCACGTCAAAGAGATAGGTTCTCGTCTCTAAAGGGCTTTGGCAGTGTGGTGGGGGCTCCGACAGAAGTTGGGAAGAAACATAGACTCGTCAGTGGTGTCTTCCGAATGTGAATAGAGACTCTCTCTTGACAGCAATCAAATCACGACGTTTAGAGCACACCTTCGCATGATATTAAACTGTGAAATTCGCCCTGAATACAGTGGAAGAGCGTCCATTTGTGGCAGGGTGGCGTGCACACCTGGCTGCAATGAGGCTTTGGCTTTGAGACCGAGAGCTTCCCATGTTGATCCCTTTGAGCAGCGGCAGGGAACGGTGAGAGAAGTCTGACGAATACGGGCGGGAGATTGGAGTTAACGGCCAAAACTCCGTGGACTTGACGATAAGGTTATGCTCCCACTGTGCTTGGTCGACAGTAGCGACTCGCAATACAGCTGTCGACCCGCTGATGGTCATGCTGTTGTGTGTATCCCGAGGTTCAACGTCGAAGCATATCTGAAGCATTCGGGCCGAACGACCCCAGCCTGAACAACCCCGAACCTCTTGGCCTCTGCTCAACACAGCGAGTCCCCAACCAATCCAGACTGCGGGAGAGCTTCACCACGAAAGCCTCAGCCCAATGACTGAGGTTCTGGACCCAAGGAGATGAACCAGCCATTCCCATTCTATGCAAAACCTGGGGGCCCGCAGTAGCGAACCCAAAGGGACAGGACAGTGCGAGCCAAGCACTCCCAGATTGATAAAAGAGGCCTTGCTTTCGCCTTGCCTACTGCTACTCCCACAACTCTCCTATCCTCCTCCTGAGCTTCTCTCGAACAACATGTCGTCTTCAGTCAAGACTGCCTTGCGTCGTCTCGAAGTCAAGCATGACGGCGAGGTCTACTCGGACAGACCTCCCACGAGATGGGGCAACCGAGACATATTCCCCGTGCCGCCGGAGCAACGTCGCTATACAGTCATTTCCTACATCTCCTACTGGTCCATAGCCTCCCTGAGCGTCACCTCTTGGGCGTATGGTGGAAGCGTCGTGGCCCTCGGCTTGAGCGCCGGAGAGGGAATTGCCTGCGCCATTATTGGGTCAGTCTTCGTGGGCATCTTTGCTTTCCTCTGTGGCCATCCAGGGGCAACTATGCACGTAGGGTAAGTTGCATGCCTCGTCTTCCAGTCTAAGCCGTTCTAACCGCGTTTGATGCCTCAGATTCACGGCTTTGGCGAGAGTGACATTTGGACTCTACGGTTCATATGTCCCAGTGCTCCTTCTGGTGTTTGAAAATGTCGTCTTTGTAGGTTATTCTCAGCCTCGCCCCAACTAGGCTGACTGGTCGATCAGTTCGGCATCCATGGTTACTTCGGCGGCCTGGCGGCAACGATTGTCATCAACGCTCTGTCCCCAGGCTTTATGAATTGGAAGAATACACTTCCAGAAAGGTGCGTTCTGGCCTCAAGACCACCGCCTATCTGTGCTAACCTGTTTCAAAGCGCCGCCATCACCTCTCAAGCACTAATCGGCTTCGTCATCTACATCGTCGTCTTCTTGCTCTTGTTGTTGATCCACCCCTCGAAGCTCAGACGGCTGGTCTGGCCCGCCGCCATCATCATTGCAGTGGTTTTCCTAGGCCTTCTCGGTTGGGCCGTCAGTGCCAACGGCGGGACAGTTGGAAACCTGCTGGCTGGCAAGATCCATCTCTCTTCGACCAACAAGTCCTTCGCGATGCTCTATGCGATATCCAGCGCCGCAGGGTCGTCCACCGCCTTCTCCAGTCGTATCTCGGACTGGACGCGCTTCGCCCGGACCAAGCACGCGGCTACGGTCCCCATGCTGGTCTTTGCGCCAATTTTCGGCTGCATTGGCCCCCTTTTTGGTATTCTCGCTACGAGCGCAGTTTACTCGAGGTATCAAGTCGTCGAATGGAATCCACTTGGTCTACTGCTCTACGTGCAGCAGACTCAGTATACAGCTGCATGCAGAGCAGCCACCTTTTTTGCAGGCCTGGGGCTTTTCTGCGCAATTCTCATGGTGAGTACCAGCCAAGGAGACATCTTGTATACTTGATCCGCTGACCAATCTTCCCCCCGACTAGAACAATCTTATGGGCAAGATCATCTGCGCTGGGATGGACTGTGCAGGGTTGTTTCCCAAATACATCACGACTCGTCGTGGCAGCTACATACTCACTATTATCGGCGTTCTCATCCAGCCTTGGAGACTCGTGAATGGGTCAAGCACTTTCTTGACAGTTCTGGCTTCCTTTGGGGGTACGTATCTCAAATCCCTGATTCGTCGATGGACTGGGAACTAACGCGAGTAAAGTCTTTGTCGCTCCAATGACTGGCATCATAGCCGCAGACTACTGGATTATCCGAAGACGCAAGTGGGTGATACCTGACATCTACAAACAGGATGGCATTTATTGGTACTCACTTGGTGTCAACTGGCGGGCATATGTGGCCTTTATTATGAGCTTTGTCTTTGACTTACGTGAGTTCGCGCCTTTCCACTCCTGTCAAACGGATGTCACTGACAACAGGTTCTCAGCCGGGTTTGCTGCTTCTGTCAATCACACCGCGATTGCACCGGGATGGACTCGGATGTACGACATGTCCTACATTGTCAACCTGGCCATAGCGACCTTGATATTCTGCTGCCTTTCGTTCGCCTTTCCTCCGAAGGGACTGGGAGTCGCTGGGGCATGGGATGATGTGTCTGTCGTGGAAGAAAGCAAAACGACCGAACTGGCGGTGGACCAAGAAAAGGAGGAGCGCGTCTACGAGGTCGAATGCTTGCCGACGTCGACCACTACATGAAGCAGACCGAGGTGCTCCTGCTTGTGCAAGCACAGCCAGTTTGTGATTGACGCAGTGGTTCTTGATGTGACAGAAGGTGCCAAAATTGTTGCCCATAGTTGGAAGTACTTTGTGTGAATTTCTCCCTCCACGCCACTTGTCGAGGCAGAGTCGAGATCATAGTACATAACATGCAGAAAAGTCTGGGTTTCAATCAATCATCGAGGCTATTGTTGTCTATACAGTGTGCCGTGAGCTGTCCGACTCAACAATTGACCCCATTGGAATCAGATTCGATTTGATCCACAACATTATGGGCTACATTTGTCTGGCTGGAACGCACTTCATGGTGCTACCTATCCAACGAACGCTGCACACACAGTAGATGTTCGCAGCTCGCGCCACTTCATCAACCTGAATGTGTCATGCGTCCTTCTGAGCCAAGACGCCGCCCACGATTATCGAAGCTCAATGTGTCGAAATTTCTGCTCATGACGCTCTGCCTTGCACCAGTGGACGTTCGGGCCGAATGCTGGAGTGGCGAATCGGACACACCCCCACAAATGTCTCATTTGTGGAGAGGCTCTTGTGGAGGCGATCCGGAGTACAACATCTACTCTGTACATCATGTGGATTCACTGTAGTTTCCGACCTCGGGGCCGAGCTTGATGGACTACAAGTCCGTTTATGACTTAAATGAGAGGGTAAAGTCAGGTTCAGTCAACAAGTTATAGTCCTCGATCACAACAAGAAACTAGACAGCCTCAAAGTCCGGACACATTGATATTGAAGTCTCAAGAAAGGTCAGAATGCCTGAGGAAGCACCAGTCGAAATTGGCAAGAACCATGTGTTCTCATCCGGGCGGAGCTCGACCCGCTACTTCAAGGACGGGTACTTTGATTACAACTTTGAGAAGTTCTTGGGGCTGGCGACCTACTCGGGAGCCGAGATAGCAGAGTGCTTCGAGACCGCCGCGCGGATGACGGACGGCGACACCGAAAGCTGGATCCAGGCGTGGACCAGTACCGCGCGCCGTGTCGAGGCTTACGCGGAGAACGCCATGAAGGGAGGCCACAAGGTCAGCGCCCGGGAAGCCTGGCTCCGCGCGACAACGTACTACCAAGCCGCCTTCTTCTTCGTCCCGGACAAGGATCCCCGAAAGGACGAGCTGTACTGGAAGCACACGGGCTGCTTCCAATCGGCGGGGAAGCTGTTCGACCCACCGTACGAGCCGCTCGCGATTCCGTACGAGGGGAAGACCCTCTTTGGGTACTTCTTGCGCTGCGACGACAAGCCACGGCCCACGGTGCTCATCCAGATGGGCGCGGACGGCAGCTCCGAGCAAATCTACTTCTCGGGAGGCGGCGCCGCGGCTCTCCGTCGCGGGTACAACGCCCTCATCTTTGAGGGACCCGGTCAGACCGGCACGTTCATGCGCGATCGCAGCCTCAATTATCGCTACGACTGGGAGGTGCCCGTCGCCGCGGTGGTCGACTATGCCCTGACCAGGCCGGAGGTTGATCCGAAGCGGATTGCGCTGATTGCATACAGCATGGGAGGCTACTTCGGGCCCCGGGCAGTCGCCTTTGAGAAGCGCATCGCCGCGTGCATTGCAAGTGGCTTGGTCCCGTCCATGATGGCGCTGGCCGGGAAGCGGCTCGAAGACATCAAGAAGGCCAACGGCAAGTATAACCACGCCGCGCGGTGGGCGCTGTTCGAGCACATGCCCAAGTACGGCTTCAACAACGACGTCCAAGACCTCGACAAGCTGGAGGCCATATGGAACAAGTTCTCGCTCTACGGGCTCGAGGACAAGATCACCTGTCCGCTCCTGGTGGTCCAGGCCGCCGCCGAGGGCGAGCGCCAGACCGAGATCGCGAAGGTCTTCTTCGACAAGCTGCCCAACCCGAAGAACAAGTTCCGCCTCACCACGGAGGACGACGCGGCCGAGATGCACTGCCAGAAGGGGAACGCGATGCTTCTGCACGCGATCGAGTTTGACTGGTTGGACGATGTGCTGGCTTGATGAAGTGGGCGATCACGCTACGAAAATTGTGAAACATGGCTTGTAGTTTTTTGACACGGACTACTGAAGTCTAGTCCAGTAGCTCTGAGCCACTGGTTCTAGAACTTCAGAGACAATGTGAAAATGCTGGCACACATGATCCCTGTAGATCCCTGGACATGTTTCCGCTACCTGTCTATACTCTGTGCGTTCTTCATTCGGGCCGTTCGGCTGCTCTTGTCAAGAGGAGGTCCGACTATCTAGTTAACAGGGTAGGCCTAGTCCCCAGACTTCCTAGCTGGCGACGTGGTGATCATTAAGTCTGTGGAGCTGCAATACAGCGGGCGGCGGCTTCTTGCTGGACAACGTGGCCTGCAGCTGACGCCTCATGCTGGACACAAAAGTTCACATCTGGCGTGGTTGTTGACAACCAGGTATCACGCGCCTGGTGGCTCAAGCTTGTTTATAGTTGGCTGACAGTCCTTGGTCCTCCCCCTTCACCGCCGTCGAGAATAAATTCCGACGCATCTCAACCTGACACCTCGAGAGGTTGAACGACTTCCAGCATGTCGGTGCGAGCCCGGATAAGTCAACTCTTGACGACTTCGCGGTCCCTGCTGCAGCGGCTCAGGAGCATCTACAGGGATGGTTGGGCCATATACTCGGAGTACGCTCCCGTGGTGTAGTGCTCTGGTCTCCATGTGAGAAAAACCCGTCACCCACCGCATGATTGGTGAGTTTCCAAGCAATCCCTGAGAATTAGACAATTTTGCCATACAGAGGCGATGGAGCATGGAAGATAGTTGATCTACATCATTGTTTTCTTTCGACGAGGCTACGACTGACGAATCTGTAGAGACTGAGCTTCGCTGACCGGCTTCTGCCGGGACCGGGGCTAGGGCGGACGACCCCAGAGGAGACAAAACAGAATATTAGTGGGAGGCAATCAATAGTCTTCGTCGAGTGAGATTACTTTGAGAAGAGCGGCTTCCAGGGTGAAGACGGGACCTGGAGAATGACGAGGCTGAGCATGTGTCGGTTTCTAAAAGGAGAAATGGCTTGGGGGCCGTAGTACTGGGACTAGGCCAGTTCAGGCTAGTGAGGAAGTGACAACACCTGCTCAGTGTCCTCGGCCTCCTCATTGCGCATTCTTTCATCCATTGATGTCTCTCCGCAATCCCAACCTTCGAGCTCTCATCGTCACAACAACCAGAATATACCCGCGTTACGCTCAATATCCCTACAACGGTAGTATATGATGTGAAGTATCTCCCGGCGACCACACCACCAACCATTGTAGGGTGAGGAACTGGCCTGACTGACCCCGACCTTTTCGCCTGCCGGGGTTCCCCACACGCTCACCACCTCCCATCGGCCCGTCGCTCTCGCTCACATTCGGGGAAGAGCCACGAAGCTACAACGCCTGAACATTTCCCTTTGTCTCTCGAGGGCCACCCTTCCAAGCGGGCTCCGATGGGCTTCTGTCACATCACATGCTCGCACGTCGCCGGAACCGGGCGAGAGAGATGCTCGCTGTTCCATGCTGCCAAGTACTATTTGTATCACGGTAAATGATAATTTACCAAGAGTTTTGATGCGCACTCCACGCCTAGAAGGGATTTTCTCAACGTCTCATACACACCGCTCATGTTTTATAGGAGCGCGACGGTTGAGCACATCTAGATCGAGAGGGCTGTGTATATTTTCACGCCATCATGACTTCGGAACATTCCATCCCGCGGAAGCTGTGGCAGCATCCAGATCCGAAGAGCACTCATATGTACAAATTCATGAAGAAGGCAGAAAGGCAAACAGGCAAGACCTTCAATGTACGTCCTCTGTAGAGGCCCAGTCAGGTTCTCCGTACGCTCGCTCATAACATTGCAGGACTACGGCGCTCTTTACCAATGGTCCATCAAGCAGCGCTCCGAATTCTGGCGACTTACGCTAGACTACTTCCCCATCGTGTACTCTGGCAAGGCGCCAAACCCCGTTGTTGACGAGACGGCCAGGATCGACACAGTGCCAAAATGGTTTCAAGGAGTCAAACTCAACTTCGCCGAAAACATCCTCTTCTTCGGAGACGGATACGGTCGAGCTACAGCTAATCCAGGGAAGGAAGACGATAAGATTGCTTGCACCGAGGTGAGAGAGGGCTGGCATTCGACGGAAGCCATCAGACAGGTTACCTGGAAAGAACTTCGACAACGAGTCGGCCGCTTGTCGCAGGCCATGAGAGCGCAAGGTATTCGGAAAGGCGATCGAGTCGCCCTGGTCGCAAGCAACTCGCTGGATACACTGACCGTCTTTCTCGCCGTGACTACACTGGGAGGTATCTTCTCGAGTTCCAGCACCGACATGGGAACCAAGGCCCTTCTCGAACGGCTGGTGCAAATCGAGCCGAAGCTGATATTCATGGACGACTGGGCGGTCTACAATGGCAAACGGATCGACCTGAGATCGAAAATGAAGGATCTCGCGCGAGCGATGAAAGATGTCAGAGGCTTTCAAGGCATTGTAGCCCAGGCCAGGTTCCAGGACGCCCCTGCTGATGTCTCCTCCGTGCCCAATTGTTGCACTTGGGGCGCCTTTATTTCCGCCGCGGGACGCTCATCCACGCTAGAATTCGAGCAGGTGGACTTTGGCGATCCCATGATCATCGTCTACTCTTCAGGCACCACCGGGCTGCCAAAAGCGATCGTTCACTCTGTCGGCGGCGTTGTACTGAGCGGCCACAAGGAATCCACTTTACACCGCCAGGTAGACTCTACATCAACTCAGCTACAATACACCACTACTGGGTGGATGATGTACATGAGTTCCGTACAGTTGATGTTGACGGGTGCCAGACTCATAATGTACGACGGCAGTCCGTTCATTCCGGACGTTGCCGCCTTGATCCGGCTTGTTGACGAGCAGAATATCACGCATTTAGGAATTTCACCTCGATATCTGCAAACTTTGCAGATGAAAGATATCAGTCCAAGGCGCATTGCGCAACTACGGCACCTACAGATCGTAACTAGCACAGGCATGGTCTTGTCCGATGCTCTTTTCCAATGGTTCTACGATGTCGGCTTCCCACCATCGGTCCAGTTGTGCAATATCTCTGGCGGTACAGATATCGCCGCCGCATTCGGGACTGCGAATCCTCTGCTTCCCGTTTACGTGGGTGGCTGCCAGTGTATAGCGCTAGGCATGGCGGTCAGTGTCTTTGACTCCTCGATAGAAGGCGGACGGGGTGTGAAAGGCCAACCAGTCCCTGACGGTGTTCCGGGCGAGCTCATCTGCACCGAAGCTTTCCCCACAATGCCCGTCAAACTCTGGGGTGCAGACGGCCAGAAACGATATTTCAGCAGCTACTTTGAGAAATACGACGGCTGCTGGACGCACGGCGATTTCATCATGGTCCACCCTGTAACCAAGCAGGTGATTTACTTTGGTCGCGCGGACGGCGTGCTGAATCCCAGCGGCGTGCGCTTCGGCAGCGCGGACATCTACGGTGTGATCGACACCTTTTTTTCAGAGACTGTGGCCGATAGTATCTGCGTCGGGCAACGACGGCCGCAGGATGACGACGAGAGCGTGGTGCTCTTCCTGCTAATGAAGCCCGGAAAGCGCTTCACAGCCGACCTGGTGAGAGAAGTCAAGTCGGTGATCCGCCGAGAGCTCTCGCCGCGACATGTTCCCCGCTATGTCTTCGAGACACCAGAAATCCCGGTAGGTTTGACCGAAACTGGAGATAGCCCAGATGGCTGACTTGTTCTTCAATGGCAGACTACAATCAACGCGAAGAAAGTTGAACTCCCGGTCAAGCAAATCGTGTCGGGCAAGGTCATTAAGCCGTCCGGGACTTTGGCCAATCCACACAGCCTGCAATACTACTACCAGTTTGCGAAGGATGAAAACCTGGTGGCTCAGCCGACGGCCAAGCTGTGAAATGGCAGTAGTAGACGGCCTTGTTTTGCCAGACAGAAGCAAAACTCGGAAGACCTCTTGGGTATACAACTTGCGTTTGGTGGTATATAGACCAGTAGAATAGAAGAGCCTCTGTACACTGGACGCTAGTCTCTAGGCGCGCGAATGGATGTTTTCCGACGAACGTATATATACCGTCCACTCACAATATAGACTATACAATGAAGCTGCCCTGTTGCGCTCACCCACTCTATTTCCCCAAAGCATCGTGGAGCAATAGAGTACGTCATGTGGTGCTTCCGCTCTTGATCCTGCCTGATTAGGTCTTGTCTTCTCCCATTGGTCGGCTGGCGGTCTCTAGCGAGGCTCGCGTCACGGTTATGTACTAGCCTCACTAGCCCCTCCATCAACCCGCAGACGCTAGGCCAAGACATGCGAGTTCCTTCCCAAAGCGCGACGCGTTCGTTTAGTCCTTCGACACCTCCACGTGCGCCCTGGTGTCTTTCTCACCAACGTCAAACTGTCCGACCAGCTTGTATTTTCTAGCTTTGCTGTTTGTCTTCTGCGCCATTACCGGACGTGTGAATGGTATCCTCGTTTACTTTAGGAGACTCCTTTGAACTGAACACCTCTCCGACCAATTGACCTAGCATCTCCCGTGTTACACCTTCAGACAAACCCATATTCCACAATGGAACCCGAACTCCCTCCTCTCTCGCAGTCCACCCGATCAGCAGCAGCAGATCTAGCCCGGTCTCGGGTCGCTCCACCGCTCACGCGCAAGAGGACACATCCCGACCAGGACGACGAGGCTGCCATGTCCAGCGATCCCGCTCTGTTCTCCAGCGATGAGGCAGCCCCCGGCGCCGAGAACTATGTCTTGGGAAAGAGGAAGAAACGCACCTTCAAGGGGTCGTGGTGGGATCGCCACCCGGCCGAGCCAGGAACCAGGGAAGGTCTAAGGGAACGGCGCCAGTTCAGGCGCAATTTCGACTCGGGGATCTTCATGGGCAGTGAGAGTGAGGATGCCCTCTCGAGTGATCCGATCACGATAGAGGAGGAGTTTCTGAGGGATCAACGAGAGGACAAAGACAATGGTAAACGGACTGGACCCTTCGCATCCTCGCCAGAAGAGGAGAGCCAAATGAAGCCGAGAACAAAGCTAGATCCCCGGACCATGGTTCAGATCCCCAAGGAGCATGAGCAGGTTTGCAAGATCATCAGGCAGTGTCTCGATCGCGGAAAAGAGGATGTGGACTTGTCGTATGTGGCCACGTCGAAAGAACGGAAAGAATTAGTGGTGCTGACGAAAGTTAGATCAATGTCTCTGTCGAGTCTACCCGCTGATGTCACATCGCTTCAGACACTCAGCAAACAAGACGAGCTAGCTCCAGGTATGCTGGACATTGGTACTAACCTTGAACCTCAATTACGACTGTTCCTGGGCAACAATTGCTTTACAAGAGTGCCAACTCCCATCTTCAGCCTGCACAATCTCCGTGTCTTGTCTCTCCGCAACAACAATCTCACATATATCCCGAGTGCAATAGGGGAACTGGTCAACCTCGAGTCTTTGAACATCGCTGGTAATCAGTTGTCTGAGCTGCCCTCGGAGATCCTCGACCTTGTCACTGAACACAAGTTGCAAGAGCTTAGGATACACCCAAATCCTTGGCGAATCGTCGATGGAGTGACGATTGACAAGATTATATGCTGGGATTTTTTTGGAGATATAGCATTTCGGAGGCCGCAAGCTCGGGTCTTCGAGAAGAGTAGTCTCTTCCCGCCGAACTCCCCTCAAATCCCTACACTCACCGAATTAGCTCTTCTGCATCTCGCCAGCTATGACCCACTAGGCGACATCGACTTTGTCACCTACATGCCACCAAACACACCCGAAAATGTGTTGAACCAGTTGAGACTACTTAGGCAGCAGCCTGCACGTCGGTGCACCGCCTGCAAAAAGAGAATCGTGTTGGCGCGAGAAGAATGGCTGGAATACTGGTTCATTGAGTATGCAGAGAACGGCGAATTCCCAGCTCTGTCAGATTTATTTTTGGAGGAGAGTGTGCCGGTGCCTTTTCGAAGAATACGGTGCTGGGAATGCTCCAGAAGCTCAAAGTTGAGCGATGCGAAATGGGATATGAAGCCCGAGGACCTTTCGAAGGATCTTGAAGGAGCCGACTTGATCTTGCATTTCGGTCTCCAGAGCGTTTTGTGAGCTTGTCATGGTTTCAATGCGCCGCAAGAGACGATGTTAATATACTACCTCGTTCAGTACCAGTTGCGTTTACCGATAGCGCTGCCTCTGTCAAGGGAGGATTGCTGCGGCATTGCAGCAATGCGTGTATCACCTTGACAGGTCTTTTTTGGTTCTCGTCTGCAGTGTTGCTTCGAGACGAACTTGTGTGAAGGAGGAATCATTTGTAAGCTGCGTGTTCGAGGCCGGGATGCTCTCCAACTTGGACATGGCGGAGTGCTTTGTCTGCGATCGGTGTGTTTCGCCTCATAGCCAATATTGGCCAACCGGTGGGGAGAAGATGCCAACGGCCACAAATTCGAGCGGTTCCTTCCAGTCATTAAATTCCACGACACCGTTTAGACTAGACAAGGACACGTCTGTACGGAGTTCATATTAATGGTACCTAGGAAGGACGGGTACGAGGAATGCTGCCTCGCAAGGCTGAGCATAGCCTTCGTGATCACGTGCAAGGCTCGATGACAAGGGGGGCATGAAACAGGAATGGACCAAAGCAGGAAGGGCGAGGGCGGGCGGACGTGGCATAGTGTCAGGGTATAATATATGCAGCGGCATGTAAGTGTGGAAGCGTGTAAGTAAGTAAAGTGGTGTCGCATTTGGTGAAGGAGGAGAATCGATATGACAAACAACTCGGTCCTCTCCTTCTCTAGATATGTTGTGAGAATGCACGACATAGAGAGTGTGTGGATGGGGTGCTTGTATGCCGTGGCAATTGTCTGAATAGACACTTGTAGTTTGGTTCTCTACCAGGGAGAGCTGTGGCTGGCTGGCTGGCTCAGATATCGACTGACTTGCGCCGCAGACGGAGGAGCGACTGACCGGCCGACTATCTATCCATCCATCCATCTATCCCTTCATCCCTCCATCCCTCCATCCCCGCTCTGAGTAAAGTTGCATGTCCGCAAAGGCATGGGAAAGGGAAAATCGACGCCTCCGAAACTTTTTGCTCCGTGCTTCTTTTTCTTTCTCTTTGCGCTCCCTGCGCTTGCTGTCCAAAAAGAAAAACCTTGATTCCTCCCCAGTTCTGGCATTGAGCATGTTAGAAACGACCAAAACACCCCGCCAGTCGTGGACACTGTGGTGTGGAAGTCGTTTTGTTTTGTTTGTTGATTCTTGAGCTTTCGATTCTTTCCTCACTTCTAAAGAAACACTGCAATTTTCATATTTCTGAGGTCTGGTATCGGTCAACATGTCGAGCTCTGGCTGGCCATGAGCTTTTTCTTCCCTTCCCCTCCCCTCCAAGATTCGTTCCTTATTTTTGGCCGTCACCATGTCCATACGCTTGATTCCGAAACGGGTTTTTAGCACCGTACGCGTGGTCTACCATCTTGGACTCCGCGACGATGCGCCGTTCAATCTCCGCCTTCCAGTTGTCCGTCGTACACCGTTTCCGCTCCGCCAGGTGCTTCGCCGTGTCCCCTGGGTTGCTGCTCAGACTCTCTCGCGACTTCGGATCGTCAAAGTATATGTCTTCCATCTGAGAATCGCATACGTCGGCGGGGATGCCCTCGTCCGCAAAACCGATCTTGTCGGACGTGGGCGATCGGGGCGATCGGACGAGCGCAGCCTTCACCTTTTTGATTGGAGAAAGTCTCTCCTTGGGATCCGACATCTTTGCCTCTGTTGGCCTCGAAGGGGATAAAGGAGTTCCAAAAGGCTGCGGCCGGTATTGAGGCGTTCTTAAAGTGTAGTGGAAATGAATCAGATGGTAGTGACAGAGGGTGATTCATATCGGATGGGTAACATGTCACTCAGAATGGGCCTCGCCAAAACTTGACGCCCCGGCTGATCTGTCTCTGCCACAAGCTGAAGCAAAATTCTTCCCGGTTTCGACGTATCTTATGGCGCGTAGACTGAAGGTCAACTTGAAGTACGCAAAGCCTTGAAAGAACAAGTCTCGACGAACAGTCGGAAATTTGACGGCCTTGGGAAATATGGGCGAAGGTTGTACGCTACCTGGGACTGTGGGATTGTCGAACCGAGTGGCTCGAAGTCGCTGGACCAAGGTCTACAGCTGAGTGTGAGAAGGTGGATACGTGATGGTCTTGGGGGAGGAACGGTCTCGTGGAGGTATCTAGGTGACGGTGGAATGAGGTACTGCTCTGGGACATTCGGTAAGTAGTCCACATATACTCGTAAGTTTCTGGTTCAAACACCAGCACTCTCGTCCTTTCGCAGCTTGGCTATCACCTCAGTATCGGTTCTGTCGACCCCATGTATACAGGCAATGATGCGTTGTCATGGATCTCAATGCTGTGGAACATGTCACAAGCATGTTAGGTGAACAGGCCGGAGCCTAGGTGCAGTCATCACGTCAGTGAGAAAGACCACCATCAATGTTCGAAATGGTATCGAAGCAGTTTGCATTCGGGGACCGATGCCGGTCTATGGGTATCTCGAATCGTAACATCGTACTGTCAGGGAAAATCGTGGATCCCGACACGCCGGTCAAAAGTCAACGTTCAAAGAAGCCACCATCGCCCATTTCATCATCTTGGTCACTGTCCAGATCCGCCGGATCGATGATGCCATCGTCATCGAGCCATGAGGGTCTCGTCTCCTCCAGTTGGTTTCCAGTTGCGCTGCGCATTTCGGCCTCTTCCTTTCCACCAAGCGAGGTAAGCGCGTTCTGGAGCCGGTTGCCAGTGGTCAGCTTGCCTTCGCGTAGAGCTTCCAGCTTAGCCTCTCCTTCTTCCATCAGCTTCTCGACCTCATACCACATGGGTGGTTTAGCACCAGTTGCAGATCGGACGACATTGCTCAGTTGGTCGGCGAATTGATCAATCTCATCCTGATGATCCTTCTCGAGTCTGCCCAGATCCGACCTGTTGATCTCGGGCTTATTCTTCTTTTTGTCATTTTCCCCCACAACAAACAAGCTTATGTACTTCTCTCCCAAAGGTGCATACTTGGTGTAATTAATGTCCACTTCGGTAACGTGTATCATCTTGTCGATTTCACTTTTGTAGGCGGGTTCATTGTACTGCTCGGAGTCTCTCTCCTTAAGCAATTTCTTCATTGCTCTTTCCGCCTTCTTTCGCTCCATGAAGCGGACAAAGTGATAGCGTTGTAGGTTCTTCCGACCATCCTGTGCGAGCCGAGCCTTTTTCTGGTCGAAGAGCAAAGCAGACAGTTCACGCTCCTTCTCTTGTCGCACGGTTCCAGGCAGCTCTTGTGATGACAACAACCTGCGCAGAGAGTGTATTCTTGTGGAAGGGTTCGTGGTTCGCTCATGTTTTGTTTTCGAGACTGCAGACCGGACAGGTGGCAAACTCGGCGAAGTGTGTCGTTTGGAAGCGTCTCTGGGCTTGTCTCGAGTCGAATCTCGATCGACACGGTTTGTCTCGCGGGGTTGATCTCGTCGTGGGCGGTAGGAATCATACTGAGGATGAGATGGTCTGTAGCTAGAGCGGGCCGATGGGCGTGCGCGGCGGCTGCTCGCCATGATGTGCGGTTAGTATTTCAAAAGAAGGTTGATTGGAAACGATCGCGGAGCATGCTATCGAATCAGTAAGAGAAGTAAGGCATATTAAAATGTCAACGCGAAAATGGCGTCTCGGTGGTGGAAGGTGAATTTCCTCCCAAAAGAAAAGATTCTGCCGCTTTTCACCGCCTTGGCGGGCGCCTGCCAGGGCATTCGATCTAAACCTTTTTCGGAGAATCGACTCGACTTCATCCAATGCAGAGCAACCTGCATTATCATCCTTGCGCAGCTCTAGAAAAGCAGAACCTTCTACGCAAGACGCCCTCAGTAGCACAGCTCTGGCATCGCGATAGAGATGCAATGAAAGGATAGGATAGGTCTTTCAGGCGGAAGCCGACCACGTCAACAACGAGGAGATGGAAGCGGCCATCCGCTTCTCTCAGAACTCGTTTCCCGAAAACCCACAAAGATTCTTATACGTCGACGTCGTCGGGAAATCTTTCAGACTGTGCAACATCACGAAGCAAACCAAGAAGGATTTCAAATATGAAGCCATTCATACCTCGACCAAAGTCCCGGCATTTCGCGCCTTTGACTGGCATCCCATCAATGAGGATCTCGTTGTTGTCGGTCAAGCTGGGGGAGAAGCTACACTCTTGAACATCGCAGAAGGCCAACAGGATTCCCTTTCTTTTCAAGTCAGGAGTCAGCGCCTGTGCAATGCTGTGGCCCTCAACACCCAAAACCTCCTCGCCGTCGGTCTCGACAAAGTGAGGACCGATTTTTGTCTCAACATATGGGATTTCAACCAGCGGCTGCCTGCTGCGGGATCAAAGGGCTTCTCCAAGAACTACTCAGATCCCCTCCATAAGTTGGCAAGTGGGGAGCCCATCACCAGTTTGAAGTTCTTTCAGGACGACCCTTCACTCTTGGTTGCCGGGGTCAAAGGTCAATTTGTCAGGCTGTATGATTTGCGAGAGCCATCTATTGGCAACGGGTTGCAGTTCGCTACCCGGTGTGTCCATAACCTGGCCATTGACTGGCTGGACGAGAACTACTTTGCTTCTTGTTATCCGACGAACGACCCTTCGATATGTGTGTGGGATCGGAGAATGATCAGCCGTGTCAACACGCCACAAATGGGATTCACTGGAGGTTCCCATAGTGAAAATCGCCAACCCGAACTGTCTTTGGAGTTGAAGAGCGTTGTCGAAAGTCCAGGGACAATTTGGAGCGTGAGGTTTTCTAAGGCTGAGCGAGGATGCTTGGGCGTTCTTTCCAGTACCGGACATCTGAAAATATACAATCTGGGCAAAGAATTTTCTTCAGAGACCTACCGGGTCGAAAATGACGGAGGCCATGATCTCTCATGGGAGACGAGCGCACCACAAGAGATCTTTCTCGATCGAGCGCAAGACCTCGAGAAGCCATATGCAACTACCTCTGCTCCAAGAGACGAGAAATCGAGGGTCGTGTCCTTCGACTTCATGACAGCCACGACAAAGATGAGGCAATCGAGAATGCTGACCCTTGATGGACGGGGTCAAGTCAAGCTCACTTCCCCGAAGCCTCCTCCAGGCCCTTCAACCCTCTCCTCGGCCGGGTATCTGTGCAAAGGCAGCCACTTCATCGAACAATTACCTACAGTCACTACTGAACCAGGAAATCTGATTGACCAAATCCGGCGCCGAGCTCAGCCCCGTAACATTCTTAGGCAGACTTTCAAGCAGTCGCGACAGAACAGGACAATGCCTGATGCAAAACGAATGTCGAGCCTCGATGATCAGGCATGGCACGCAGATCTGGGGTACTACGAAAAGGACGTGCCATTGCCGGACCTTGTGACGTTGACCTCGCTCCTGCGGTTGCGTTGCGAAGCAGGTTATCTTCTTAATCCCTCCAAGAATAAAGCCATTGTCTCGGATTCCCACTGGCTCCAGTCGTTCTGGGCCTGGGTGGAACGTGCCGCGAAAATATCCAAGAACGGCAACATGACACAAGACAATTTTGACCTTTCTTACGTTGGTGTCTATGGCCTTTGGATGGAAGACATTGATCCCAAGCATCGAATGCTCGGTCAGAGCCCTAACAAACTCGGCAAAACCATTGAGAATCTGGTGCGACGCTTGAACATACCCGGTATGAACAGAGTGACAACCGAATATGCTGCCAACAGACAGCTCTGCCTCTATTCCGCTGGCCTAGCGTGGTCCTCGGATGAGCTCGACTTGATCGTCAAGCGGCTAGTGACCAAAAATCAACACACCAAGGCGGCGGCATTGGCTCTGTTCGCGATGGATCGCAAACTGGCATTCAAGGCTCTCCGCAGCAAAACCGCTAATCAATCTCACAAAATGCTGGCTATGGCAATTGCAGGGGCGTTCAAGAAGACCCGAAATGAAGATACTGGAACAATGAGCCCTGATGAGTCGGATGCCCAGGATGATTGGGTCGACACTATTTCATCTCTTGCGGATGAGTTGACTGATCCTTATGCGCGAGCGATCCTGGCATATGTCAAAACTGGGGATTGGTCAAATGTTGTTACGGAAGAGTCCCTTCCTCTCAAATACCGCGTCTGCATTGCTTTGCGACACTATGACGACTCGAGACTGACAAAGTATATCTCGCAAGCAACCAAGGAAGCAGTGACTACAGGAGATATTGAAGGTGTTGTTCTGACTGGCACGGCAACGCAGGCTGCTTTTGACCTCATGGTCGGCTACGTTCAGCGCTTTGGTGACCTACAGACAGTGGTGTTGGCACTTTGCGCGACCGTTCCGCGATACTTGGACGACGAGGCAGTGCTTCGCAAATTCGATGGCTGGAAAGATTCTTATAGGCACATGATGAACAGTTGGAATCTGAAGTTTGACCGAGTCCGATTTGACATTGCCTGCCAAAATGCCGCCAGAGACGAAGCGGGAAGACCACTCATACCACCGGCAAAGCAACAAGTACGTCTTGTCTGCGGATTCTGCGCACAGAGTATCGCACATCTGGCTGGAACGGACGGTGAAAACGCGCCGGGCCACAAGGTTGTCGAAACCACTCGGCATCCACTAACCAAGGAGAAGGCCGCGGCCGCTGGGATAGTCTGCCCCAAATGCGAACGGCATTTGCCACGGTGTGGTGTTTGCGACCTTTGGCTTGGAATACCTGACGAATCGTATCTGCCGTGGTACGCGTCGCAGGCGGCATCAAAGCATGATGTTGGTAAAACCACTCTTGATCTCAGTGCCAGCGTTGCAGGGAGTGTCCAGACGACACTTGGACCCGACAACACCATGGGGCCAACCAGCAAAGGCACCAGCTCGCCCCGACCGAGACAGTCGATTCCAGTGAACTCGAAGATCTCGACAAGTGATTCCTCGACAAAGACGACCGTTCCTGTCACCCAATCAGCCGCTAGAGGGGTGGACTCGGTTCCCGACATCACCGTGGCTGCGCCGCCAGGTTCAGCTCCAGGTCAAGAGCCTGACGGCGTAATGGAGATGATTGAGACAGCACGGAAGTGGGATAGCGCAATGTCTCGCTTCACGGTGATGTGCCTGAAGTGTTCTCATGGATGCCACGCCGCACATGCACGGATGTGGTTCGAGAAGCATCGTGTGTGTCCCGTTCCAGAATGCACGTGTCTGTGTAACGTGTGAGCTTTTTGCCTCCACCACACATCCGCCCACCGTTTTTCCTGAGAGAGGTTTGGAGGAGGGAAGCGAGGCCCGCATGTCAACGTTTCCAAGACTTGATGCGTTTCCAAAAGAGCCATATGCTGCGGAGCAAGAGGGTTCTGCCTTGCAGGTCTACACCCGCGTGGAACCGCGTCGACTCTATCGTCTCATCTCGCCTAACAGCACCAGAAACCACCCCTATCCGTCTCGATGCAAGCGTCAGGCCCGCCATCTTATGTCACGTGGAGCCTCTTGGCTTCATGTACAATCTGATCTGGAACGGCACACGGAGCTCGAGCATTTCCAATATATGAAACCGTCGCCAGACGCTCGAGCGCAGCTGCTCATCTTCTGCTTCCATCACCCGCCAAGCTCTCGACAGGGTCTCTACACGCCGCCTATAACAATGGCCGCCGGAACTAGACCGTCAGCACGGAATACCATTCCCTCCAGAAATGGAACAGGATATTTCTTCACCGCCGTCTTCGTGGCTCTCTCCCTGCTTGCGGTGTACATCCTCCGCATCGCCTCCATCAGGTCAGGTGTGTCCGACAAGATGGAACACATCACCACGATCAACGAATTCACGGAACACCCGCTGCGCCTCCGCACCACGTACACCGGGCTAGCGCCTGTGGACAAAGGTCTCTCGTTCCTGGTAGCGGCTTTCATGAATGGTGCTGCAGGGTGGGACCAGGGCTTCCTCGTGTTCATGATGTATTTCTTGTTCTCGTTTTTCCCGATCATCGCTATCTGGGCGATCGAGAGTGGCAGGGACAGGAACGGACTTACGTTGACGAGATTGTCAGTCTTTCTCACCCTTCGTGACGCGTTTTTCGTGGTTGCTGTTGAATGTTAACGGAATGACAGTACCAGCATATACGCGCTATTCTACCAAACGGTCGGGGGCGCCATCATAGTCCCCATCTACTATCTGGCATACCTTTACGACACATCGTCGAATCAATACTGGACGAAGCCGCGACGCGTCCCGTTGCCGTACGCAAAAGCCTTGCTTCCTGCAGTGGTGATCGGGTATTTGATCCCCACGATCCTGATGTTCCTGCCTTACTCGGCGCCCGACCTGTGGACGACCCAGGCCATGGTGGCTTTCTGGCAGCCTAGTCCGTGGTACGTCGACGGGCTCCTGTGGCTTCTACCGAAATTCTATCCAGGCGGCGCTTCCACAACCCACGCTCGGGCAAAGCAGGAGAAAGCCTCCGGGCACGACGACATCGGATATCTCAATACGGTGTACATGGTCTCCTTCGCCGTGGCCGCCCTGTCCCACGTCGCCGTCATGTCGACGTGTCTCCTCTCCTCCAACCCGCAGCATTCGTTCCAGCACATGTTCCTGCCCCCCTCGGCGGACGGCGTCCACGCCTCGCTGGTCCAGGGCATCCACGGCATCTTCCAGGCGGACTACTGGATCATCTTCGCGGCGTCCGTGGCGTGGGCGTATCTGGCAATCTGGGATCTGAAGAGGGCAGGGTTGAAGAGGGACGTGGGTCTCGGCGCGGCGCTGGCGGCCATGGTGCTGGGATGTGTGGTCCTGGGGCCCGCCGCGACCGTCACCCTGGTTTGGTGGTGGAGGGAAGGGGTTTTGGTCGCGGCGGAGCGCACATAAAAGAGCGAGGCGTGCCTCTCAGCTCCGCCCAGGCGCGGCGTAGGCTGAGAGTCTGAGGTGATGTCTTCGCTTGCACAGTGATGAGATGGTTCATTTACTATATATATAGCATTAAGGCTGCCTCTCCATTTCCCAACGAAACGTTGACCCTTCGTCTTGGCTGCAGTTGTGCCCTGACTCCCAACCTACAACTGGCTCTTACGTGGTCGGAGGTCACCATGCTGTCATCATAAACGGGCTGTTTGCCCAAGGTCAAGAGCACACAGTCAGATTGTCAGTTATCTGTCTCGTCTTGGCTTTGCGGGCAGATATGTATCGGTTCTCGCTATGCAGTCGGCTGGGCATGTTGGCCATGGCAGCCAAGAGGCGTGGAACCCTGCTCGACCACCCCAGGATGCGGACAAGAAATGGCGCTGACACTGTCTCCCTCACCAGTTGCTGACCTCCCCTGTCTCGTGCTTCATGCCATTCTCGCCACCCACAGGTGTGCAGAAGGCGTTCATACCCGTGTTTGTCGTCATGATCGATACCATCAGCCTGACTACCTTGAGAGTCCGAAACTTTGCCGATGGAACAAGACTTGGTATAGCTGCGATCATTCAGCCTTGTTCATTACATTTTATGCATCGCGCCTCGTATGAGAGGATGTAGATGCATTTCTGCTGATAACGTGATCCGTCATGTGATGGTATTCCAAGGTTTGGCTTGAGCTATTCGGACTTGATATCCAGAAGTAAATTTGGAGGTAGGTCAAGACTGAAGATCGAGGCTCGTACGACCTTGAGCGGTAATCCTGGTCCCCCGGTTCGGTGATTCAGCCCGGAAAGGGACAGGACTTGGGATTTCGGCAGTCTGAAGGTCATCGTGCCACGGCTGCGTCCACCGTATCACCTTCACAACAGTGTTACCATCTCAGGGGAGAAGGAGCACTGTGAGGAGTGAACCAACCGTCCATTGTGGTGCGTCATTTCATTTCTTCATGGGGATCGTCGCCGTCTGTCGAAGGTCGACGGCGACGGAAGAAATCTTGAATCTTCTTAACGACTCCGGACGTTCCGCTGTGAGGCGTCGGGCCCTGCTCCTGATCGTATGGATCAATAAACTTGCGGTTGTTTTTGATCAGCACTCCCGGAGCTTGGCGCCCTTGTTGCACTGACGGGCGACCACTTGTAGCCTGTGGCCTGGCGACGCGCGGAGCCTGATATTCAGACAGGGGTGGGCGGGAGATACGGAATACGGAAGATACAGAGTCTTTGGATTTCTTCTCCCTTGGTAATTCCTGAGACGGGATTGCTGTATCCCGCGAGGTAGACGACGTTGAGCCCGCAGTAGCTGACGGGGGAGCCATTATTGCTGCCTTTGTTGAATCCGATGAACTGAGTGATTGAATGGACCGTTCCTCGTCTGCCATGGTTGAGGGGCCAGCAGTGGGCGCCGACGGAGCAGGGTGCTGTGAGGAGGCTGTCGGCGACAGAGAGGACGGATGAGGCTGGGCTAAATCTGTGAGGTCCTCTTTATCATCTGCTCCGATAGCCTGGCGGCGTAGGTCGGTGGTGACGGGCACAAGAGGTTCCTCGATGATTTTGCCCGATTGTTGTCGCTGCTCAGGTGTCTCCTTCCTCGGTCGTCGAGCCGTCAATGCTTCATGGCAATCCATGCATAGAATGCCCTGTGGTGTGCTAGCGTGTCTGAGGTTTTCAATCTTGCGCTTGCAATTATAACACTTGAAGCAGGCAGAGCAGAATGCCTGGTCTCCTGTGAGAAAAGCAATGTCGTCGATCTTCTTCCCACACGCTGTGCAGGTATAGGTGCACTGATCGCAGATAAGATTCCCATCGGGCTTTGTCATGAGGCCACCATCAAGTTCGAGGGCCGTTTCACATTCAATACATTTGAAGCAGTGACGGTGCCATCTTTGGCTCACTGCAAATTCGTTAGCGCAAGACTTGCGGCTTTGTACAAAGGCATATACTTTGAGTGGCTTCTATTGCTGTTCCTGTGAGTTCCTGGTTGTCCATATGTTAGCTGCTAGAGTGAGCCATGGTTTACACATTAGTACTTACCTCTCCACAGTAGTGGCAGTACATCGGACCCTCTTCTATTTCGGGAGCGGGAAGAGGAGTTTCATTGAACTCTTGCTGTGGAACGCCCACGCCCTGGCTATCCTGTTGTTTAGCCTCCGATGTAGATTCGAAGTTGGAAAGCCGGTCCTGGGCGCTGGCGTGTCCTCTAGCCCGGATCTCTTCGGTCCACCTCTCTCTCAAATCTGCCAGTTCAGCAGCCAAATCATCAAGGCTCTGGGATCTACGACGGCGTCCGGTATAGATACCTTCAGTCGATTCCTTGGCCGGGCTGGCCATATCATGGGATTTTGAGCTAGCTTCATATGCCACCAGAGACTGCTCATCCTCTTCCATTCCCGCCAACTTGGGAGCAGAGAGAAAATTTCTATTCGATGATTGATCTTCCAAGTCGGACTCATTCAGATGCGATAGGAACTGCTCGACCTTTGCATTTGTTCCTTGGCCTGACGTGATCGTCTCAAGCTGCCGCAACGCATTTTGAGACAAGCCAAGAGTCTCTCTGCTCCTCTCGTTTCTGGGTGACTTCATCTCATTCCCAGATTGGGATGAAGAGCTCGAGCTTTCACCGCTTGCGACTTGGGAAGAATCTGAGTGATGTCCGTTTGCTCTCCCGGACCAGCTGGTCCCCGATTCCGTGTGGCCGTCTGCACCTGTCGAGTGTGGTAGAGAAAAGAGAGCGATTCGTATTAGATGGGCTGCTATATGCTGTTGTAGAGCAGTCATATCCGGGATATCGGCAAAGCAGATTGGACAAGGTCGATCGGCTACCTCAGGCGCAGACTCCCCCGCTCGCAAAAGTTCTGTCGACTCCAGTTCTGTGCGGTTTGACACATGGACGCATCTTATGTGATGCTTATAGGCGGCAACTGTGGGAAAGGTGGCTTCAGGGTGTTCAAGGCAGCGCCCGATTCGCCGGTGGCACGAATCTTCGTGGGCGACCCATTCTTGCCGCGTGTCAAAGAGACATGTCCCTTCTGAGCAGTCTCGATACGTACAGACATACGGACGCAGATCTCGCAATAAGTGGGACCTTTTGAGAACATGTTAACTGATACATTCCAATTTGCGCAGGGATCAACTTGCCTCCAGGCTTTCCTTTCTAGATATGCTCCAGAGCACAGTGTCAGACAATATGGGCATTCGAAATAGCGCCGGCCTTTGAGATTCGAAGGTGGTTCTGGTATCTCTGAAACCTCTCTCCTAGTGGTAGAGATGCTGCGAATCGATCCTGCATAATCCGAGATTGTGACTGCAGATTTGGCATCTTCGAGGTCGACTTGGGCTGGGTTCAGAGTTGTGGCAGTAGTTGGCAGAGAAAGAACTACGGAATCAGCTGCATGAACTGAGCGTGCGATCGTGGAAACGCTTTGTGAAGTTTGTTGTCGTCGTGGCTGTTGGACTCGTACCACTTCTCGTGCGGTCGCTTCGGACGCCCCGTCGAGCTTCTTTCGGTGTCGGCTCCAGTATGCGAACTGTTTCCGTCGGATAGTATTCGCCTGTGCAAGACGCTGGGCAAGGAAGTCCAGCGGTTCTCCCAGAGCCGAGTCCAAAGCCTGATGTGAAACGCCCTGCTCATCAGAACACCTCAGATGGTCGGCAGATCGATAATCGCGGAACATCTCGCGCAAGTGCTCCCGGTCAAGTAAGGCATACTCTTCCGTCAGATCCACGCCGGTGTCGCGATCTATGATCGTAAAGTCGAGAACCTTCTTAGTCAGAGTTCTGGTCGCAGGGTTCCTGATACGCGTGGCGATTTTGTATAGACAGTTGATTGTCTCCGCTATGCTCTCCAGAATCAAGCTGAAGTCTTGCTCCTCGATCCCGCCGCTTTCCGAACCATAATCGGCCTCCAGCATGATCTGTTGAGCAGTGGCGACAGCCTGATCCGAGTAGTTGCAGCTTCGTCTCGTCAGAACGGACGCGTCGACATCGTCCATTGCGCTCAGGTCGCCATAGAGTAAGAATTCCCTACCTAGTGGTCAAGTCAGCAACACGCCACTCGAGGCTGTGAAGGAAGTCTCACATTCGAGCAGTGACCCGCACAGGTCGTTTAAGAAGGCCTCAATAGCGTTACGCACGAGGTCAGCTTGTCGAAGGCGGTAATCTAACGAACTGTGACCAAGGTGCGTAGCTCCAAGGTTGGAGGCCCATAGCAATAGTCTCTCATGTTGTTGTTCGATGCTGCTATCTGCTGAGGTACCGTGGGCGTCGCCATTCTCAGGCGCTATGATGGCAAGATCTGCAAATAATTGCAGAGCATTCGTAGAGAGTGTCGCCAAAGACGCTGTAGTTGTCTCGGTTTGTCTAGGAATCGAGTCCAAAGTGGACGACATCCTGTAGACGATGGCGCGAGGCCTTTGTCCGCTCAATACCGCATTTGTGTCTTTCCAAGTTGAATTCATCAGGCTGAGAGGAGACAAGGCAGGATACTTGTCTGTCGCTCGCTTCGGCTACACCGGTGGGCGCCAATTGGTGATAGAGGATGTAGCTCGTTCGCTAGAAATAGGGCGCCACCAGCAAAGTGAGGCTGGCGCCTGGTCTTCCTTCATCGTCTGTGGGTTTCAGGCTGCAGAATCTGGAGTTGTTTGAGCGTCCGCTTCGCAGCTGGATAATAATGTCGGGTCTCGAGATAGCTGGCACTGTCCTTGCTGTGATACCACTGCTTCTCCCTGCGCTTGATCTGTACAAAAGCGGCCTCAGTCGTGCTTCGGTCTTCTTCCGGCGCAGGAAACACGTGGAGAAGCTCATCCATGCTTTGCATCTACAGAAAACCCTGTTAACGGAAAACGTGCGAACATTGGTGATCAGGGCTGGAATTGACGTCGACGACATACCTGAAGACCCGCAACAGTTGTTCGAGCTCCTCCGCGATGACGACGACCTCAAGGAAAAGGTCGAGGCCTATCTGGGCACGGAGGCGAACAAGCTGTACATGTGCGCGGTCGTAGCTTGTGAAGAGGTCGTGCGCAATGTCGCTGCTCATATCGAAGGCTTCCTGCCTGCAGGTCAACTGGTAAGTCTCTTCACGACCCTGAGTAATATTAATGGTCAGCTAAGGTGCGCCGCAGACGCAGCTCGGGAGTTTGAAGGCCTTCATCCAAGCCAATGGGCAATCTCTCGGTAACGGCCTGGACCTGAAAGCGCGGTTCAACCTGACTCTGGGTCGCTCGGATGTCGACAAGAGCATTCACGAGCTCGACAAGTCCGTTCTTGTTCTCGAGCGCCTGTCAGCTGCCGTGGCCGCAAATCGAGATGCTGTCGAAAGCGCCATCTCGCGCACAGCTACAAAATTGGTAGCAGTTGTCGCCAAATCCAGGGAGAATGCTACGACGCTGTACTCAGCCATTGCCAATGGATGGACCTGTAAATTCCACAAATCCCATGAAGTCAAGCTGAGGCTTGACCGAAGCCCGCTGGCTCTCACCCATGCCGCTTCCAAAGCCAATCACTCGGCCACAAAGGATCTGGTGTTCGAGGTTGTGTTCCGGTGCGACCAGCCCCAGAACGATACTCTGTGGCACGAGAGTAAAGTCGAAATGATCGAAGAACTTCACGTCAATGGAGCAGGAGCCAACATGACACAGCCGGCAACTAAGGACAACTCACGTCCAAAGGTTACAATCTCGGTTCCATCTACGACCAAGGTCCTCCCTGCTACGTCGCAAAAGGTGGTATGCCTATGTTCCTCCTCGCATGGCGCAGTCACCGCCAACAAGGTCCTGCATCTGTACGTTGCTTCTCAGACGAACATGCATTGCGACCATCGCGAATGCTCATCGACCATGTCCGCTGGGAAGTTCGACGTGCGGTCCTTGCGAGAGCTTCTCTCGATCCAAGGAGGCCACTATAGGAGGGTTGCGTTGAGGGATCGAATGCTTTTGGCACTGACGCTTGCCATTTCTCTACTGCAGCTGCACGAGACACCCTGGCTGTACGAGAGCTGGTCGAAAGAAACAATTCAGTTCATGAAGGCACCAGGTGCAAAGGGTAAGAGCGTGTCAACATTAGACATCGATTTCACCAAACCACTAATCTCCCGCGAATTCTTTTCCCCTTTGCAAGGCTCATCGAAACATCTGCAACCTAAAGAGGCACTCCTCGAGCTGGGAATCATGCTTCTTGAGCTCTGGCACGAGAAGACAATCGAGGACCAATTTCCTGGGACCCTCGTACCCGCCGAGTATTGGGGCAAACTTCGATTGGCGTCCATTTGGCTTGAAGACACGACAAACCCCTTGCTTCCCCAATATCGGCTTGCAGTGGCACAGTGCGTCAAGTGCTTCTTCGGTGGTGGATTCTGCAGTCCTAGCTGGGGTGACTTTGAATTTCGAAAGGCGTTGGTTAGAGACATGGTCGAGCCGTTGCATGAAAATTGCAAGCCATGGTTATAATAGTGGCTGATGTGCATACATCCCTCTCGGTGAACATACACCATACATTTTACATCGTACTTGAATACTTAAGAAGTGCTAGAAGGTCCCCGTTGAATGCAGCTGTCAGGCTGAAGTTGACCGCAGACGATAGTGTGGTTTTCAAAGCTGCACGTGAGCTAACTTTGTGTGACAGCAAAGCAGGCAGCCAGATTTCGCCTCCTCTTTGCACTGAACTGGCCACTCTGGCTCTTTGCGCTGCACTCTTTTCATCTACGGCACTAGTACCAGCCTTCTTCGTTGGAAATGAACTCGCTGTTCCTCAGGTTCCAGCGTTTTACATCTGTTCAAGGTTTGTCTTGGGCAACAACTTGGAGTTGAAACACTGCCACACAATGACAGCCTTACCAAGGGTCAAGCTGCTTATCCTCTTAACTCTTCTCCTAGCAGGTACAGCTCTGTCCGCCCGCAAGACCGACCCCAAGAAGGTCCCCAAAAATGCAGTCTTGCTTTCGAAGGTGTCTGCCATTACCGTCCGCGCCGGCAAACAAACCACCTCCCGCCGAGTCTCTCCAGTGCCGCAATTACAATGCGTGGGACCCTCAAGAATATGCAAGCTATACACGGTGGATGTCATGAGGTGCACCAACGAGGGTTCTGACTATGATGAAAAAAACATGCAGTGGAGCTGCAAAGCTTCGCTCCCCGAAGAATTCAAGCTCGGAAGCACCGAAGTGACGTGCGAAGGCTACGAGAGCAGCGAAGACCCATATGTGCTCTCGGGGAGTTGTGGCGTCGAGTACGCGCTTCTTTTGACAGAAAAGGGCGAAGAGAAATATGGTTCTAGCAGCTTCTTTGACTTTCGTGGCTCCCAAGTGAATGAGAATGCGGGAGAGAAATACGCAGGCTACCTGTTCATGGCATTGTTTGGCCTGGTTGTGTTCGTTATCCTGCGCTCTCTCTACAATGCCTGGCGCAGTGAAACACCGCGAAGAAGACCGCGGGGAGGCGGTGGGTTTGGAGGAGGAGGTGGCGGGGACGACAATAATAATGACCCTCCACCTCCGTACGATCCGCGGCCACCTCCACGACCGAAAAAGGCCACTTGGTCATCGGGCTCAGGTTCAACATCAGGAAATACGGGCGCTGGAAATCAGGACCAAGGCTGGCGTCCCGGGTTCTGGACCGGTGCGGCTGCTGGAGCTGCTGCAGGATACGTCGCTGGGAGGGGTGTGGGCATGGCGCCGCCTGAGCCGCCGCCACCTCGTCGACCGCCCATTGGATTTATGGGAGGTGGTGGAAATTGGGGTTTTGGTGCGCCGACCAGGCGAGGGCCGCCTTCACCACCGACGAGGCCAAGTTCTGAAAGCACTGGATTTGGAGGGACGAGGCTGCGGTAAGGTGTATGGGGTCGAGGGAGACTTGGCTTTGCTTAGAGACTGAACACAAAACAGCTTGGATCGGTATCGAACGAGTAGTCCTCATCTATGCTGGACTGACTAGGATCGCACTGGACTCTGATGGTGGGTGGTATTGCCCGCGCGCCAAACGCGTGAGCACGTGATGGATTTATTTGGGGTATCGTATTCCACCGCCTCAGCTGTCAGCCTGTGCTGTAAACCAGCCGACGTAAACCATCTTGAAATCTTGCATACACTCTAGGTGACCCTCACTCTGGTCTGGAGGAGGATGCATGAAGGTCTCTAGTCATTGATGTGTCTTGTCGGCAGAGACAAAGGCTGGGAGCAGCCATCCGGACAACGACGGCATCTCGCAGCCTTGTGCCTAATCCACCCACCTCACTTAACTCTGGATATTGCACCACCAGTCGTGGCTCTGGTGCCAACGGCGTTCCCTGACATTCATCAATTGATGTTGGTATACAGTTGACGATAGGTATTGATGCGGTCTTGCGAGCGTTTCCTAGTTGAGTCTTGACAAATTGAACCCCAGCAGGGCTCTTTAGATCACTGCGGCCCGACATCGAACTCGCAGCCGCCATTCTCCATCCGCATCAACCGTTGAGATCGCTAGGCTATCAATTCTCACACCTGAGTATCGCGTAAAGTCACGCGCAAGGATCGCTCTAATCCCTTTGTTTTTTGGATACTAGCGCCAAAGGGGATCGCGTGAAAATCGCCAGCCAGGATATATGTTGGTACCGGCAGACCGGTCTATCAACATCTCTTTTCAACCACATCTCTTGCTTGTACAACAACGGGAAGCCACATCACCTTTGTTGGGACACGGTCGCTTACGGCACTGGTGTCCTGTACAGACGCCTTTATCAACGGTCCAACGGCCAGCCTTATAAGGAACCGCTGAGCCGTCCTCCAGCCGACACTGACTCTCTTGGAAGTCATACTTAGAGACTGAAACTCGTCACCCTCACCTTCGTGTCACCTGTCCTTGACCTCTACCTCACCTCAGTCTCTACATTTACTGGTGGTAGACTTATCCCTTCACCTCTCGAGGGAAGTTTGTTGGTCGTTTACCAAACTACCCCGAAGAAGGAGCCGGATCTCTGCCGACGCACCCAGGTCCTTCGCCTCAACGAGTTGGGCTCATTGCATGCATCTTGGACACCGCGCACCACATACGACACCGACTGTGTGAAGTCGAGAGGAATCCGGCTCGCGACCACCGACGACATCACATCCGCTCTTCCGCAGAGCAGGCCCGAGCCATGCCTCCTCAAATCATCGATCTTGTCTCTGACGACGATGAGGATCTTGGTGCGCCGTCCAGTTCAACCGCAAGGAGGGAGATTACGGATCTGGGATCAAGTCACGGTACCACCCCCGGCGGCGGCGGCGGCAGCAGCAGCAGCAGCAGACAAAATGTCACAAACACCAGCCGAGGAAGCCAGCGCGAGACGATTGATCCAGCCACCCTGACCTGGAACACGTATGGGAACGCGCACAACCGTCACCGAGACAAATCGAGAAGCTCCACCATCAGCAGCCACACCGAACGCGGCAGCCCCAGCGAGGAGCCAGCACGTCCGACTACTGCGCGAAGAGAAAACGGCAAAGGCAAGCAGCGCGAGGTTGAAATCCCTGAAATCGACCTGTCTCGGGTCGATTCCGACATGGATGATTATGACGGCAACAGCGGTGGTGGTGGTGAAAAGGGCCTCTCCGGTCATGGTGACGGCGGAGTGGTTCTATGCTGTGATAATGGCGAGCTCAGCGAGGAGGAGGCGCTGCGGCGAGCCATTGCACTGTCGCTCCAAGATCAGACGCCTCGTCGTAAGTCTAATGAAGACGGTGGCGCAGGTGCGAACACTTCTTCGACCCCTTCGGCAGGCAAAGCAAAAGCGAAGGTGAAATCACCAGCCGGACCTCTGGTAGACGTTGGTGGCTCCGCGAGGAGAAGACGGGCAGACGAGCCAATGCCGGAAGCACCGGACAATCGAGTCATTTCCCTCTCACCGTCCCCCACTCGCCGTCTCCCTCAATACTCGCACACCACGACAAGGGGGCCTCTACTGTCACCGGGATCGACCCCGACACCACCATCACCGCCTCCGGCTTCCACAGAGGACCAAGCTCATCTCAGCCCCACGACCACAGACGCACAGGATGTATCGAGCGCCGGCCCCAGCGCCGGCCCCGGCACGTTCAGCCTGGCGAATCTCGACCGGCGACGGATGGAAGCGGAGCGCCTGGCGCGCCGGAAGCGGAAGCTGGAGGAAGAAGAGTCGCAGGACGGTGCTGCGCAGCGGGGAGGCGAGGGCCGCAGTTCCAAAGCCGTCAAGCTCAGCCAGCCCGCGACAGCGACTCGAACGGGCGCGGGGATCGGAGAAGCGCCGTCGACTCAACAGAACCCGACACACGACCTACATGGCCACAGCGACGGATCAGGACACCGGCTACAATTGCCCGAGAGGAACAATAGGGCGACAGCGCAAGCAGCAGATGGAAGCTCCAAGACTGGACAGCGCGCGGGAGGGGCTGCTGGATCCGCGTCGTCCGGTGTCAAAGCTGGGATTTCTGCCACCGGCAATCGCAAGGACAAGAGTAGCGATGTTGTATCACCTCCTACGAACTCTACAGCGTCTAATCCCACGCCTGTCAATCCACCTTGTATCCAGATCGACGATGACGATGCGGGTGATGGCCACGACAACAACACTCGCACCACCCGCAAAGACACGACGGCCGCCGCCGCCAGCAGCAGTTTCAATGGTAACAACAGCGCCGCAAACCTCTATCACGACGGCATCACCCTCAAGACATACGCCGCCGGCCACCCGTCCGCGGGGACCATCACGTTTGAGCGCGTTGTATCCCCCTCGTCGCAGCTGGAGTCGTGCCTCCTGTCCTCCTTCATCTGGAACCTGGACTGGCTGCTGCCGCACTTTGAGACGCGGCGCACCAAGTTCCAGCTGGTCATGCAGGCCAAGGACGCGGCCGAGAGGCAGGCCGTCGAGAGAGATTTTCAGGGGGTGCCGAACGTGAGGCTGACTTTCCCGCCCATGGGAGGCAACGTTAGCTGCATGCACAGCAAGCTCATGCTGTTGTTTTACAAGGACGAGGAACAGGGGAGGGAGCAAACGAAGAATACAACAGCAGCAGTAGCATCGGCGATGGGCAAAAAGGGGCCAGTTGACAGTGGTGGGCAGGAGTGCGGCAGCCAGAGAAGAAGATGCCGCATCGTGGTTCCTACGGCTAATCTCGTCAACTTTGACTGGGGCGTTGGCGGCTTCATGGAGAACACAGTGTGGCTGATTGACTTGCCGGCCAAATCAGCCTCTGACGCGGCGAACTCGTCATCGTGGCATGGTGCGACAACATCCGCAGCACTACCACCTGCGGCAGACTGCCAGACATTGTTCGAAAAGTCGCTCAAGGAGTTCCTCAGAGCCCAAACCGTGCCCGACGACGTGGTCCGCAAGCTGGACCTGTTCGACTTCCGCAAGACCGAACGCTACGGCTTTGTCCACTCCATCGGCGGCATGCACGGCGGGCAAGCATGGCAGGCCACTGGTCTCTGCGGGCTCGGTGCCACCATCACCGCCCTTGGCTTGGCCAGTCGAGGACCCATTCACATGGACTACGTGTCCTCGTCAATAGGCAGCCTGAACGACGAATTCTTGAGGTCCATCCACCTCGCTGCCTCCGGCGACAATGGCCTAACGGAGTACAACAGACGGGTGGACAAAAGGGGTCCCGTCAAACAGGGCAGCTGGAAGGAAAATTTTCGCCTCTACTTTCCAAGCGACAACACGGTCCGGACATCGAAAGGAGGCCCTCGCAATGCGGGAACAATCTGCTTCTCCCTCGCATGGTGGAACAATCCAAAGTTTCCCCGGTCTAATATGTACGATTGTGTTAGTGTTCGCGAGGGTTTACTCATGCACAACAAGGTATGTGCGAGTCGTTGCAAAACTTTCAAAGACAGGCATCCAGTCTGGTTGACTGATCCCGCTTCTGTCGGAGGCTAACGTCCCAATTCCGATCATAGCTGCTGTTCGTCAGATATGCTTCACCGGTCGAAAAGTCTCAATCAGGAAATATTGGATGGGTGTATGTGGGTAGTGCGAATCTCTCTGAAAGTGCTTGGTAAGTTCAGTCGGTGGCGGGTGTTGTCTCCGTTCTTTCCGATCTCCTGGTGACCTGGGGGTGAAGCACAGAGGCAGGTTGTGGAGATCGGCGATCCATGACTTCAAGCTGACATGCACATTTGACAGGGGTCGACTGGTTCAGGACAGGACCACCAAGAAGCCTAGACTTAACTGCAGAAACTGGGAATGCGGAGTCATTATCCCAATCCCTGCAACGAGAGGAAGTTCAGGCATCTTCACCGTCATGGATAGAGGCAGTGCGGGGCTTGCGGCATTCAATCGCATTGTCCCAGTGCCAATGAGACTTCCCAGCGAGAATCTTGAGAGCAAGAAGCCGTGGACATTCTCGGAGTGACGTGTGTTCCCTAATGGAGTGTGCCGCCAAAAAGGGGTTCTCAATAGTCAAGACCTGGAGCTTATTTCGGGCGACCACGATTGTTGATCTGGATTTTGGATCGGATAGTGAGCCTTGACGCTGGGTTGAGTGACTGTTGAATCATCAGTTTCAGAGGAGGAACTTTGTGAGATGCTGGATGTCGGATATGCGCTCTACAACCCATGCCACGAATTTCATATGCTGTTTTGCCCAGGTTTCCAACGTGGTCTGGAAGTCCGTATTCGGCGGTTCCGAAATTCGAGCTGAGGATCCGCACACTGGTGCTGGACGGGAGGAGGAGGAGGAGTAGTAGTAGTAGGAGGAGGATAGGGCAAGCCGGCCGGTCAGATGAGAACGCGACACGGGCTCGCAGGGTTCTTGCAACAGAGCAGATGGGAGGGGACGGAGGAGGTTGGTAGGAGGCATGGACTTGGCATATGCTAGTCGGAAGTCGAGTGACCATTTTGTGGACCGTACCTCGCTCCCTGCAGTAAAGATTGTCCTAATTCCAAATCTAGCCCCGTCTCTTTTCGTGGACGCAAGTGCTGCTCTTTGTCGTCGGTGCTCCCGCCCACATGATGTCTGTTTTGTGAGGACGGACGCCTTACCCCGGCCTCCAATAGACATAGCGAGCAGATACAGAGATATAGTTAGGGGCCGAGATTCGTCGGTAACTTTGTCGATGCTCTCTGATGAGTTTGCATGTGCCCTTTTGTCCATCGCTTCTCAAGGTTTCGGCACCACTTGACCTTGCCAACTTCAGTAGTGGCCTGGTCTTCCCTCAATGGGCTGCTGTCCGAGGAGTAGTAGGTAAGCTGGAGCCGGTGAAGAGGGTCGTCCGGCTGCGGCGGGCCGGTAGTCCTTGGGACGACAGAGTTTTCTTTGTCACTGGGTCCTGTGTCCAGAGTCTCGTCAGCTCGTCCCAGCCCAAAAAGCGCACTGGGCCTATTTTTCCACAGGCGCGATTCACACCACAATCCATCACAATAGCGTCTCATGGATTGGGATTGGGGGAAGTCGCTACGACGAGTTGTCGAACGGTGACAGGTTGAAAGGGAGGGTCGATGGAGGGGATCGACTCAGTTGGCGTCGAGGTTGCTATTTCTTACAGGGGAGGGACTGGTGTCTGGGGGATGATAGTCACTGGTCAGTTTGAGTGTACCCGCAGATGTCCGGAACTCACATGCATGGCCTTTGCTGCGGGGTGGCGCGCGAAGACGCAAGGATCCAAGGTTGCAAAGATGGCGCTTCCCCTCTTGACTCGCTGGAAAGGCGCTTCCATTTGCCCATCCTAGGCGACCGGGCGATGGGTCTAAGAGCAGCTAGGACGATGCTGGTTTCCACACATCAGGGCGTGGTTCGCTGCATTGGGCCGGTGGTTAGCCTCTGATCGAAGCGCTGGTCGCACAGAAATGCTCCCCAACTTGAGGAGGAATGGATGAGCGGTCAGATGGAGGCAAAGAATGGGCGAGCAAATCAAGGTTGCTCAGGGTGGACGAACCGCCATCCGAAGGGCTAGCACATGAATAATGGTTCATCGGGCAAAAAACAGAGGCCTAGCTTGACCCTGGCAGACATATTGGGAGCGAGAGCGGGAGCGCTGAGTCCCCCAATACTGCAGAAGAGTGGGTGGTTCTAGATCGCAGAGCGCGAATCATCTGATAACGAATGACGAGAATAACAACGCAGCTCGTGATGCTTCTATTTGGTGTCGTTTTTCTGGTTTCTTGGTCATTGCTTGGTGGAAGTTGCGCCTTTCCAATATCGACCAAGGCCACCGACCCCTCCCCGGTCTGTCCGTCGTCAACACCTGCCAGTATTTCACCCCGAACAGAACGATATCGCCCGGCGTGTTCCATTTTCACCAATTTCCTCTCGCTCGGATTGGCAAGGCAGAGACAAAGAGGAGGCACACCCTGGATACGGGTGGCTTGCGGCAGTTACATTCAATAATGGGTCAGTGACACGACCCTGGTCGCCTTTGCGAGCCCGTGTTGCTTTTTCTTATGGGCGACCTTGCTCTCTTCCATTCGCCCTCCATTCACGAGAAATGGACACAGCTGGCGTGGGGTCACCCCTCCAGCTGAGGCAAGAGGCGATGTCGGTGTCACATCTCATGCTTCCCCGCCGACTTTTGGTTTTCGCTTCTGGCAGACTCGCAATTGTCATTTGGTACCATATCCTTGGGACCCAACGGATATCCATCATGCCCTTCTGTTTGTCACCCACCTCGCCACAGAGAACCATCGATCGTGCAACCTCGTGTTCGCTTCCCAGACACCCCCAGGGAACAAAATCGGATCCCACCAGGAAGGCTTGCGCAATGGTCTAGGATGAACAGTTACTACCTGCATGGGGAGCGGAGCGTGAAGCGTCGGCATTATTTGCACAGCGCGAAGACCAGTCAAAACTGCTGCAGGAGGTCGAGATATCAAGGCGGAATTGCCTAGTCGGGATAAGATCTGCTCACACCGTTACAAAAGCGGGCGGCTCGTCAGAAATGCAGGTGTTCCTGGCAAGCCACTGAGCTTCAGTGACCAGGAGATCGAGTGTCAATCGGTTTCCCAGCTAGTTGGTCCTGCATTTCAAAGATTGGACAGCATTGACCTTTCGACGGACCTGGGGAAAAGAGCTAGTAGTTTCGGTCAGCCACCAAAATCGCTAGTTGGTTCGTCTCTCGGGCTGCCTGAGCCCAGATCATGGCTGGTGTTTTGATTCCGAAAGCAGCGATGCCCTCTTTCCACCGGCGTAGCACCCTTAGTCTGACTCTGGCTTTTTTTCGGTTTGTAATTTCTGCCCTATAAGACGGCCCCCCATCTGTATTATATCGGTGTTTGAGGGGGCGGACGTGAGGTGGGTAGGGCAGGTATAGCCTTGGAAAGGTGAGGGTTTCAGCGGTGGGCCAGCTACGGAAGCGAGTTGCAGACGGTCGTCTGGATTGAGCCAGGCCGAGAGATTGTGGTTGGCTCATGCCAGCAAGGAATATTGGTACCGGGGTTCTGGCCCAGGCTGACGGCTCAGATACATGGGTTGAGAGAGGTGGGGGGTCGAAGCGCGATGCAAGCCCATGTCGAGCAAGCAGCAGACGAGCAGCGGTGGCGACTTCGAGCCACCGAGACACTCCGGCGGGCGGCTTGTTCTTTGAAACCTCTTTTGGGTCCTTCGTGTGCCGCAGTCTGCCAGACGCTCGACTGGCTATGCCCAGAATGACAGTAGTGGAAGAGTCAGAAGGTTCCACGGGATCCGGTCTCCTCGGAGCTTCAGAGCACCGTCCCGGGTAACTCGTAAGGCAATCAGTTGTTGCTCCAGTGCCTGGACAGCACCCCCGTGTGTAACCTGGGATCTTCCAGAATCTTTTACGTGGCCTTTTCTTCCAGGCGTCAGGCCTGTCGGAAACATTCTCCTACGGCATGCATGGCCTGGGATGCTGCTGGGCTGCTGCTGGGCCGCTGGGCGGTCACCCAGCAAACCCCAGAGGACCAGTTAGCGAACACGCCCTGGTCAACCCTGTAGAGCTGGGACAAGGTGGACTCAGGTGGCACATGCCCACCTGAGTCTTTGAGGAGGGTCCACGGATCGGGGCTGCCACCTCGCTAGCGGACGATATGCGCGCTCCTGCGCTTGGGAGTAAAAATGCACCTGCGAAGAGGCACCATGGTATTCTCAAAACACTGTCCATCAAACTTCGTCGCCTCCCCCCTCCCCCGGAGCCATCTGTGGACATTGTCTGTGAGCAGCAACATTCGGGCCACTCTTATTTCAGGGAATTGGTCGCGTGCCCTCGACCCAAGGAAGTTTCTCTTTCCCCTGGCGATTGAGCCCATGCTTCAGACCCGATGTGTCCGCACCGACCCCAGACAATGCTCGACATGTGGGAATCTTGGTCCTCCCCCCTGGATTGCGATGTCTTGCGCAAGACCACGCTCCACCTAGACCGCCACTTTATCAACCTGGTTCAAGATGGTGGGTGACCCTGACCAACTAGTTGTCCCAAGACGCTGGATCAAACACCTCCTCTTGCTCCTTGTTGACATCCGAAAAGAAATGTCCCGACGATGAACTCATGAGTTTCTCGCTTACATTGAGCCGGCACGAACCCCGGCGCTGATCGTTTCTTTGGCGGTTTCCGTAGGCGAACACCGGACAATCGCATGCAAGAGCTAGGTGTTTTGAAAGGAAGAGCTCTGACCTTGGCATTTTCTGGGGGAGAAATGTCACTGTTGTCTGCATCTGGCATTCGATCAGCGCTGGACAATAATCGAGGTCTGGGAGGTTGGTAAACAATGACAACCTTCAACAGACCAGAGGGGGGGGGCCACATTAGCAGTATCCTCTTCGCCTCCACCCCAACAAAGAAGCAAGAGGGCGGATGGTCCCCCACTCGCTAAGCAGGCTGAGTGAGGCGTGGGCAAGAAAGTTCTGTGGCTTTCAAGATGGCGCATCTCGTTCGGATACAGCAAGTCTCGAATTTCAGCCCATCGGATCAAGTCCGTGGGCGGCGACTTTTTTTCTCTCCCTCCTCCCTTACAGCGAACAGTGAGCCAGCTAGGATCCAGCAAGTGGTTGTGGACTTACTCGTAGTCAGTTAGCTCTTGCCCTGTTGACTGAACCAGAAGCTGCAGACCTGGCATCGCCCTCCAGTTAGAATAATGGACGCGGGGGTTCGAGCTGCCAGTGCCAGTGCCAGTGCCAGTGCCAGTCCCTTGTCAGGTAATGGCCCGTAGTAAGGCCCCCTCTTCCTCGTCCTGCCTGCTTGCTACCCTCCCTACCCTCCTCGTCTTTACCTGCTTCTCTTCGACCTTCCTTCCCCATCTCATTACCCACTGTTGCCAATTGTGAGCACATAGGGCGCGGCAGCCTTAACTCAATACCCACACCCGCCATTAAGTCAGCTACTCAGATCTCAGCTTGCCTGCGATCTATTGCTTTTCCGCACGAACGGGCAAGTTCGCCTTCTCTTCATCTTTCCACACGAGGAGCCCCTCCTTCCCTGCCTCCTACCGACACATGCCGTGCCGTCCTATTCCCCCTACAAGGTTAAATCTGCTCTGGAGGCACACCATCAACACAGACGGCGCTGCCGAAGATACAGGACCTACATAACCACAGGACTATATCTGCTGGGCTCCTGCTGGTCATACCTATCTCCATCCCACAAAGTTTTACATACTTTTTTAGCCACAGCATCCCTCCCCCTCCTGATCATCCAGTCAGCCTTCGACTATCTCGACTCCGACATCCGGAACTCAATCTCTTGCCCCTTGTCACTTGTGTTGCCCCAAACCCTCAGTCAAGAAAAGAACCCCCCCCCCGGACTCAAGAATACCAGATTTGGCCCTCTACCCTGTGAAGCCAACTTCGACAAAGAGCGCACACTGGCAACTCATTGCTTGCTACCTGCCAGTGTGATACTTATCCTGCCTGTCGAAGGACGTCCTGAACTGTCTCGGCGACTGCTGTCCTCCAGGCCCGTTCTCCGATCCTGCGCGCGGGCGAGAATTCACCGCTGAAGCAGTTGCAATTCGGTTACCAACTGCCACTCACTCCTTGCCAACCAGGGGCACATCCGCAAAAGTAAATGCTCGTTTTACCTTCACGACGAGTCTACAGCGATTCTCTACCTCCGACCCCTATCCGTCAATCACCCTGACGATCCCGGCGCATCTCTTGTCGACGCGGGGACTTCTACTTAAGCTGATAGCCTTCTCGGATCTTCTCAGAAACTTCATCCTCCGTCGTCAATGACTCCAAGTCTCTTTTCGTGAAAAAGGAAAAGCTCCATTTCAACCTCGTGGTCTCCTTTTTTCCGGCTCTTCCCTTCGACCCCTCCCAGAACCTATCTCAGACTCCAAAGGTCGCTCAGAAGACAACGAGCTCAACACGCCAGGTTTGTCATCTCTGGATCATTAACTTTGGGAACATTTGGGTTGGCGCCTGTCAAAAGTGGCGGAGCCTCCATAGCATTCAACGCGGGCTGGCGTGAAGTTAAACTGAGGCCTCACCCCCGGAAAGTTCGAGCCTCAACAAGACTCAAAGAACCACAGTTCCTCCGCAAACCCACCAGCATCATCACGCATCTCTCTCAGATACTCGCTATCGAATTCTTGAATCAACAATTAGTCACTCCTCCCATCACCAGCTTTGGATCAAACTCAGTGCAGACGCGGATCTTGCGGGCTACTGGTTACCCAAAAACAACTGTACTTTGGCAAAGACCAGCCACTGCAGTTCAAACCAAACAAGAAGTATCGATCCTCTGGGGCTTTTATTATTGCAGATTGCAATTTTGATACCGACCGTCTCTAAGTTCTCTCCAGCATCTGCGCCGTTGTCTACAACACAACCTGGAAAGAGACCCACACAGTTTTACGCATTTTCTATCATCAACCAGCTCTGAGGCTGGTGTACAGACTTCTCTCTACATTCTTATTCTTACAATTTCGCCCAGCAAAGTGAGAGAAAAACCACAAAGCAGGAAGCTCCGCGCGAAAACCCATTTTCCACAACGGTGGTAATTTTTGAGGCGGTTTTCCTTCTGGCCGGGTTGACAACCCTCAGGCTTTCTCAGCCCAACTCAGGACCCCAGAACTTTGCCTGTCCCGAACGGTTTTTGTGAGCAACGCATGTCAGTGCTCCTCTGTGACAGTCTTTTTAAGATTAGAGTCTCAAGAGCCGGAAACTCTGCCTCATAACACTTTCGCTCTCTCAGAGACTTGCCCACCATAGCGCCGATACGCCACCACCGTTCCGCCATGTCTTCTGGCGGAGCATCGCTGCAGCCAACCTTCCAAGGCCATGTAGCCACTACCCAAGACGCCCTCATTCTCTTCGAGGCATGCCTGCAAGGGCACCTCTCGCATGTACCCAGGCGACCCCACGATCGAGAAAGAAGCAATCTGATCAGAAGCGGGTGCGTCTTTATCTATGAAGAGAATGCATCCGGAATCAAGAGGTGGACAGACGGTGTTACTTGGAGTCCCAGCAGGATCCTGGGCAATTTCCTTGTCTATCGAGAACTTGACAAACCATTTCCACCAGGAGAGAAGAAGAGAGCCATGAAAAAGCAACAGAGGCGTCCAAGCCGACCGGGCGAGCCCTATGCCAGATCCGAGGGTGGCTCATTCTCGGATGGACAATCTGGCAGCTACAACTCCGATCGCAGCGCCTCTGCTGACGTCGAGAGGCAGCTGATAGGCTCACTGGTAGACTCCTACGGCTTCAAGCAGGACGGATTGGTCAAGAAGACGATGAGCGTCACAGTCCAAGGCGTCACACATCACCTGGTCTCCTACTACCATGTAAATGACGTCCTCACCAACCAGCTGCGCACACCTTCCCAGACGGACAACCTTCAATACATCCGTCCACGGTCGGAACTGACCTCGAGACAAAGCTTTCGGGCGCCCATCGAGGATGTTGACGAGGTGGACGGCGCTCATAACTCGTACGCATACCGTGTGAACGCAGGCGGCTATCCCCAGCCGTATTACCTGCCTCCAGGGTATCCTCCCATGGCTCAGCAGCCCAATCCCCCCCAATATTCCATGGCTGTTCCTTCCATGTCCACGGGTTACATACAATCCCCGGTAACAGCATCACATATGCATGGACAACGAAATGACTATGGTCACTACGACCAATCGGGGTACAATCGAAGCTACGAGTCCTTGAACAGCTCAATTCCTCCGCCGTCCAAATCAATCCCTGCCACGCCGACCACGATGGCTCCAATCATGTCGGACCGCTCCCAAGCGCAAACGGCCATGTACCCGCCCATGAATATGCAGCGACCAGTCAACCCTTTGAGCCCGGTGTCGATGGATTCTCGAGCACCTGTGCCATACCGGCCAAGTCCATATGGAGTGACCCATAGCAATGGTGCTCAGATGGACCAGAACCGGCAGAGTCAACCCTCTCCCACACAAGTGAAGTATGATGACCGTAGGGAAACGGCACCGCAGCCAGCTCCAATGTACCAAAGTCCACGCACGCCATACTATCCCGACACAGCCAGTCAAGCTATCCCTCAGCCTCAGTATCCTCAGTGGGCAGGACAAGCTCATAACCCATAGGGTGGATCAGGAGCTCTTCCGCCCCCTGGGGGCAACAACAGTAAACCTTGTCCCAAGATGATGGCACCGCGGCATCCGTCAGATTCTGGCTCTTTCACCTCTGATGGATCAGACCGCGCAGGAGTCCCAACCAAGCCCACAATGCAGTGAACGGCAAGAAAATCCCGCGGGGCTTGTTCAACACAAGGGTGGAAGTATGTATTACGATCAACAGCCCCGGATGTCTTGGGAAGAACATGATGATCGCTGTCGCGTCTGGGTGGCCTCAGCCCAATCGTGGAGTATTTTCTGGTGGGATGTGAGCAGCAACGTTATCGTCTTGCTTAAATTTGCACAAGCCAGGACCTAATATCTCTTTTTCAACTGGCAACGCCCGAATCCGTCTTTCAAGGTGTGGGTTTCGTGTCAAGATCCAAGTTTTTGTTCATGAACAAGTATTGCAGGTGTCCAACTCTTTGCGAAAGTTTGTGCGGATCCATGTGGGAGAATTAACCATCTCCAAGAGTCTCGGCCTGTAGGCGTCACAGGTCAATCGCAGGTCTGAGTTCAGCCTGGCCTGGCGGGAGAGAGGAGGACGAGGAACAGAGACTCGATAACGGCGGCTTTGGGGAGGTCTCACAGATATTGCTTGCTTCTGAATTGGGACGTTTGACTTTGCAGAGACCAAAGGGGGTCGATGCAGAAACGCAGTGGTGTACAAACTGGTCAACTGGGAACAATGAGGAAGGGGTTGGTCTGGGAGGTAATGAATGAAACGGCCGGCAGGAGGTTTACTGGATTCGACGAGAGAAAAAAAAAAGTTCGAGGGAGGCACATTTGTCTTTGTAATTGCGTTTCTGCTCTTGTACATGTCCTGGGAGTGGGCGGCAAATGCTTCTATCGTTACAATGTTGTTCCTTCGGGTTCTCTGAGAGTCGCTCAGGACGAAGGATGAAATGCATCTTATTGAGACCAGTCCATGGCTTCCTTCAGACTTTTGCAAATTCACCCCATCAGCGGTGAAGCCAATTTGCAGCCTGCCAGCACGGCCTGTTTGATAATCTTGATCCTAAACACCAGCAATAAGCTCAGCACCAACCTAGGTACAAGGTACTCTGTTGTACACCGCCCCGAGTGTAAGGCCCAGTGTTGACACCGGCGTGGGCTTGACCTGCGCGAACCTTTTCCTCCGAGTAACTTCTGGTAGGTATAACGGCCCTGAACTCAAATTCAATATGCGCCCGCGCAGTCCAAGGGGGCAGACAGACGTCGAGGTCACCAAATGTGGCCGATTCCTTACCCTCTCACTGGAGATGCCAAATCGCCTTTACTTCGGGGTCTGAATATCTGCCGGTATTTACTTCCTCTATATCCCGCCTTCGAGATGTCACTGTGGGCGAAATGGGCAAGGATCAGAGGCCGCCACAGGATGCTACAGTTTCCATTACACCAAAAGCAATCCCAAACGCCGAGGACCCGAGACGATCGGCAAAAGCTCAGCTCTCGTCTCACGCCAACTCGCCACTCGAAACCTCCACTCTCAGCTTGGTTCGGACCCAGCGAGATCTCGTCTACAACAGAAGACAAGGACTTTCGACCTGGACACAATTACCAAGCGGGTCCTCTCCTCGACTTAAGCTGCCGTGGACAATAATTGAATACTACGTCCTCCTCCGAGACCTGCACAGGCGACCGCCTCTCAATTCCGTGGTGGCCAGGCGCCGCCGTCTGCCCTCTCAAAAGGACGGAGGGTGGCATAGAGTAGGACCAATGTTCCAACGGCGAACAAGGATCCGGGTTTGACTGGTGAGTTCGGGAAGAGGAGGCTTGCCACATGAACCATGGAAGTGTTGAGCAATGCGGAAGGAGGATTCCGTCGTGTGCTATTCTACAACTACCCCAGTCATGTTCTTGCCAATGGTGCTGAGGATAAAGAGCTCAAAGTCTAAGTCATACGACTGATAATGGCAACAAGATGGGGCTCTCTGGGCCCAGCAGCTACAACTTCCGGGCACCATTTCCGTTCTCTTGCAAATGCCTTGTCTTCGACCTTTTCCACCTGCCGTGGAGGTGTCGTATTGGCCACGGGGAAGACTCCGCCTTCAAGATCAAACCTATAAGATTGCCACCGTCTGGGGGTGACGTGCACCGGGGGCACTGGAGGCAGCTACGACTTTCAGTGGTCGGTGACTTGGGACTGCGAAAATTTCCTTTTTCCTCTTCGGAGCCAGAGTCCAATGCGCAGTTTCGACCTTCCAAGCACCGCAACCGGAGTGGCTGGATGAAAAGGGCAATGCTCCGACAGGCAGACAGGCACCAGGTACTGCATTTTGGTTAGTCAATGCTTCCTGACTATGAAGCTGTCAACATATAAAGGCTCGCCAGGCCTAGGCTTGCCCTATCTGTCATCGGCATCCACAGTATCTGAGAGCAATTCAGGGCAAAGCCTATCCGGACAAGACTAACCTGGTCAGCGACTGGTCTAGGCCTCTCTCCGTTCGCCCTGAACACTTGGGAATTGAGAAGGGATCCATGCAATTCCACAGCGGGCAGCTCCTCTCTGAGTTGATCAGTCGAATCTCGTCCGTTGTTTTGTTCGTGCCCTCCTGCCCCTGTGCCCTTGTTTTCTACTGCGAGTTTGGGACACCTACCCTCTGCTGGGCAAGTGGACAAGGTGGAAGACAGAGATAACCAGAAGTAGACAGTAGGAGTACCTATGGATCTCGCTTCCACTAGTTGTCAAAGTCAAACTGGAAGGGCTAAGCACTATCAGGTACCACTGGAAACAAACTGCTGCAATATCAGCCATCATTTGATTCCTTGGACCTCACGCAGGACGGGCTGCAAGGCAATAATAGGTCGGCAGCCAATATTATCCACATGAGTCGTCAGCGTCTGGGGCGACAGGCTGTGGCAGGCTGTGGGTTTTCGCCTGCTTGATCTTTTCTCTCTTCTTCTGGGTTTCACTTGTGCCCTAGCCACAGGTTGGGCAAACCTTCACAACCCCCTTTCTTTCCATTTTTCACCTTTTGAACACACCCAAAAGGATTGCTCAGCATCCTCTATCGGCAAGTTACTACGGCTTGCAGAATCAGTCTGCAATGTCCCAGAAAGACCACCACTTCGTCCACGCGGATTGCGTCGGCGTTATCCTTTGTCTGGAATGCATCACTTCCGCTCATGGTATACCTGGTTTGTCTCCAGAGTGGATGTCTTGACGCTCCTAGGGTGGCTCTTTCGATCTCGAGGCACCGGAACTCGATAGATCAGCAGTGCTCGGAGTACTTGTGGTTGAGCTTCTTCTGTTCTGTAAGTGCCGGGAACTGCACCCCACGCTTTGCTGCGTTTGCTTTTGCTACGTTGTGTTCTGAAACTCATACGCCTTCCCCAATGCTTGCTTGCGGATCCAATTCACCACGTCCCAAAGATTGTAGGAAGACCTCACCATGGCTGAAAGTTGAAACCCTGTTTTCCTCGGTCCGCCACACCGTACTTCCTCGAAGACCCATCGATCAGGCAAGCCCAAGAGCACAAAGAATGACTGCGCCATGGAAACAGGACGGCTTACCGAAATCCTGTCGATAGCACACCTGCCTGTGCAATGCATAGATCAGTTCTCCTCAACCACGAATGTTTCCTCCGATTCATCAACCTCCCTCAGGAGCCGAACACTTTGGTCCAGAATTTGATCGGGAAAAGAATAACATAACGTCCCCTGACAAACCATATCGACAGAACAAGAATGAAAGGAGGAAATAAGAAGATAGCTGCGAACTACGTCTCAGGTCGCTTCTAACCACTGATGGGCGTAGCCCTTGCATCTATTTGCCACGGGGTTGGATCCTTCTCAATACGAGGAGTCAAGGTCGAGCATCACGACTTATTCCCCAATGTTCTGCTCAAGTCCTAAATCACAGTCTGGTCACGGCAGTCTGGTCTACAATACACCTGACAGGCGCATTTTCCGGCCATGCTCTGCCCTTCCGGAGTTACCTCCTCCGCCTCGTCAGAGAGGAGTCTTCCCCCATTTCCACCGGTGACAGCTAACACGGCTTTTGGAACTGAAAACATGACAACCATGCCATTCCGACGACCCAACCAATTTTGCTCGAAATACCAAAACCACAGCTCCGAGAACTGGGAAAGGACATCCCGAAATTGGGAGCGACCGACCGACCAGGTTATACTTTCATCCGGCAGAGTTCCCCGCCAACATGGAACAGGGATCTCGAGATCTCTATTCCCGGCGGAGCAAAAAAATGCATCACACCGCATGTACTGCACATCGGTCATTTCCCGAGAGACTAGACACGATACAAGGATGTGAAGACGCAGGTACGCGGATCCTAGTACCCAGCGGAGGTGGCCTAGCTTTGACGAGGCAAAAAAAGGTTGGCAAGATGTTCGAGAAGCTTTTCTCGCTTGCCGATTTGGCCTGACAGCGACGCCGTTGTCTACATGACGCACTTGTAAGTGCGTGGTGGAACCCATAGGTGATATTGTCTCCTCCCCCCGGCCGTCTTCCTAATCCTATCCCAGCGTTGGCAAGACGCAAGCAAGGATTACGCCCTGTTTCCATCATTGCATGGCCGATCGCACATTCGTGGCCACACTCTGGTAAGAACGGACGAGTGACGATGAAAACCGACGCATGGAACTACTACGCTCTGCTGATTCGGCAGGGCTAGGATGTCGAGAAATAAAAGAAGAGCCCATGTGACGACTCCCCCCTAGGCGTTGTCGCCTGGGAGCGGGAAGATTTCTCGAACTCCCACGAAAGCGGATATATTCGGGCTCCTGAACGTTCCGATATTCGTCTCCTGCTCAGGGAATCGACAGAGAAGAGAAGGGAAAAGGGAAAGGGGACGCGCATAAGGCTTGACGTTGACGGCCCTGCGCCGCTTGGGCGTTATTATGGAGACAGCCACCGTTGACCCTTGGTGCCGGCCGGTGGCACAGCCTTGGGTAACACGGTTACACAGGGTGGAACATGATCTGCAATGCATACACACGAGGGCGCGTACTCGTATGGTCTAACCCGATCATCTGATCGCAGCGGCGGTGGATAAGATCTGATCTGATTTGATATGATATGATCTCGAACGCTGCAAGCCTCGGGGGAGGTTCCGTGAAGCGCATCCAGGGCGTGCATACGCACGCGCCTCGTGAGGCTTGCGCTCGCAAGGCTGAAGGTGAGCAAAGGAGGCAGGCAACCACCATGGCTGTCAAGTACGAGAGAAGTGAAAGGATGTGTGGAAACATGAGCAGACGGAGGAAATAAAAATGCATTCCGTCATCGTCATCATCAATGTGATTCCGCCTTTTGGCTGCGACGGGTTCTGGAAATAATTGTTAGATCTAATTATGTGGCTTCTCCAGCCAATGCTAGACTCGTCTGGACTATGCGAAGTAAGGAGCATCCCTGTGCCCACCTATCAATCCTCCTATTGAGAAAGAACCCTCTGCTGGAAATAACTCGCTTCTCATTTGGGAAATACCGGATCATTCATTGATTCATCATCCGCTAGGGTGGGGGTTGCATTGGCAAATTCATTTCACTTTCTTCCCTTCCTCCGCTGTAGTTTTTGCCGTCGGTGTCGTCGCCGCCGCGGCGGCCTTGGCAATCTCGGCGGCCTTTGCCCTGTCCGCCGCCAGATTCTGTTGTTGTGGGTGCTGGTCGGTGCCAAAGACCTGGGGCAGCTTCCAGTCGGGCATCTCGAGCTTGCGGCCGAGCTTGAGCTCGATGGCGTTCTTCAGCCCCTCGCCGCTGGGCATGGTGACGCGGCTGCCGCGGCGGCGGCGGGTCTCGATGTCGGCGCGGATCTCGTCGATGGCCTCGTCGATCTCGCGGACCGGGTCGTTGGGCAGGCCCAACGACGGCGGGTACTGCGTCTCCTCGGCGATGGTCTTGCGCAGGTGCGGGTGGTTGCGCGTGTCCAGGCGCTTGGTCAGGGCGCGCTTGGCCGGCGAGGCGAAGAAGGCCAGCGACGCCGCCACCCCGACCACCGTGTAGAAGTAGACGCGCGCCCACACCTTCAGCGAGTCGCCGAACCCCAGCACCACGAAGGGCGCCGTCGTGAAGCAGAACGCCAGCTGCGTCGCCACGTAGCCCGCCGCGTCGTAGTAGATCTTGTACCGCGTCGGCTTGCTCCCGTCGGGCGTCAGGAAAAACGGCCGCACGTACCGCCGGAAGTTCTTGGCCACCGTCTGGATGAACGCCGCCAGCACGAACGTCAGGTAGTACCCCGGGTAGAAGCCGTGCCACAGCGCCGAGGTCAGGAAGGTCGCCAGCGTGGCGCGGAAGCCCGGCTTCTTGCCCTTGGGCGTCACGCGCAGGTAGATGTAGTTGCGCAGCCACTTGTTGGTGTTTTTGTTCCAGTTGTCCAGGTACGCGCGCGAGTTCTGCGCCGTCTCGATCCCCCACGGGTTCACGTTCTCGAGGTGGTCCCACTTGGCCTGGCCCGTCTTTTCGTCGATGCCGTTGTAGCTGATCCCGGCCATGATACAAGCCCCTTCCGTCAGCGACCACACCCCGTAGTACTTTGTGCGCGTGGCGAAGCCGAGCATCTGCAGCAGCCAGACCCGGTAAGGGAATGAGTACTTCATGTATTCGTCCGAGAGGAAAAAGGGCACGTGGTACCATTGGGAGAGTTGCAGGAAGGCGCCGATCCAGATGAGACCGCCGACGGCTTTGCGGATGGCTGGTACTGTCGAGTGCGGGATGCGGCGTTTGCCCTTCGCGGGAGGTGCTGCTTTGGTGCCTGGCGTGGCATCGTATATGCTTCCGTCGAGCCATCGTTTGTAGTCCGCGTACTAGGGTCGATTACAATGCACCGGTTAGCTACGCGATATTTTCGGGGGATGTTTAACCCGGTTGGCCTCGGCCGCCCAAGCAGGGGAACGACTTACTTCAAATGCAGGACCGGTGAAAATAGAGGGAAAGAAGAACACATAGCCCGCGAAGTCGAGAAGGTTGGGCATCTTGTATACCGCGCGGTCTTTCTGGGTGTCGGTCAACAATTCGCCTTTTAGTCTCCCGTCATGCACGTTCCAACTGAACCCATGCAGCTTCATGATCAAGACCATTTGGCCCCCCGTGATGTCTATAAGACTCGGGTCGGCAATCCTTTGTCGTTCAATGTGGCTGATTGACATGTGGCCCTGGGTGATAATGTAAGAACAAAGCGAAGCAGAGGGGGCTCTGTGAGAGCGAACCATCAAAAAGCAAAATACGAGCCACGGCATCAGCGAGCCATCGACATAGTAGGCTATTAGATAGGTGCCGATCGCGTCTATGAGGAGAGTAACCGTTCCGCTACAAACGAAATGTTCTTTAGCTTGACTTGAGATTGACCGGGGAGCCAAGGGCGACGATAATAGACTGTCGTACAGAAGATGGACTCACTTCCAAAGATCATAAACACCAAGCAGGTAGAAGAGGGTGATGGAGACACTGAATATGTTCTTCCATTGTGGCTTGTCGTCCGGAAGTCGTTTCAAGACAGCAGCCAAAGGGTATGACACGAGAAAGATTGTCAGGAGCTTAAGCTCATCGACAGAAGCCCCGATGGCCTTGGAAAGCCAGAGGAAGGCTGCAGGAGACCGTCAGGTAACATTCACACAAGCAGAATGGCGGAGCGGCTAGACTCACGGATATCTATCCCTGGCAGCATGGTTGTTGAGTTCCCCGCCTTCTCAGTCTATAGGTAGAAGATCAAGAGTATGCTCGAGAAACAATGCACACTGAAAAGCAGCAGGCATTGTTGAGGGAATGGACAGAATATTGGGACTGCAAACGACCAGAGATGAGGAAACGTGGGGGAAACTTTTTTGGGACGCGGAGGAAGTGGAAGGGTGAGAAGATGACATCAAATCAGGTCACATGCCAGGCACCACGCGCTCAACAAGCGTCGTTTCAAGTTGTTTGGTGGCAGCCTCGTCGTGCCTCCTGCGCCATGACAAGGCTCCGAATGACCTCGATCAAGCTCACCAGACACAGGCAGCAGACGCAAACACCCCGAAACACTCTCTGTTCTCATTGACACTGCCTTAGTTCCGGTCTTCATTGAATCCCTCTGACCACGTCCATCCCTCTCATGACCACCATGTACCGGTAGCTCGCAGTCCCGCCCGCTTATACACCTTCTCCCCACCAGGCCGGATCGAGCATCACCATGGACGTCGCTTCGGCGATTTCGGGCTATGTCTCGAAGATTGCCGGCGTTGGGGAAGGCGCTGCCGCCTCTCAAAGCCAGAAGATGAAGATCCTGCTGTTGGATTCCGAGACAGTTCCAATCGTGTCAACCGCAATCACCCAATCCGCCCTCCTTCGATATCAGATCTACCTTATTGACAGAATCGATAACCCTGCGCGCGAACGCATGCGCCACCTCAGATGCCTGTGCTTCGTCCGCCCGTCCCCAGACTCGATCCAATTCCTCATCGACGAACTGCGCGAGCCCAAGTACGGTGAATACAACATCTACTTCAGCAACATCATAAAGAAGTCGTCGTTGGAGAGGTTAGCGGAGGCCGATGATCATGAGGTGGTAAAGGCGGTCCAGGAATACTTTGCTGATTACATTGTGGTCAATCCGGACTTGATGTCCTTGAATCTGGGATTCCCCAAGCAGAGGCTATGGAGCCACAGTCCAGACGTCTGGAACACCGATGCCTTACAAAGAACAACCGAGGGGGTGGTTGCCCTTCTGTTATCACTGAAGAAGAACCCGCTGATACGATATGAGAAAAATAGCCTTATGGCTAAGAAGCTTGCCACCGAAATTCGCTACCAGATCACGCAAGAAGAACAACTATTCGACTTTCGCAAGACCGATACTCCGCCACTGCTATTAATCTTGGACCGAAGAGATGATCCTATTACGCCACTACTCACGCAATGGACGTACCAAGCTCAAGTCCATGAATTACTCGGCATCCATAACGGCCGAGTTGATCTGAGTGCAGTCCCCGATATTCGACCAGAACTCAAAGAAATCGTCCTCTCACAGGACCAAGATCCGTTCTTCAAGAAAAACATGTATCAAAACTTTGGTGATTTGGGCGGGAACATCAAGGAATATGTCGACCAGTATCAGAGTCGAACCAAATCCACTGCTCAGATTGAATCGATCGCCGACATGAAACGCTTTGTCGAAGACTACCCAGAATTCCGCAAACTTTCTGGCAACGTCTCCAAACACGTAACTCTGGTCAGCGAACTCAGTCGTCGTGTCTCCGCCGACTCACTGCTCGATGTCTCAGAACTGGAGCAGAGTCTAGTCTGCAACGACAATCATGCTGCCGATCTGAAGACGCTGCAAAGGCACATTCAAAATCCAAGCGTGCCCGCAGACAATAAGATCCGCCTTGTGGCCCTCTATGCCATTCGCTACGAACGCAATCCCAATAACGCTCTGCCTGTTCTCCTTGACCTGCTGGCTTCCGTAGCCGACGTCCCTGCGTACAAGATCTCCATAATCCCTAAACTTCTTGCTTACCACCACAGTCTTCAGCCCGCTCCCGTTGGTGGAGCGATTGGTTTTACCGATCTTTTCGACTCGGGCTCTTCTCCATTTAGCCAATTTCGACGGAACCTGAATCTGAAGGGCGTTGAGAACGTGTACACCCAGCACTCCCCACGTCTGGAAAACACGCTCCAGAATCTCATCAAAGGGCGACTGAAGGAACTGCAATATCCCTTCGTGGATGGACACCATACGAGGGACAAACCTCAGGACATCATCGTCTTTATGGTGGGAGGCGTCACGTACGAGGAGGCCAAAATGGTAGCGCAGGTCAACGCCTCGGTCCCGGGCGTGAGAGTGGTGCTCGGAGGAACAAGCGTGGTTAATTCAACAATGTTCCTGGAAGAGGTGGATGATGCGGTTGGTAGCTGGCCGGACCAAGGTCCTGCATCGGCAAGAGAACGGCTAGGCAGGGCCGTAGGCAGGTGACAGGACCTGGGAATCCCACCAGTGGGATGGTACCGCTGTCTCTGTCGACCTTCTTCGAGTCCATCTAGTCCTGGAAAGATTAACGAAATGCCAACGACGGACCCCCTCTTTTACAAGCCCGTCCTTTTCCGTGCAAGGTATCGACCTGTTGCATGTGAGTGCTGCGGTTGGTGACAGGAGGGAATTCAATCACTTGCCGACGCAACAGAGATTATTCAGCGAAAGAAGACGTCTGCTCGAAGCCGAGATCATGCTTATACGGAGAAGCTTGTTAGCTCGAGAACGACCAAGATGACTCTGTAATCTTATTGACTGACAGTGTCGCTTTGGACGAGGTATTTTGGAGCTGAGGGTATCTGTGTTGATGCCTGAGCTCACAAGGGTACCACCTGCGCGACGGAGGTCAACAGGGCAACGATCGGTCGGCACCCTGATTTTATGGCTCAACGTGAAGGTACCGGGTGCCGATCCCCTTTACTGCCGTTGGCCGGATGCACTGTCATGCACGAACCGCCTGTAAGGTCGGGGAAGCTCATTCAGCTATCCGTTCACAATGGTCTCGTGGGTTCCCGCTTTTTCAACCGAAAATGCTGTGGAGTGAAGGCAGCCCGAGTTGAGATCGTAGTACGGACGAGCAAAGATGTTCTCGATACCGGACAGTCCTTTGATAAAGTGTGATGGTACAAGCACGGATGTGCGACTAATACACATGATCTTACCCTTCATGACGATGCTGAAGGTCTTTTTTAACGTCTTCTCGCGCTCCCGATCTATGCTCCAGCTCAATTCTTCCCTTCCTCTTTTCCACCCTTCTGGTTTTCCTTTTCTCCCTGTTCCTCCTTCGTCAATATCCTCACAGCCTGTTTATTGCCCAAGTAGCTCAGTCCGCTCCACACCGTCGTGCCTGCCACAAGGTAGTACCAACCTTCCATGACGCCCCAAAGGTTCCCCGCGTCGACCAACCAGGCGGGCAGGACGGGGAGCAACATGGCGTTGCCGACCAGCAACAGCTGCAGCAGGGTGTTGATCTTGGAGATCTCGGTGGGGTGGACCTCGGCCGAGGGGAGCGAGAAGTCCCAGAAGCGGGTGAAGGTCTTGGGCGGGGGCAGGGAGATCCAACGGAAGTAGATGGCCGAGATGGCCAGGGCGACGTCGCGGCCCAGCACGACCACGGCCAGCCACACAGGCAGCGTGCCGTTGGCCGTCAGCGTCACCACGCACGTCGTCATCAGGATCTTGTCCGCCATCGGGTCGATCACCGTGCCCACCACCGTCTGCGAGTGGAACCGCCGCGCCAGCCACCCGTCGACCAGGTCCGTGATGCCCGCGTACGCGAACAGCCCCAGCGCCAGCAGAGCCTCGTGCTGCAGCACGAAGTACCCGACCAGCGGCGCCGCGAGGAGCCGCGAGAACGTCAGCGCGTTGGGCAGCGTGTAGATGTTCTCGTGCGTCTGGGTCAGGGCGCGCGGGAGCCGCGGAGGAGGCAGGATCGTGGGCTGCGAAGTTGGGGTTGGTGAGGTCGTTGACGGCTTGACGCCGCTGGGAGGAGAATGTCAGCATAGGTCTGTGCATTTAATTGAGCAGCAAGAACTCTGAACGGGGAATGCCCAGAGGGATGTTCTCTATTTAGGGATTCATGGGGTGTCCTTTAACGGTAGAGAAGCTCTGGCAAGACCATACTCGGATATAGAGACTCCACTTGACATAGAACGTATATCCTTCTTACTCTCCAGTCAAGATAAGGATAGATACTGTGGTTCTCGTCCGCTGTGGGACGTCTAAAGGACCATGGAATTTTGGGGGGATTTGTGCTGATGAACACGTCGTTCCCAACGAGAAGAGTAAAGAAACTGGCGAGGACTTCATCACCCTTGACATACCTAGTGCTAGATCCCCCCTGCTTATCAGGCACATTGCGTCCCTCAGCGCTCAATATTGAGGGCGCCCTCGAAAAGCTTCGCGCCTGCGACAATCGGCTGACCATCACGCCACAAGACGACAAGCCCCGGTTACGGAACGCTGGGCTCGAAGATCTGCTTGAATAACTCGTCGTCAGTTGACATGTGCTTTGGGTTTGATATGCCGCGACAGGGACACAGGTAGATTCCGAGGACGAAGGGTGGTGTCGTACCTTGACGTCGACAGAGACGGTGAAATGGGGGTTCTAGCATTTCCAGCCCATGTCGCTGTGGTCGGCTTCGGTGTGGAAGTTGAAAATGAACACTTCTGACCAGCCGTGGTCCGTACCCCGCGACAACTCTGATCCGGATTCGGGCATCGTGGCGCGTTATAATGGTTCCAAGTCCTCGAGGAGAGTATGACGGAAGACGGGCGTTGAGCAGGCGAAGAAAGGGGACCCGGAGCGGACAGTTTAACGACGGCTCGACTCATCGCAACGGTAGGTCGGAAGATCACCGAGCTTGCCATGGCCTGGACATTTTGTCGGGCTGACGGGGTCATTCAATCTCGACCGTCGCGAAGCAAGAGCTCGACGATAGAAAACAGAAACGAGAAAAGATTCCCCCCTGACGAACTGGATGATGGAAGAACCTGAATGTTGCACAGATGGTAAAGCTGGTCGGCAGGATGCGCAAGGGTGTATCGTCCAGCGTGGTCACAGGCGTGATGAGTCCTAACTCGGAGCGATTTGTCTTCTATAGCAAAGCAATTTGGAGCTGGAGGAGCACGCGTGGAGGAAGTTGGACGTTTTGAGGTTTTCAGAAATACGCGGCTGACTAAGCAGAATACCTCTATGCTCGGTTTCTGTGCAGCCTTGCGAAGAGAGCGCCAGGCTGCGCAGTATATGAGACAGTACGATCTCTAAGAATGTGCGAATAAAACGTGAAGAGGAAAGCAGTATTGATCATTCATTCCAAGTCCGGCAAGATGGAAGTCACCGTGCCAGCAGTCAAGACGCCGTCGCTATGCAACCTCCCTCAATCTCGATTGTGCTGCCACCAAATATCATGTTATACAGGTACAGCTCCTTCAGGTTGAGCTCCACCATCCCGAGGCAACAATTCGTCCTCTGTCATCTTGCTACGCCCATTTCTCTTCGCATACCTCAACAGCCTCAGCGCCCCATGTGGCGTTACGCCCTCAACTCTTCTCGCCATCCCGACACTGGCAGGGCGCACCAGCTTCAACACTTCCCTCTCACCAATGCTCAGCCCAAACACCGAATCGTAGTCCAGGTCCGCGGGTAGAGCGAGCGATTCGTCCCTGGCAAACGATTCTGCGGCTTTGTGTTGGAAGGAGATGTAAGGAGCATAGAGGCTCTCAATCGAGACCCTGTTCTTGATCTTGCTGGAGTAATTAGAGATTGACGGGAGAGATTGGACGCGGTCCGCGATGGTGTTCATGTCGACACCAGTCACACGGAGCATATCAAATGCGCTCCGGCGGTTGGAGTCGATGCGTGAGGGAAACCCCATTTTCACCCATTCCGTGCTTGGGTATCGCACTTCTTCAAGCTTGCTTTGCAGCTCTACCATTTGGTCTCGACTGTTCGTGAAATGAGCCCAGCGCCTGTCGCTTACCACGCCGACCTTGCGGCCTTTCTCTGTCAGTCGCAGGTCCGCGTTGTCGGAACGGCAGCTCATGCGGTATTCACTTCGTGCAGTGAACATTCTGTATGGTTCACTCACACCTTTTGTGATGAGGTCGTCGATGAGGATGCCGATGAATGCTTCAGCGCGGGAAAGAGTGAATGATCCTTTTCCTTGAGCGGACAACCCTGCATTGATACCGGCGACAATTCCTTGAGCCGCGGCTTCCTCGTAGCCTGTGGTGCCGTTGATTTGTCCAGCGAGGAAAAGCCCTTTTATGAGCTTTGTCTCGAGGGTCGGGAATAGATTTCGTGGGTCAATATAGTCGTATTCGACACCGTACCCAGGTTGGAGCATTTTGACATTCTCAAGCCCCCTGACGGTTCTGAGCATGGCGTACTGCGCGTCGGCTGGGACGGTCATGCTGATACCATTAGGATAGATGATTTTGTTTGGCTCAAGACCTTCAGGCTCCAGCCATATCATATGTCTTTGTTTGTCCTTGAATTTGATGATCTTAGATTCCAGGGACGGACAGTATCGGGGCCCTTTCACCGTTTCTCGAATATGAATCGACTTGTCCAGGTTAGCCCGGATAATCTCATGGGACGCTTCGTTGGTATAGGTGGTCCAGCAGTTCAATTGACCAGCCTCCCCAATCTCAACAGTGTCGTTCAGGTAAGAAAATGGCGCCGGCGGCGAATCGCCCGGCTGCACTTGCAACACACTGAAATCAATGGTGTCGCGATCCAGGCGTGGCGGGGTCCCGGTCTTCAGTCGTCCCAATGTGAATCCTGCGCTCCGCAGTGACTTGCTCAGGCCAAAGGTAGCAGCCTCCCCCATTCGTCCAGAGGGATATGCTTCCAGTCCGATGTGTATCTCCCCACCGAGAAACGTCCCAGTAGTGATAACCACATGGGAAGCAGGAATGACATGGCCATCTTCAAGACGAATGCCGGTGATATGTCCTTGCGATATCTTGTCGCCCGCCTCAATACCCTCTCTTGAAACAATGATATCCGCGACTTTGCCTTCCAATATGCTCAGGTTTGGTGTTGACAACATCTCTTCCCGCATATACTTCTTGTATAGGTCTCGGTCGATCTGCGCTCGCGGCCCCCATACCGCAGGACCTTTCTTGATATTTAACATTCGAAATTGGATACCGGCTTTGTCGATTATGCGACCAGCGACTCCGTCTAGTGCATCGATCTCTCGGATCATGGTGCCCTTTCCTATGCCCCCAAAACTAGGATTGCAGGAACAAACGCCCAGGTTGGACAGTGACGGAGTGACCAGCGCTGTGCGAGCGCCTGATCTGGCAGCGGCGGCACTGGCTTCTGTCCCTGCATGGCCACCACCAATGACGATGACATCGTAGGGCCTGGATTGATTCAGTACACATTTGTGGCAGAGGGAGGCCAGGTCCTACCTGACTGCGTCCGTCACGGCAGCAAAGAAGCGGCGCTGCCGGAACAAAACACAAGACCTGGTTCGCGGGGTGTGGCCCCACTGGAAGAGGCTCGATTGCCGTAACACCGGCCTCATGTTGAAGTATAGACTGGGTAAGGATGAGAGGCATGCGAAGACAAAAGCGACAATGTTTCACGACGAACAATTTTGGCGCGTCGGATAAACCGCGGCAATTGTATCAGGCAGCAAGGCTATATCGAGTAAGGCTGTAATAGATGGCTGAGAACTTCTACGTGCAAATGAGGCTGAACTCGCTCTGCAACCTCTTCGTCGGACCTCTTTTCATTCCATAACCTTCAGATTTGAGGGCTGCACGGTTTTGTCTCAGTCAATTTTCACGCCATGAGCTTTGGTTTCTCCATTGGTGATTTCCTAGCAGTGGCGAAGTTGGTGGAGAGTACTAGGAAGCGTTTCAAGGGAGCCCCAGCGGAATACAATGCACTAGCTGATGAGTGGGCACTTTTGCCTCATATTCTGCGCAGAACGCTTCTGATTACAATAGGACACGCACACTCCAAATAGTCCTCACCGACCTCAGGATTCAGGTCGAAGATGATGAGCTCACGGACTCCATCAAAAACGATTTGCAAAGCGCTAAGAAGAACTGTGAGGCCGTCTTGAGGGACCTGAATGCGGTCATCGACGCTCACACTGAACTTGATTCGGCAACTGCCGTACCTCGAAAAGTGCCACAGCGGATATGGAAACGTCTCCGATGGGATCCCAAGGAGGCAAACCAGCTGCGCTCTCGGCTCACTTCATCCATCCAACTGCTGGCCGCTGTGCGCCAAAGTTTGGACAGGTGAGCTGTACCACAGTACTTGCATTCGGGAGAGGCTTCTAACCGATCCTAGTACTCTACAACATGACGTAGCTCAAAATTTGGCGAGACTAACTGCCACCCACGATAACAAGGAAGTTCGACAAATTGCGGACTGGCTTGCACCTGGCACCTATTCTGAACATCAACATGACTATTTCACAAGAGTCCAAGCGGGAACAGGACAGTGGGTATTCACCGATCCATTATATTGCAGTTGGCTCCGCGGCGGAGGCCCTTCCACGCTGCTGCTTCCCGGCATCCCTGGAGCTGGCAAGACTTTCGTTGCATCAATCATCATCAATTGGTTGCAAGCACGCGTATCCCACGATGACACTTCAGGGCTTGTGTTCTTCTATAACAGCTTCCAAAGGACTGCTACTCAGTCCTGTCGCCACATTGTCGCCAGCATGGTGCGGCAACTGTATTTGCAGAAACCGCACAAAAACGATGTAGTCAGGGGTGTCTATGAGGAACACATCAAGCGCGAGCCGGCTACGCTTCCCAGCCTGGAAGAATTGTGTACGACGCTCGAAAAGCTTTTGGCGGGCTTCTCTGTGGTTTTCTTTGTCATTGATGCCTTGGACGAGTGCCAGGGACCGGAGGCATCTGATGCCAGGCCGTGGAAATATATTCTCACTTTCCTATTTCGATTGCAGGAACAACTGAAATCCCAGGTGGCCATCAAGGTGCTCGCAACTTCACGACCCGATCTGGAAATTGATGGTCTTTTCCCAAACGACGGACGGCTGACAATCCATGCCAGAAATGACGACCTTGGTAAGTTTTGTGATTCGCTGATACCCAATATCGGGTGCATTGCCCGGAAGACGGAGCTGCACCCCAAAATCAAAGATGCCATCTGTGATAGCGCCAGGGGCATGTAAGTTTTCTAACGAAGCGAGCCGTACTTGAGTGTTTGGCTGAGTTTTCAGGTTTTTGTTGGCAAAACTGCACTGCGACACCCTTGCGGCCAAAACAAAACCTAAGGATGTATTGAAATCCCTCAATACTTTTGCGCAGGGGGGCGATGCTCTCAATCGAGCCTACCAGGACACCATCCAAAGGATACAGTGCCAACCCGAGGAGCATAAAGCACTAGCAAAGAAGGTCTTGGTTTGCGTGACACACAGCGCTCGACCACTTACTCTAGACGAAATAAGACATGCGCTTGCCGTCGACCAAGAAACCACTGAGCTGGACCCGGAGTACGACCTCGACAATCCTGACGATGTGATCTCAAGCTGTGCCGGTCTAGTGACCATCGACTCTGAGAGCAGAATTATTCGTTTGGTTCACTATACCACACAAAGCTTTTTGGAATCGCTCGGGGACGAACTCATGCCGGATCCACATGACTTCCTTGCCACCTGCTGTTTGGATTATCTGCACCTGGATGTGTTTGCGGAAGGCCACCTTGTCGACAATAGCTACTTTCGACACAGGCAAGAATTTCCGTTCTTTCAATATAGCGCAAAATACTGGCACTGGCACATTTTGTCTGGAAGTGGCAACATATTTTTGAAGCAGCGGGCGTTCTCCTTCCTCGACAATAATGGACGTGTCGCGACTGCAACTCGATGTCTATCTAATGATGCATGGGACATACACGGCGAATGTGCCCTCCACTTCCTCGCATTCCAGGGTTTGAATGACTGGATCACCGACTACATTGGTCGTGGACCTGTAACAGAGGGAAACTGGGATGGCAAAGGGTCATGTCCAGATTGTAGGACATCATCAACAGAAATCAGACGTCGTCTTTCAAACAATACAACATCTTGGATAACGCTACTGACAAGCTGGTGCGATTCCAGAGGACGCACGCCGTTGTGGTACGCGATTCGGAAACGGCATGCATCCACTGCGAGGCTTTTGATCGATCTGAATAATGAGATAATTGATAAGGTGGATGACGAAGGGCAGACCCCATTGAACCTTGCGCTGGTTTACAAGGTTGAGGCAGTCGCCCTCAGGATCCTTGAAGAGCCCAAGAGGGTTTCATGGTATCAGTATCGAGACCGGGATGACAGCAGCTATCTTCACAATGCAGTCTCCTACGGGCATGAAGCTGTAGTCGATCGGCTATTGGAATTGGTGTCCGCTTTCGACACGAGCGGGACCCGCAGCATTGCGATCTCTTATACTACTTCTCAAGAGAAGTTCAGAGACACACCAGTTCATGACGCGGCTGGGGCAGGGCACCTCGGGATTGTCGAGAAGTTGTTGGCTTGTAGCGGCGGACGTGGGCTGAATTTGCGAACTCGCATTGGACACACGCCACTCATATCAGCAGCCAAAGGCGGCCACCTGGAGGTGGTTCAGTATCTAATGAGCCAAGATGGCATTCAGGCAGACTTTCGTGATCGCCATGGAATGTCCGCCCTGCATTGGGCCGCAGCATGTGGCACAGTGCCTGTTCTCGAATATCTGCTCAGTACTGGTCTCTTCCCGGCAAATTCGACATCCACCAGCGGCAGAACTGCTCTGCATTATGCGTCCGTACACCACAAACGAGCCGTGGTGTCTTTGACTTCGCGAGAGGACGTTGGCGTGAATTGTACAGACAAAGACGGGAGGAATGCTCTGATGGTGGCTGCTCAATATGCAAGCGCGGATGTCATAGCTCACCTTGCCCCTTTGATGCGTGATGTCAACTCGACTGATGCAGACGGCGATATAGCTTTGCACCATTTATGTAAAAGTCGCTACTGGGCATATAGGCCAGAAGGTGGCAGTAAAGCCCAAGCAAGCTTTGACTCTCTGGTCAAAAATGGTGCCTCGTTGGATATCACGAATAAGCAGGGCCAGACTCCATACGAAGCATTGTGTCTTCGAATGGAGGGTCTCGATGCCACCAACGACAGGAAAGAGCTTGAAAGCTTGGAAACATTAAAGCGAATGACGGAGTCATACATGTCAGTCAGCACTGAAGCCTGATAGCAGTCGAACGAATCTGTGGAGGATATCAGCGCTTGCAAGACCACAACGCAGAACCACCTCGCTTGCATTCACGATCAGTTCACTCACATCTCACTTCCAAAGGTGTCCCACCGAGGACACATGCAAGATTTCCGACTCCATTACCTTGTCGTCTACTTCCTCCACGATAACTCGGACACTCCAGGTCGTTCTAGGTCGACCAAGTCTAGCGAACACTTCTCGACTTCGATGTTGGCTCGAAGAAAATCGCTCGAGAAAACGACAATACCGAATTTCTTTGGCGCCACCTCACGAACATGCGACTTCTCGATCCTGAAATCGACTCAGAAATACCCATTGAGGTTTATGGATCCAACGAGAAGGAGAGTATGGACGAATAATGGGAGCGGATTGGGTACAAAGTCTTTGCTTACCCCTGAACAAGCCCATTATCACGGCCATGATGTTTTGTTGCTTTGGTATTGACGCCGATGAACGAGCGATGGCTTTGTTTTCACGCCCATGTTTAGCACAGCGATCTCAGCGTTCTGGTTCGGATGAATGAATGATATGATTCTCAACACCCTCCTTAATTTGAAGTGAGCTCTCATGCAGTCTAATTCCGGCCACAGACTTTTCAGCGACCATTTGCGTGGCAGTAGTCTTGATTCCCTTCCCTGCAGTCATATCCATCGTGGCTCTGTTATCTCATCAACGTTAATGTCTCTCATGCGGCTTAATACTGCTAAATACGCCATATCATTGATAAAAGAGAATTGGGGAGAAGAATAGAAGCATGCTGATATATCCCACCCTTCAGCCATCAGAAGCCAGGAACTCGCCCTCCCAGCGACCGCCAGAACCGTCGTCCATCTCACCTTCCGGGACCACGATGCGCAGCACGGGGACCCCGCGAATGGTCCACTTCGTGGGCGACGTCTTCAGCGGCGCCGGGTTCAGGTACCACTCGAAGGAACCGTCGAAGTTGACGACGCACGGCCACAGGCTGGCCGCGTCGTGCGAGGGCATCGAGCCCGGCTTGACGGACCAGAAGTCGGCAAAGTCGCGCTGCAGCCGCGCCGCCGCCGCGCCCGGCCGGTGCGGGAACTCGGCGGCGATACGGTCCCGGCCCATCGTGAAGGCCGCCGCGATCGAGCCGGGCAGCTGGATCTGGCGCATCGAGGGGTGCTTGGCCACGAACCGCCACCACGGCATCAGCAGGCCGTCCACCATGTTCATCGTCCACAGGGGCATTCGTGCTCGGTCCTCTCCATCAGCGGGGGTGTTCCTGCTGTAGACGTCTCCCGGCGGACTGGGGGTCTCGAAGACAAAGCTGACGTCGAATGGCAGCGCCGGGAACTTGGGGTCGTACGAGCAATACACCGGGCCGTAGTGGCGGCGGCGCGACATCTCGATGACCCCGCAACACGCGGCGTCGCAGGACAGGTTGGCCCGCTGTTTCAGCAGGAAGTAGAGCGTCGTCGCGAGACTGCGGGAGTAGTGCTTGACGCGTTGCACGGCGGCGCGGAACTGGCTGCGGGTGGCCACCTCTTCTTGTGCTGCTCCTCCATCAGCGAGGGGTGGGTGCTCGCCCTGATCTGCTGGAAGAGGATCAAGTCCACTACCAGCCCCCCGCGCCGGACGAGGGACAAAGTGCACGACGATTGCCGTCCATCGGCCCAGAGGCAGCCGCACGATCTTCTCCAGCAGCAGCGTGCACCGACACTCCTTGTGCCCGATGCTCTCCAGCAGCGGCTTGCAATCGCACGATTTCTCGCCGGTGAGCCAGAAACGCAGCGGCCGGCGGAATACCTGGCGCAGAGTCTCGCGCCGGACGGAGACGCTCGACGCCAGCAGAGCCCGGATCGTCGCGAGCTCAATGTCGTACCAGGCGCCGTTTGAGACCCGGAGCCCGTCGCCCACGATGTAGCTGATGATCCTCGAGGTGATTTCCTCGGGGAGTAGAATGTGCCGGTTGGGCGGGTGGCGGGTTGCGTGCCCCTTGGCGCCGTCGAGGGAGTCGTCGATCATGATCAACGATGTCACAGCGGCGGGCACAAAGTCCCGAGGTAGTCGGCTTGAAGGATCATACATAAGCTAGCCTCATAGTGAGGCTCCGGTAGAGTGCCGTCGGGCCGGCACAGAATCCGCACTGAATTCTTCTGCGAGATGAGGAGCGTCAGGTTACGGCGACGAGGAAATACGCACGGGCAACTCACACGCTTGATCTCGGCGGAGCAATCAGAGAGACGCGCCCTATGAGCTTGTTTGTTTAGCCGATGTTTCAAATGACATCGACGAGGCTGAGGATCAGAACAGCCTCGTTCAAGTGAGGCAGGATAGTTTAGGCAGCTACCTAGAAAGATAAGGATCAGCTAAGGCACCTACTTGGCGTGAGGAGGTTGCGAGCGCTACGACCACGTCTTAGAATTGCCAGAAGACGGTGAGAGTATGAATGTGGGTATCTCGACATCTATTTTCATCTGTTGGTACATGGATCGGAGACACCTTCTGGTTCACGGCTGGTTGTATTGTACATGGACTTGTCCCAGGACCATACTGCTGCCTCAGAACACAACGTTCAATACTTTACCTTCCCCAACGACAATTACTCTTTTCTTCTTCGCCCAATTATTCTTTTCCGTCAGCCACAGCCGTCCTTCTTCTGTTTCAAGGACAGCACGGATGATCTCCGCCTCTCGTGCTGCTGAACCGGCCCCGGCCTTGCCTTCCGACGGAGCGGACGGTACTTGTGCGGTGAATCGCAGTTTTCCATTTATCTGCACTGCGCATGTGATGGTTGTTTTGCGGCTCCGTAGAGCAGCCTCTTGTTCAGGGGTTATGATATCGCCCGTCCATGACGCGCTGAAGATACTCCTTCTTTCCGTGCCAGGAACCACCCTTTCCCAACATTCCTCTGCGAAGGCGGGTGTGATTGGGGCCATCATCTTCAGGAGTGCTGTGACCGTGACATATGCAACAGAAGGTGTCAGGTTGTTGATGCCGATGCCTTCTAAGCCATTTGTCAGCTTGATGAGGTCGGAGACCGCTGTGTTCAGGCTGTAGATGTCGTTCGAGAATGTCTGCGAGATACTTTTGCTGGTGTTTTGCGTCAAAAGTAACGCCTCCGCATCATTCGTGCTGAGGTCGCTTAAATGAGGGATGTTGATCTGCGAAACATCACTTCGATCAATGTGCGCTTGCGAGCTCAACTCAGAGATGAGGCGGTTGACTCGGCCAAACCACCGCTGGATGCCCACAATCTTTTCCTCGTCCCATTGTAGCACTTCGCTAACAGGGGCGGCAAAGAGGATGTGAGCTCGTAAAGCATCTGCTCCAAACTTTTCGATCGCGACGGACGGGTCCACGCCGTTGTGCTTGCTCTTGGACATCTTTTCCCATGTAACATTGGGTGCTTTGCCAGAGGCTTTGATTCTTGCGGCTTCGCCATCAAAGTCGACCTCACCAGGCAACAAGAACCGGCTGCTGTCAGGATCGGAGAATGTTTTTCCATGCACCATGCCCTGCGCTATGAGCTGTTGGAATGGCTCAGCATGACCATTGCCAGTCGAAACAAGACGCTCGCTGCGCAGGAATTTGTAGATGAAACGTGCGTAAAGCAAATGCAGGATGGCATGTTCGACACCACCAACATAAGTGTCTACGGGAAGCATAGCGGCCGCAGATTGTGGTGAGAAGGGCTCCGACTGATTCGTCGAGTCCGGAAATCGCATGAAATACCAAGAAGAGTCGACGAAAGTATCCATCGTGTCGGTTTCTCGCCGAGCCGGCCGTCTGCAGGATGGACATTGGCAGTTGACCCATTCCTCGATCTTGTCTAGTGGATTACCGGTCTGTCCTTTTATGGACGAATTGAGTGGAGGCAGTACCACGGGAAGGTCTTCTCTGGGCACAGGAACTGGCCCGCATGTTGAGCAATGTATGATAGGAATCGGCGTACCCCAGTATCTCTGGCGGCTTACCAGCCAGTCACGAAGTCTCCAAGTTTCGACCGCCTCTGCAAGGCCGTGTTTCTTCAGGCCAGAGACAATCTTTGTTCTCGCTTCATTGCTTGGTAGACCTGCATAAGGGCCACATAAAGGGGTCAGCCAGCCATCGTTTGTGTATGCTTCCACCAGGTCAGCCGGGAGTATACGAGTCGTGCTATTGCTCAAAGGCTCCGGCGATATCGCAATGTTGACGGGATCCGTGGGTCTGTGTAGTTTCCAGAAGCTGAGATCGCGAGAATCGTGGGCTGGGACGCCCATCACTGCACCTTCTCCATAGTCCTCTAGTACATATGGAGCAGCAAATACTGGCAATGGCTCAGCATTGAAATTTCCGCTCTGGGAAAGGGGGTTGAAGGCAAAGAGTGGCAGCTCAAAGCCTTCCTTGGAGTCGGGTGGGAAGGAAGCTCGCCTGTCGAGAAAGCTTTGCAGTTCGGGCGACTTTGCAGCCGCCTGGACCACGAGTGGGTGCGTCATGGAGAGTGCAACATATTTCACTCCAAACAGCGTATCTGGACGGGTAGTGAAGACATGAACGTGAGAAGAGTTCCCAGTGTCGTCTCTTAAGCCAAATTGGATGCGTGCGCCTGTCGAGCGGCCAATCCAGTTTCGCTGCTGGGTGACGACTCTTTCAGGCCACTTTCCGTCCTCCGACAGAAATTGCAGGTCCCGCAACAAGTCTTCTTTGAACTCTGTTATCCTGAAGAACCACTGGCGGAGTTTGATCTGTTGCACAAGGGCCCCGGATCTCCAAGAGCGTCCATTGTGGTCAACCTGCTCATTGGCGAGGACAGTTTTATCGACAGGATCATAATTGACGAGCGCTTCCGCTTGATATGCCAGACCACGATGGTATAACCTGAGGAAAATGTCTTGAGTGTGCTTGTAGAATGACGGCGAACATGTTGATATTTCCTACGAAGGGTTGATCAGCACTATGTACATGTGTTCCGTGCCCCTGACCTACGGCATCCCAGTCGAAGCTTGTATTCATGCTCTTGAGCTGCTGTTTCATCTTTGCAATATTATCATCTGTCCAAACTGCTGGATCAATGCCGCGCTCGATTGCGGCATTTTCTGCCGGGAGTCCAAATGCGTCCCAGCCGGTCGGGTGAAGGACATCATAACCTCGCATTCTTCGGTAGCGGGCGATCACGTCGGAGATGGTGTAGACACGAAGATGGCCCATGTGAAGAGATCCGGACGGGTAAGCAAACATGGGGAGGACATAGGACTTGCGTGGAGGACTTGACTGTCCTCCAGCCTTCGGTTGGTTTGCCCATCTCTGCTGCCATTTCACGTCGATGGCACAGAGGTCCAGGCGAGGAACCTGAGTGGCAGCTCGAGTACCGGTGGTGTGCAGGCTCCGTACAAAGAGCAGCCTGACAGACTGACGAACAAACAGCCTCCCCTGCATAACCTCCAACTCCTCCACCACCGGTTGAGCGCAAAGAGGGTTAGGGGTTAGGGTTAGGGGTTAGGTTGGGGTTAGGGTTAGATTGATCAGAGAGAGATGCACCGCAGTTCTGTACGAGAGGCTATTCGATAGGAAGGTAGACCGAGTCTCGTGACTGCGCAGCAATAAACTCCAACTCCGCTCACTTTCTTCACGTCCATCTTCTCTCACTCAACGAGCAATCTCACATCCCAGAGTCAACTGTTCATGGTGTCGGTTTAGCTGTCTTGGGGTCTATCTTCCTCGGATGCTTCATCGTATAGCCCCGACGTCCGTCGCTAATGATCCTTCAGATTCTGTGCCATAGGACTGGAAGTTCTGTCCACATCGGCGCGGTGGAATGACGGTTCTCTCATCCAGACCAGAACTTTACCCCTGAAGAGTCGCGTTGACGCTGCGCGACTTGATGGCTGGTTCGAAAATGGATAGGAAGGACCTGCACGTTCTGACAAGGAAGCGGATACACCGGGGAAACAGCAATCCCTTCAACCAAACATGGCCTTGTTCGTTGGCGCCGTGAGGTCTCAAGAGCCTGGGGATTCTTAAGCCTGCTGACTTATCAAGAGCCCTCTCTCTCCTAGTTTGCTTGTGCTGTCATGGAGACAGGGACTTACCATGTCCATGTTGAGAACAACCCACGTTCCCGTTCTGCCATGGGATATCACGGTCACGTGCTTTGCTTCAAGGTAAGTTGAGCAGTCCAGAGTCTTACTTGTTCGCTGGCTCCCAACATGCCCTTTATATGACGCAGCCGTCTGCCGTCTACGGCACATTCTCATCTCTAGAGATACATGTGCATCAGAACAGAAATAGGGCTTGCGCCTACAAGGCATCGGGTTTTAAGACCGCTCCTTCGGCATGTCACATGGCACGTACCACAGGTACGGAGAACAAGCTGTCAGTGACAGAACGACAGTTACATGTGCCTCACCTGAGTGGCGTATCGACCTCTCACATCTGTCACTGTCGCCTCATTGGTGCTTTTGGGGTATTGTTCCTGCTATTCACAACTTGAATTGGGGGACATAAAGCGCGTGAATTACGGTGTCGTTTCTTTGTGCTCTTACACAATCTCTCACTCAACGTGCCTCGATCTGGGGCCTTGCCTCCAATCCTACTTTTCGAGGTCATTCAAATTTCCCTTCCACCATACAGCCATTGTGTTTTGTGGTTGTAGTGGTTGAGGCAACTTTCCGCTTCGAGACTCCTCATCTTCTCAGTCATTCTTGACCTTCGCAAGCTGGAAGATTTAGACTCTTCTCACTCCCTCACCTCTCTTGTTTGTCACAGAGAGCAGACATCCTTCTCTTCTCTTGTCAACATGGCACTCAGCTCTGCTTCCCAGACGGATGGAATCAACACTGGTAAGCAGGGATAGATTTTTCATGCCCGAAAGTGTGCTAATCCCTCCTTCGCCAGGTCATTGGACACCGATTTCCACCTTGTCCCGTCCTGCAAACGTTCCCTCTCCTGAAGCGAGCATGTCGACTTCGAAGACGATTGTTTCTCAAGAGGTGCAAGTCAAGAGTGTCAATGGCACGAAGTTGCATGGTCAAATTTATCACCAAAAGCCCGCGGAAACACGTGCTCTTCACTCCGTGATCGCATTTCGGCCTCAAGTTGCAATCATTCAAGCTTCCAACATCGAATATCCAAAAAATCACTTACTCGGCATTCCGCAAGAAGTTCGCGACACCATTATAGGCCTTGTTCATCCGACCAAGCAGACAGTTGGTGCTCCGCCTTCGACTAGCTGCGAAATATTTCATTTCGTCTGCCGCCAGACGTATCATGAATCAACCAGTCGCTTCAGCACCCAAGCTACTGTACTGGTACCATCCAATCGTGTGGAAGAATTCCTCAAGAGATCGCTAAACATCCGCACACTCAGAAGCAATGCTTACCAGAGCGTCAAGAGCCTCTTCGTCGAAATTCCCCACAACAGTAACACTAATGTTTTCCTTCAGATGGGCGAAGTGCTGAGACGTTCGGTTCAACTTGAAGAGCTGCAACTGTTCGGGGTTGGAGCAGATGGCTATGGAGTCAAGACGAGTTCTGCTGCTCACCCTTGTGGTAAACATGATATTTCGATCATGCCACTAGTTCGCAAGCTATCCATTGACGGTCAGCAGTATATACGTCGCCTAGCTCTGGCCAACAGCATTCCATTCCTGGACAAGCTGCGAATTCTTGTTCTGGATAACCTCAACTTTCCTTTGCTTCAATCGCATGTATTCAGGAACAAACCACTGCTCGAAAAGTTGCACATTGCAGCAGACCCGCGGACCGTTATGCATGCAGAGTACAAGGCTGGGTGGAACCACACAGTTGGCGGTCTCATCTTCCTGACACACGACGAAGCACCTCCTGTCAAAGAACTACGTGTCGATTCCAATTCCATTTTTACTGCAAGTCAAATCGTCTTGAAAGTGGCTGGGACTCTGGAAAGACTCGAATTGGTGATCCCCGATATGTCATTCCAAGTGCATACTACGAACCGTATCAACTTCTTCTCGGAGGCCACCACGCTTCTTCATAGACTCCACCTTGACGCCAGACGATTACGCGAACTCAAAATCTGTGTTCATGGCGCCATCTCGGAAGACAGCTATCACTACGCAAACTTCATGGGAGCTCTCAAGGATTGTGTCTCACGCATGAAGTCTCTCCAACTCATTGAGCTTCATGTCCAGTCTCAGTCGCCATGGTTTGCTCGAGAATTCATCGAGGCAGTACCTCCCTCCGCCACTCGACTCTACCTCACCGACCTGTTCATTGAGAGAGATGTGGGTGATCTCACGGGCTTCGTTGGTGAGAAAACAAACACGCCGTTGCTGTATTGGAACGAAATCAATGATGCTTACGCCATTGGCGAGGATCTTCGGAGAAACGATTACATCAGATTCAGTAACAACCAACTGGCGTTTGTGGGGTACGAGTACGATCTTCTGGTGGGGCAGAGTGCTGCGGACGTGCAATCCAAGGCTATGGCCAAATTTCTGAAGCTCAATGGCAGACTGTTGGATAAAGAGCGAAACCGACACCTGGCCCCACTGGCAGGTAGACACATACTATTCAAACAGGGCGGCACTGGAAGATATGCAGATACCGCCGAAACCCGCTCACAAGCAAAAGTCGAGAAGTATCGCAAAGTGCTGGACAAGTGCGGCTTACATGACAACGAATACTTTGGGTGTGAAGACGTGGCAGAAGCGGTCTTTCAGAACGAGCCTGCGGCTACAGGTGGCCACTATAGCTATCCGATGGTTTTGGAGGTTGAGGATGAGTTCAAGTTTTCCAACCACTGGCTGAGCAAGTGAAGGATCACAGGCAACATCATTGGAAAAAAGACTATTTGAGCCAAATGAAAACAGCACCGGAGCTTGACTTGGGGATGGGATACCGACAAACAATGCGCATTCGGGCTTATGGGATGTGCTGATCCACGGACATATTTCACGGCGGTTGGGAGTTCAGGGTCCCCTCCACGACGGGCAAAGACAGAGTATGAGGGTGAATGGTCTCAGACACGAGTCGAACAGACGGCATATCAGAAATCAAAACTTGATAGACGGAAAACGAGAGAGCTGAAAAGGCGTAGAGATTCCAATAAAATGATCATATCAGTTTTGACCTTTGCGGTACCCTTAAACTTTGCCCTGGAGATCACGAGGCTCTACACTTTTAGATTCATCAAAACCCCCCTCAAGCTCTCTCCGGCTCCCCGGATCGACAGACCGTCCATCGCGCCGTGATTGCCGAGTCACTTTGGGGTCGTCAGACTGCAATTTTATCTTCGGCGTATCAGCGCATGGAGCCGCAGCAGAAAACCGGTCCTTTCCCGAGTAAGTTCCTTCGCATTCTGACCTGATCACTGACTCAAGCATTGCAGGAACAGCTTTCCCTTGATAAGCAAGGTCGCTCAAAATGCAGCGGGATCCAGCTTCTCCTGCCTCTCATACCTCAACCTCCGCACAAGCCGACTATAACCTCTCTCCCCCTTCGCTATGGCAGGACGGTCGAAAACGAAAGAATGCCCCGCCTGGCTCGCGGAGCGTCGACACCCTCACACCGGAACAGCTCGCGAAAAAGCGTGCCAATGACCGTGAAGCCCAACGGGCAATTCGAGAGCGGACCAAGCAGACGATTGAGAGTTTGGAGCGGAGGATACAGGAGTTGACATCCCATCAACCATATCAAGAGCTTGAAGCTGTCATCAGACAGAAGGATGCTATCCAGGCAGAGAATGAGGAGATCCGGAGGAGGCTTGCCTCTGTTATGTCCATCATTCAACCCATTGTGGGAGCGCAGGGTTTGACTGGTATTGCTCTTTATTCTCTTTCCACAGTCCCGGCTTTTCCGTCTTAACTGTTGTTCGTGCCAGATCTTGCGACCGCTGCGCAGCACAATGTCCAGGCGGGACTGAATCAAGCGCATCCTATCCTCAAACCTGCCTTCCCCCCAAACAACGGCACCCCGGCCGATTCCACCTCCTTCAACGGCCAGCGAAATGGGCAGGTTGCCTTCTCCGTCTCTCCTAATCTGTCACAAGGCCACTTGGAGACTCCCACGCACCCCCCATCGTTTGGAGCAGAGGGAATCGAGGAACACAGGCCTTCGCCTACGTCAAGAGATGCACTGAGCAACCAGCGAGATAACCTCCAACGTAGCCTCGAGTTGAACGATGGCGGAGAGCGCGTCAACTTTGGCTTTCTGCTCGATCTCTTGGGGCAACGAACAGGCAATGCACGCCCTCAACCTCAACCTCGACCTCCACCACGGACCCAATCTTCGCAGCAGCACACCTCACCTTTCAACCTCAGCTCCCCCTACCCAGCCCTTCCTCCGACCATGCCCGATCAACTACAACTCCCCACCGCATCCTGGAGTGTCCTCCCCAAAAACAGTTCGCCCACATGCCCTCTCGATAGCCTACTCCTCAAATTCTTACAATCTCGCCAGCGCGATCCCGTTGGCGGTGCCAACGCCCTCCCCACCACACCCTCCTATCCTTCCGTTTCGTCTCTTCTGAATCCCAGCGGGCCTCGTCGGTCGCTGGACGACTTGTCCCAACTTATGACCGACATCATCTCGAAATTCCCCAACATCTCTGAATTGCCCGAACAAGTAGCCACTCTGTTTGTCATGTTCACCCACATGCGCTGGCAAATCCATCCAACCAAAGAGAACTACGAGCGGCTACCTGAATGGTTCCGGCCTACTCCGGCGCAGATATTCCACCCTCATCCAGCATGGATGGACCATATTCCGTGGCCGGGGATGCGAGATAGGGTGGTGGCAACCCCCCAGGATTACCCTTTTGACAATTGGTTTTTCCCTTTTACATCGGGTCTCTCTGTTAATTGGCCATATGATCCGGTGGACTGTCTACTAAGCACTTCTGAGAAAGAAGAACCCGTCATCAACCCCGTCTTTGAGAGCCACATCCGGCGCCTAGAGAACTGGAGTTTGGGGCCATTGTTTGCCGAGACCTTTCCCAATCTGGCGGATACGGCGAGAATAAAGGGGAGAGAGCCTGGGACAGTCTGACGAGTGGGAGTGGGCTGATGGAAAAGAGCCGAACAGGTTTGTTGTGTTCATTTTGTTGACCACACCAAATCGCCCGGGCTCTCTCTATCACCCTGTGCGCGAGTGCATCCTCGGACGCTCTTGCCGGCCATTGTTGGCTCCACGGTCTTTGAAAGGCCACACTTGGATCATATCGCATGTCGAGCTTTGAAAGGGTGTTGAGAAACCCTCGATTGCCCTCCCCAATTCTGTGCAGAGAACCACGACCAATTCACGGAAAGGAACACAACTATCCATATTTTCACTGGGGGATACCGCCGGAAAGTGTACAAAATGGGCGGTGTAGTGCTGATTATATGCTCTGATGCGTCTTTCAGTCCCCAACTTTACCAAAAGCAAACTGCAATGAAGCTTACCTACATGTAGCTCACTTGAGCATAATACGAGGCAGAGAAACAAAGCAAGGCGTTGCTGCCGCCGACGCTAATTGATTGATTGAGTGAGTGACTGGTTGATCAGTTTGTCACAGATCGAGTCTCGTTTCTCAGGGTTGACTTTGAGCAAAGACCGTTCTGTCCACATCATGATTACCAAGTACATATCACATAGCTGTAGTGGTCCGTAATGAAAGTCGCAATAGACTTGACCGCGCAATGTGTTGTGATATAGTTGTAAATTACACACGGCCGACTGGGGCAGAGGTCTACTGCGCTCCGGCTTCAGCTCGCTCTCGACCCTTGGTGTTTAATTCCCCCTTCCCAAGATGATTGTCGCGAGTTTCTTCACTATCGCAGTCTTCGACGGACGGGACGGGACAGGACAAAAACTCCAGAGCAGCACCACAAAACCTTGTGCGACTATGAGTTGTGCTTTCTATCAGAACGCCTTTTCCGCAAGTTGGTCTGTCCCTACGTTCGCCTTGCATATGTCATTTCTCTCATGAAAGGATAAGATTGGATTTTTGGGACGTCGCGTTCCCCTGACTGGCCGCATACCGTCCCTCGTCGTAGCAAATCACATTGGCGACACCTCTTATGCTGCAACCTTGGCACCATACTTGGCCGCTGCATTGTCGAAGAGCTGGCTCTTCTCTTCCAAATCTCTCAGTAGCGTATGCTCCGCCTCTCTCTCCCGTAGCTGTTGGAGCAGTCCTTGCACCTCCTCGCTCTTCTTCCCAACAATGCTCGCCAGCACAACACTGTTTGCAATGGCTTGCACATCTGCATTCGCTATTCCCACAGCCTGCTGCAATGCCGCCTCGGCCTCCTCTAACCGCCCTAAATGTATCTCGGAAACGGCCTGTCCCACCAACGCCGTAGGGCTGGTGTTCCCCGGCGTGGATGCGAGTTCCTCGTACACGTAATAAGCCGACTGATACTTCTCTTGCCCGCCTTCCCTTAGATTCGTCCAGGCTTCCGCTAGGTTGATGAGTAGCGAATCCTGAGCCCAACGTTTGGCAGCAGCGACCTCCTTGACTGCCAGATCTGTGCGGTTCTGCATCAGGTGGATCTGCACCAGTATTGCCACGGCTTCAAGCGAGCCCTGGTGTTTGGACAGGAGATCGACGGCTTTCGCGTATTCGCCTGCCGCTGCGAGGACCGTCCCGCAGCATATCTGAACCACTGCCTCCTCCGCATCAGATTCAGACAGAGCTAGTGCGGTTTCGAGTGCCGTAGAGTGATTGCCGGCCGCTTGTTGTGCCAGAGCAACTATTGAGCGAGAGGCGGCGTCTTGCGACTGCTTAAGGGAGGAAATGACGGACGACGCATCGCCCGCGGCTATTTGTGCGCGGTATTTGAGGATTTGTGCGGTGGTCTTGTTTTCTGAGGAGAGGGATGAGGTGTCAAATGCGAGAACGGCGTCGTAGGCGTGTGTGTAGAATGCGGTGGTTATATTGAGCAGTTCTGGACTTCGGTCAGTAGGTGAGTTCAGGATTTGAGGCTGCTGTGATGTGCATACCTCCTTCGCCGGAGAATGGATCCATGGTGGTGTATTTGTCAAAGGGATTCACAGAGCAGAATAGTAGATATGGGGTAGCGGAGAGGACAATATGGACTGTGGTGAACGAGCCCCTCGAGAATGGTGTCCAATTCGATGTATGTCGCACGGGGTGCTTCTGATGTCCTGTGAGGGAAGGTGCGGCGAGAGGAACCTCCGCTCGCATTCCAATTGTCCAGCCCCTGCCAGCCTTGTATCTGGATGATACAACCACCCCAGGTCGGCTCCTTCGCCTATTGAAAGAGAAGCAGACTTCATCTCCTTCTGCATTGCCGCTGGCGGCACCACATACACGGCCTGATTCACTCGACACGCGAAATCAAGCAACCTTCAGCCATATCCAAGACTCTCTTCACCTTCATCATGCCAGCACCTCGGGCGCCCCGCTTCAGCTTCGCGTACAACAGTATCCTCCTCGACCACCAAAAGATCCAGACAGGGCGGGCAATGAGTCGAGTGAAGGCGAATTACCACCTCTTCCTTCGAAACCAGCCGAGAAAGCCACAATTCAAGCTACAAGACCTCGGGCCACGAAGAAGATGGCAGGTCCCCAAGATGAGGCAGATTGAGGATTGAATGCAGATCGCTGCGGAAGCGGCTCGTGTGGCGTGTCAAAACGCTTTCTGTCTGTGGCGCCTCTGCAATTAAGTGGTTACAGCGTTGCTAGATGGGCTCAAGGGTATGATTTCACGAAATGTAATTTTATGGCTACACGGATTCAGGACATATCGACAAGATCTCCCCACTTTGGTAGTGAATGAGAATATCTCTTCTCACCCATCTCTTCTGAAACCCCAACAGCTCACTCCTTCAGTGGCACGGTGTCGACAAACAAAGCCTTGGAGAAAGCCTCAGGGTACCGAGCACCGTGGACTTCAGCCGCGTCAATGACCTTCCGAATCTTCGCATTCTCTTCCGAAGTGATTTTGACCTTCAGGGAGCCCATATTCTCATCGAAATTCTTGATTCTCGTGGTGCCAGGGATCGGGAATATGTCGTCTCCCTGGGCCATCAAGAAGGCCAGGACCAGTTGGCCCGGAGTGCAGCCCTTTTCATCAGCAATGGCCTTGATGTCGTCCACCAGCTTGAGATTCTTGGGGAAGTTCTCTTCACTAAATCGAGGCGCAAAGGTGCGGAAGTCGCCTTCTTCAAAGTCGGCTCGGCTTCTGATGCCTCCAGTCAGGAAGCCTCGGCCGAGTGGGGAATATGCAACGACCGCAACTCCAAGCTCACGACAGGCCTTGAGAAGACCGATTTGGGGGCTCTCAATGTCCATGGAGAAGGGGCTGTATTCGATCTGCAGAGCATCAATGTGCGCCACCTAAAACTCATATGTTAGCGGATAGTCTGGAGAGGGAAGCGGACCTGGTTACCTTGCAAGCTCTTCTGAGAGTCTCTGCGCTGCACTCGCTCAGACCCAGGTACTTGACCTTGCCGGCGTCTTGCAGCTCTTTCATGGCTTTGACGGTGATCTCAATGGGCTGGTTGGCCTGCACTCGGTGGCAATAGTACAAATCGATGTGGTCCACACCCAATCGCTTCAAAGACTTGTCGCATGCGGCCCTGATATACTCTGGCTCATTCTTGACCAATCGTGCACCTGTCTTTGGGTCGACGACATTGCCAAACTTTGTGGCGAGGAAGATATGGTCTCTCTTGCCCGGGTTTCGCTGGAACCAGCGGCCAAGCAGGTCTTCGTTGTCCCCGTAAATGTCGGCAGAATCCCAGAAGAGCTCGCCGGCTTCGTAGGCGTGGTCGAGTATCGCATAGCGTTCTTCGTCGGGCTTGGGTTTGCCATAGTAAGCCGAGAGGCCCATGAGGCCGAACCCGAGGGCGGTCACCTCTGGACCGTTCTTTCCAAGCTTGCGAGTTGGGAGTTTGGGAGCCATGTCGAGTTGGTTGAAGTGCAATTGTCTTTGGTGGTTGGTGGTTTGGGATAGGAAACGATGGGCGGACTGATGGATGGGAACGAGGCTCGATGGTTGTTTGGGGGATTTTATAGTTGCAAGCGAGATATGAGATGTTCGATCTTCGACAGGCTCATCGTCCATGCATCAATCAGCGAGCGCATCTCGTACCGGGTTTTAGCCCAAATGCCGTCGCGAGTGTCTTCTCCATCCGCGCCTCTTCTCCCCTCCTGCTCCCTCCACACTGCGGCAGTGATGTCATGGCTCTACTGCCTCTGATTCGCTCTTTTCCCCCTCGTCGCCCTCGTCTATCAACAGCCAAACCGACGAGCCGACGCCCGTTTTTCTCCATCTCGCCATCCCTCCATCCCTCCATCCCTCGTGGCCCCTTTTCTCTCGTGCCTCTCGTCCCAGTCGCGGCTTTAGGCGATTGTCGTTCCCCCTTCAAGCGCCATCCCTTACTAAGGATTGACCCAACACTGATGCATGCGGCCGCCCTGCCCGCCCCAAGGTCAACTTGTCGAGCTCTTTGGATCGTCGACTGCTCGATTCCATCCACTTGCCGACTGCACTTACCGTCTCCTGGGTCAATTGACGTCCTGCTTACCCTACCGCCGATCTGGGAGAGGTTAATACTCGATGTGGAAATCATATTCCCCTGCATGCTACCACAACCACCAACCGAGCCTGACTTGCACAGATAAAATCCTCCTTCCTGCAGCCTCGCCCTATCTGAGGCTGGCAGATTGCCTAACCAGGGTTCCTCCCTGTTCGGCCAAATTGCGCTCCAATGTCCACCGTCATCACCACCTGCTCGTTCTGAGTACTATGCTACTGCACAGTGACTAACAGCAATGCCTGAAAAGACGCGTGACGGGTATTCTACAATGACACGGGTTGAGCATACCTATGCGCACCAGGTGTGGTATGATGGTAGGCCAGGACGGGCTGCAACCCTTGTCGTCAAAAGACCATGCTGCAGCTTGAGACTTTTCGTAACGAACAGACCTTTTTGAGAAACAAGTGGCATAGTCTCACACAAAATAGAAGCTATCTCTAAACAGCGACGAGGTGGCCACAAGCATCAGACATAGCTAATATTGCCAATAGGGATAGGGATACTATTATGTCTGGGTAGGAGTAAATACCCTTAGAAATGATCATTAACCATGGGCGAATAAATCAGAGTAACCACCATCGAACCTTTTCCTCGTCAGACTTTGCTACTTCACTTTGCCATCGACTCACGAGGGACACGCTTCAAGAAGCCACCTGCATAATATGGACGCTGGATTCCCTACTGCATTACCGACCATGATAGTTTCCTGTTTCCATGCTCTTTGTTGGCATCACCGTAGAGTATGTCGCCAGTTCAATCACAGATTTCCGTCAGCATCGGGGTAAGAATCGAGGATTCGCTGTTAACTCGGCCTACCGTTTTCCCTTTCCGCTTAATAATACGGAAGGCTGGAAGTGGTGGAGGTAGAGTATACCTCATTAAGTCCGGTGTTTCACGCAACTACAACGAACGCCTCAAGCTCCAAAAGTTCTCCAAGAATGACGACTAGCTAAGCGGCTACAGTAAGTAATCTTCCCACACCGAGTTAGATCGGCAAGGCAGAATCCTCCTCGTGTCAGAGCATCTAAAATGTCATGTTGACATAACGACGCCCGTAGCTTAGCCTTGGTTGTCCCCCTAGCAATGGGGTACTGAGGAAAACGAGAGCACTGGAGGATATTAATATAGCCCACGACCTTTGCAGGACACAAATCTTTTCCCGGACCAACAAGCAAAGCTTTTGCGTCTCAAATGACTACTCAATCTCACCGCCTGGCCCGCCTCGTCGGCCCCGCGCTCTTCACCATCTCGGCCGCAGAGACGCTCAACGCGCACATCTGGGCCAGCAGCACCGCGCCGACCGTCTTCCTGAACGGCGCCGTCATCTTCGTCGCGGGCCTCGCCGTCGTCCAAGCCCACAACGTGTGGTCTCGCGCCTGGCCCGTCCTCGTCACCTTGGCGGGCTGGGGGGCCGTCGCGCTCGGGTTGACGCGCATGCTCATCCCGGAGCGGATACTGGAGAGCGTGAAGGGAGCGCGGGTGAGGGATGTGAGGGTCGGGGCGGCGGCGGTCGCGGGGTTTGGGGCGGTGGTCTCGTTCTTTGGATATTATGGATCTTGAAGATGCATCATGGGTCTGGAGAGCCGGTAGGGCATACGCGGAAGTCACCACGGACGACGACGGGAGGGATGGATATGTACCGCAATTTCGGGCACAGAAGAGGCCAATGGGTCAATCGTGAAAGCTACGACGACACACAGAAGAAGCTCAACTGCCTGTTTTGGGTCACTAAGGGGCCAAGCACTGTGAACGCTGTCAATTCCCATGTCGGAAGCATTAATGTGCCTGAACTTCCTCAACCTCCTAAGGAGGTTGTTCTATAATGGGAACCACTAACCTCATCCTGCTGTTTCCTGTCTCCAGAACGATCTGCTCGAGGGACTATGTAAACTGGACACTTGCATCGTCTCGTCTAGATCGGTGCCGGTCTCTCCACGAACAAGATGAACCTCGCGAGTCCAGCCGTTTGATTCTCTGATCGCTACCTAAACGAAAACTGGAATTCTCGATCTCAACACGAGGCATAGGAAGGAAAGACGGCGAAAGCGAGTCACATCGACGCATACATACACAAGGGACAGGCGAAGTAGGAAACAACCGTCAATGCAATCTAGCTCCTCTCTTCCCATTATCACCGTCGAGTTCTATAATTTTATCTTCTATAATGGCTCTAGCTCGATCAAGGGACAACGCTCGCTTTCCCCTCTTTTCTCTTCTACAATGCCCGCGCCAAGGAGAACGGCCCATCATCTACCTTCCATCGCAAGCGAGGGAAGGAAGGGACAACTATTAAAGGCGCGCTCAAGCCTTGTCAATCTCCTCGCTCTGGACCTCGTTCCCCTTCTCGGCGTAGATGTCGTCGGCGTCCTCGCGGCTGCTGCTGCCCCCGCTGGCGCCGACGACGTTGACGGCGCCGGCGAACCCTTTCTCGTGCACGACGCCGCCCTCGGTCTCCTTGAGGGCCTGCTCCTCGATCTTGCGCTTCTCCTCCTCGGACGCGTCGTACCATTGCGTAGCGACGTGCATGTCATCGCCGAAGACGTGGCCGATCTCCTCGAGCGTGCGGCCCTTGGTCTCGGGGAAGAAGAGGTAGATGATCACGATGTACTAAGAAAGATGATGAGCACAAGAGGGGAAAGGCAAGGGTTAGGGTTTTCATTTTTCGAAAACTTACCACGGCGGATGGAACAATCAAGACCAGATAGAAGCGCCATCCGATCTTGTTCAGTGCGACCGGCGCGGCCACCAGGGTGACCTCGCTGGCGAGGTAGAAGGCGGACAAGCCCAGCGCGACGCCGGCGGGACGTAGATGGTTGGGGAAAATCTCGGCCACGTAGACGTACTGGGTGGCGTCGATGAAGAAGCACCACCAGATGATGTAGAACCAGATGAAGAAGACGGCCGCGCGGAGGCCGGCCTCGTTGGTCGTGTTGAGGAACGAGGCCGTCAGGGCGCAGAGGAAGATGACCGAGACGACGCAGCCGCAGGAGCCGATGAGCATGAACTTGCGCCGGCCGAAGCGGTCGATGAAGAGCGCCGTCCACGTGTTGCCGATCAGCGTGAAGGTCGTCCAGCACGCGTTGAGCAGCAGCGGGATCGACCCGCTCAAGCCGAGACTGGCGTAGATCAAGACACCCTATATCAAGCCGTCAGCAAACAAAACCCCTAACCTTAACCCTAACCCTCCAGAGGAACGACGAGCGAGGGAGGCCAGCGACGTACGTAGTTGGTCATGACGAAGATGCCCAAGAATTGATTCCCCCACATCAAAACGGCGGCCATCAGGGCGCGCTTCCTGTTCGCAGGGGTGGCGAAAAGCTCGAACCGGCCCCGGGCCATGGTGGCGTCCATCTCGTACTGTTGCTCCATGAGCCAGAATTCACGCCGGGCCTTGACGTCCTCCGGGTCGCCTGGTGTCCGGTGGAGCCGCTTGACCACGTCCAGGGCTTCCTGTCGCCGGTTTTGCGAGAGCAGCCACCGGGGGCTGAAGGGGACCAAGCTGCTTCCCGCCAGCAAGATGGTGGGGAAGACGACCTGGAAGGCCAGGGGGAACCGCCAGGCGAATTGGGCAGCAGGGTCAGTGGCCGACATGTGGAAACAGGCGTAGCCCAGCCATCCTGCCAGAGCATAGCCGACCGCGTACATGATGCCAGTCACGCAGACCATGGCGCCTCGTGTCTCTGTAAAACAAAACAGAATTGCCTCGTCAGAGAATGTTACACGGACGAGACAGAAGAAACAACAACAGGACGCTCACTTACCTGGCGTGGATACCTCTGCTTGGTAGATGGGGACAACACAGGCCAAGATGCCCGAACCCATACCGGCGACAAAACGCCCAACAAGGAACATGGCCATGTCAACCGCGCCGGCACACAAGGCGCCGCCGACGATGAGGATGACCGAGCCTATCTGCATGGTGCGCTTCCGGCCATACTTATCCGAAGTCCAAGCCTGTGTGATACATCCTGCTATTGCACCGGCAGAGTTGACGCCGTTCAGGGCACCGATCATATTCGTTGTATGGTCATAGCCAGGCTCTCCTTGGGTGGCCAGGTTGAAGTAGGAATAGAAGTTGGGCTGGCCCACGGTCGAACCGATGATTGCGAGGCCATAGGCGGTGGAAATGGTGCCCAGGGCCACAAACACCACGACCCAAAGATTGTAGGAGTTTACGATGATTTTGAGCAACATCTTGACGCGTCAAGAGGGCAAGGGACTTGGTTGGGAGAAGGGGGGAAAAGGGTGAGAGAGAAAGAGGCACTAACGAAGCATCGGGAGGTAGGTACCTGTCTTTGTATGTTGTACTTAGCCGGTCCCCCAAGCCCAGCACCGTTGATCGATCCAGCAGAGGGCTGACATTATCTCCAACTGTAGACCGAGGGTAAGTGGAAAGTGACCGCACGAATAGGCAATAGTGGGTGCCGATCACCTCGTCGCCCTCCATTTCACTGACTCAGGAACATGGGATTCATATCCCGGGGCAGTGGTACCAG